TAGAGCCGAAAAAGAACGTATACTACAAGAAGAAGATCCTGATAAACAAAGAAAATGGGAAGAAAAAGAGCAACGAAGACTCGCAAAAAAACGGGCACCCAGAATGAAGCAGCTTAAGGTGAAAGCATTATGACGAAGTTATTAAGTAATTAATTATAGAGAATTTGTTGAAACTTCTGAAGAGCTATAAGTTGCTCAGTTGGACTGCCGATTTAATTTAACTCATACAATGAAACTATATCATTTAAACTTTACACATCTATTAAAACTACCAAATTTCCATTAAATGATTTTTAATTCACACAGAAAGCAATAGGTAAGTATTGCATACTTAAAATCGACTTCTGTGAGATAAAGTACTTTTATATTTTTAATTTTTAATTTGTGATATATACCTCCATTTTGTTTTCCTGTTGAAAGTATATCATTGCTGTTATATATTTATTTTATGCCATAATTATTATAACTTGTGAAACGAAATCGACTTAAAATGTTATAAAGATCTTTTTGATTTGATAAAAGTGCAGCAATATGTTATGGAAACAATATATATAATTGTTGTTTTGAACCAATATTAATATTATTTATTACACGATTTTTGTTGAAATCCACCCTTTTATATCATGACCTTTTAACTAAATACTTATACAGCAAACTATAAGTATAAAGAATTTATATACATATTCTTTTATACTTTCCTTTTTATTCTTTTATTCTTTAAGTTTTTATATTAATTAAAATAATTAAAATCAAATAAAATAGATTGCAAATAACAAATGGAAAACAAATATAAGAAAAGAATGTTTACATTGAATACAATGTTAAACACTATTTCAGTGTTCATAAAATGAATATATAAATGTAAAAGCTCACTTAAAATCCCCAAAGTAATTAAATGTCATAAAATATACTTAAAATATTTCTTCATGAATATTTTTTAAGCGAATCATTGTTATTTATTGATCTTTTAGTACTATATTCATGCAGTTCAAGGAAAGTAATGTACAACACAGAAATTAATATAATGATTATTGTTATTGAATTTTAGAAATTATACAAAGATTTAGAGTAAAAATAAAATATTTAGATTTTTAATAAAGTAATACAAACGTAAATTTATTATACTATTTATTATACATACAAATAAATACTTCTTTTGAAGTAAAATATGCAGAGCATTTTATGCATTTTACTATTGGAAATGCGTAATGAGGATATATTTTTTAAATAATTGATTACAACCAGTTTGCATTGAAATTGTAAATTTCGTATATAATTTATACATACATATATGTATTCAAGTACAAAATATTTCACATAGAGTATTGTGCATTCAAGAATTTTTTATTATTATCAATGACTGTCTTACAAAATAAAAAATTGTTATCAGATATAAAATCAGCTATAACGATGTTTAAACCACCATGACCAGGTCGTTTTTGATTTACCCAGGAAATAACTGTTTTCTGACATACCGATACTAAGTTTCTCTGTAATGTGCCGCACAGGTGTTTTAATACGTAAGGAATATCCGGAGTTAGAACGCATTGCGATATGAAACCAATTTCTAATGACCGTGCTTTTAGTTCTATATCTAAGAAATTTATAAGTTCATTAACGCGAACAGTGTTAGGCCATGGTGTACGCCACAGACCACTTGGCCACAAATTTGAGTAATTTTGTGCATATGCATTTCTATAAATAATAACAACTTGGTACTTTTCCAGATTAAGCCAATGTAATGTTATATGATCAAAAGTGGAAGCTAGCGGGCATAATTTTGTTCGAAATAACTGGAAAATCGTTTCAATAAGATGGCGATGATTCATTTCTGAGAACGAATAGAAATGTTGAAAATCTAAGATCACGATCTCATTACTGTGGTAGGACAGCCATTCTGCTATTTCTTGCAGCGGTTGATATATTTTTGATCCGTATAAGCCATGAACAAAATATATATATCCATCTGTTGGCTTCGTCGCTACACGTAAGTCTAGGTATCGAATTCCACCATCGAGCTGATTCTTGATGTTTTCATGTTGCGTAATAGACCAATTAAAAAGTATGGGTTTTGAGACGAATGAACAATAACGACCAAGAGCTCTGATGTATCTCGGCTCATCGGGCCCCACATCGTTATTCCGGTTTATAGTATAAGTCATCGTATTATGAGAACCTATTAGGAGGTATCAATTCATATTATATACGCCATATTTATTATCTTGAGGTCAATATAATTCTGTAAAATGAGTTCATTATTTTTTAAATACACACAATAAACTACATTCGATAATGTAGTTTAAAAATGTAACTGTACGTAAATTTAGATAAATTAAATTCTAAATTTTTATGTTTGATTAAATCTACATTGTTACAATGTATTAATATATTAATTTTGATTAGTTCTTCTGAATTAGTTAAAATTAGTAAACTTCCTGCGCATTTAAATTATAAAGTTTAGTTTTTTAATTGGAAATATGATTTTCATAATTTGAAACTTACCGGGTATCGCCAAATGTATTATGGGAAGGTTCTTTAAAGCATCCGGAAGTCGAGTCATCCAGTATTCTAGTTCTTGATTCAAAGTGGTGTCCTTTTGTTTTGGTTTGTGTGGAAAGACGCTGGTATCTTTAGTTTTGTACTCCATTTTGACAGGTATTTTGTTTTAATTGTCGAAGTGAATTTTGTAGTAAGTTTATATAGCGAAAGGATAGGACGATGTAGGTGTACGTCACCTACATCAAGTGACTCGTCATTCGATGATCTCCATCCTTTATATCGCTTTTTCAAATTAACGTTCCCACGGTGATGTTGTAATAATCACCTCACACCTTCTTCCGACACAGAAGTGAACGATACAGATTCATAGAACCTAACCTCATGGTCATTCGCTTATTCAGCGTCCCTATTTTCTACAGTCGAGAAGTTAACTGCGGGAATGAGATTATTAAAAACACACGATACTGCCAACACACGTTACTACAACATTTATTTATTTGGCGGAAACTTCGAATGTTGACTTCTATCGTAAGTTATAAACTTATAGCATGTTTAATATAAAATTTATACTTATATATATTACTGCTCTTCTAAAATATACTTATATATTTTGGAAGAGCATATTTTTAAGAACAAAATCGCAAATTGGCACAATTTGTTCCAAGCAATTTTATATTATATATGATACAATCAATAATTTTACATAGTCTATGTAAAATTGCATATCACATTATGGTATACTTTTTTAACAAATTAAAAAAAATAAAATGTGATAAAAATAAGCTTATTATTTAAATTGAATGATCATAAATTCGAATAAAATTTGTAAAGGTTTAAGATTTGCTAATCAAAGTATAATGATATAATTGAAAATTAGAATAAAAATGTAGATATATTAATATATTAGGTTTTTAAAATTTTCCATATACAATTACAATATACATATATATGAGTAATTTGTTCTTAAATATGCATTAATATTGTAAATATTGTGATAAAATCAATATTTTATTTTATCACAATAATTGAATTGCATGATCATTTATTAAAAAATTTCTTTCTGCTCAAATTTCTTTTTTTTTTCAAATTATCTGATTTCAGTTTGTATTCCCATACTTGTAGGTAAGAGATTTTTACATTTTTAGGATTTTATAAATAAAATTATAGGAAATCATAAAATATGAACATTTAAATTAATTAATAGTTGAAATACAAGGTCAATAAACTATATTTTAGAGAAAAATTTAATAAGGTACTTTAGGTGCACTTAAACAGTACACAAGATATTTTATGGAAATGCAGATACTGTTATATATAATTCATTATTTTTATTATTATCTTGATATAAAACTGTGTATCCATAAAAAATAGATAAAATATTACATAGTTTTTATAAATTTCTTTTTTATAATTTTTACTTATTATATATTATCGTTAGAAATATATGAGTAATATATAAATATATAATATAAAGATTCAACATTATCAATTACTGTATTAATAGTTATACTGATATCACCCTGCCTAGAGTTTTTTAAATTAACAAAAGATAGATATTAACATACGTTATAAAATAGACATATATTGAATAACTTATGAATATAATTATTACTACAAGATATATTATACAAATAAGAAAAAACTACAAATAGAAGTTTTTTTAGCTTGAGACACAAAAATAATCACCATTGTACCTTATTCTAACATCTCTACCTTATACTAATATCTTTAAAATTGTAAGATGTATGCAGTTATCAAAAATATTTGAAAATTTTTTACTAACTTTCTAGTTTCGTAAATTTTAAATATATTCCGCCTTTCGGCGCCAGTAAAAAAGCAGCTGGGTCAATTACGTATGGGATCATAGTTTTTTCACAAACTTCGACTTTGTGATTGCGAAGTATCGTTATAAGGCCAACTTTCGATTGATAAACTGCAAATCGTGCACCTGAAATATATATATAAATATTACTAAATATAATATCATTGACTGGAACATTGATGATATTACAGCAACAGCTTATATCTTCAAAACATTAAAAAATACCGAGGACAATAAAATTTTTTTTCTTTTTTTTGGATCTTTTTTTTGGATCTTTTTTATAAGAAAATTGTATACATACCAATACAATTTCTTGGCCCATCACCAAAAGGTAAATAGTGCATAGAATGTCGTGTTGCAACGGCTTCAGGAGTGAATCTTTCAGGGATAAAAGCATCTGGATTGGGATAAACGTCAGGGTTATGGTGGATCGCGTATAATGGTATCCATACGTATGATTTTTTTGGTATAGTAACTTTCGTGCCTTCGAAAGTATAATTAGACACAGACTTTCTTAGTATAATTGCTCCAGGTGGATACTTTCTTAATGTTTCTGCAAAAGGAATATTTTAAACAATAGCAATAAGTATTATATTAGTAATTATGCAATATGCTAACTCTAAATTAACATTTAACAATTTAAATTTTAATAATTCAAATTAATCATGAAACATAATTTCCTACCAAAGTGATTGGATAGGTTTTATAGAATATGCTATAATTTTAAATTAAATAAAAAATTAACGAGAGTTTTTTAATTTGATATTTTATGCAATTTCTGTTGTATATAATATGTAATATATATAATTTATTCATAAATGTATGCATGATGCATATAATAAGGACAAAACTTAATTTTTGTGTAATTTAAGAATTAAATATGCAAGATAACGTTAGATAGTTGAAATTTAGTTAGAATTTTTAATCTTTTGCACTCGAGAGGCCCCCCTTCAGTCGCCATTTGATAAACTTTCGAAGCTCGATATTTATTAATCCTTTGCACTCGAGAGGTGACTATCACTCACCATTTAATCAGAATCTAAAGATCGGTGTTAATTAATATATCATATTTAAAATTAGCCAACGATGCGTGGAATGTCGAAATAAAATAATATCGTCGACTTTATGGCAGAAATCTTCGAATTACCATTTTTCTGTAACGAAAAAATCGTCGAGTGCAAAGGGTTAATATGTCAAATTTCAGGTAATGTAACGGTGTGCGAGGTATCGAAATCAAATAATTCTATGTGTTAATTATCACACGACTTCTTATTCACTGCTCAGAAAAATATCGTCAGCTTTGTAACAGAAAATCTTTGAACTCCTATTCTTCTTTAGCCAAAAAATCGTCGAGTGCAAAGGGTTAGATTACATACGCACCTCGAAATACTAGATCCAGATATGTCATCTCTTTCACTTGGTCATATTTCAATTCACCATTGTGTTTCTTATAATGTTCTTTAATCTCTTGTCGCAACTTGTCTTGCACTTCAGGGTTCAAAGCTAACTCGTAAAGAGCGTTGCTCATAGCTGATGAAGAAGTTTCAAATCCAGCAACGAAGAAAACGAATGCTTGTGCAGTTAGCAGAGTATCTGTTAGCTCTGTAAAATACGATGTAAAGAGAACATATTAATCTTTTTTTTTTAATAATTCAAATTTAAACGAATGTTTCTTAATCAAAATTATATAACTAATAATAATAGTAACAATTTTTCTGTATGTCTTATAAATTCTAAAATTCGCAAATTTATGTCAAGTTCGATTAAGAAGAACATATTTGTGCTTCAAAATTAGTTTCAAGAAAATGGATTCAATACTCATGATTTCATCAACTATTTACTTCTGAAGCCTAATTGCATTAACAGTATGAATTATTTATGAATATTCTAATTTGCTATAGGAGACTGAATAATGTAAGAATCTCTTTAACTACTTTATTATGAATCTCTTTTATATAATATTATTTAGATAAATCTTTAATATTTTTAATTGCTATTTCTGTTCTCATGATTTGCATATAATTTGTGCCATAATCTATTTTTTTCAGAATTGCTTGATTAGTTTTGAAATTTCATCCGTGACTTAATTTACTAAATTTTTATAATGCATACGTGTAATTAAAATTGTTACTGAGTTTCGTAATTTTGAATAGAATTTATAAAATATTGAAAACTACCTATAGGGTTTGATCACGTTTGTGTCATTGTATTAAAACAATTTTCACACAATGCACGAATTATTTGTAATAGAAGATTAATTAGCTATTGAATTATTCACTCTGTATTTCACTTATGGTTAATACATTTAAAGTCTTCAAGTGAACTATGATCATTATATACTTTATATAATGTATAAAGCATCGTGTAATTTTCATTAATGTATTTACACGTACATGAAGATAATAATGAATTTATTCTCAGAAGTACAGTCGGCAACAAAAATATTCTAGCGTATAAACAAATTAGTTTTTCGTTCCACTTCCTTCACTTTTGCATCGTCATAAATATTGTGCCTATACCCTAGCATGACATAATACATATTTTTGATACATTGCTGTATAATAATAACTCATTACATGTAATACAAAAATTGTTACATGTGTAATATTGTAAAAATTTTGTAAATATTTTTATCTTTTATAATATTATACATCATATATAATTTGTAATATATAATGAACTATATAATCTCGTTTAAGTTATGCAATGTTCATTTAAGATATAAAATACAAAAGCAGAACTATATGTGTATATGAACATTTTTGTGCCCGACTGTACATACTCTGTAACCTCATCGCGATAATTATTCGACTTTAAAAAATCATTGAAAACGTGTACATACTAATATTTTCCAATTTATCTGGGTGTTTTTTGAGCTCCATAAGCATGTTGACGAAGTCAGGCCTCAAGATGTTATGTTCATCCCTATACTTCATAGTATCCACGATAAGGTTCGTGAGGAACGTTGTAACTTCCGTTTGCGGCAGTACGAAGCCGAGCAAATCGTAAATCCTGGGGAATATTTGACGAAATCGGAATCTCAATATTTGCCCAAAGGAAACGGCGAATACTTGTCTGCCCACTCGACGAAATTCGCTTTCTTCATCGGACAGCGCGTTCGCGTCAATGCCAAAGGCACAGCTACCGATTACATCTGTCGTGTACTTCGCAGTTAATTCACGACACTCTATGGGTTCTCCCCTAGCCACCACTTTATCGAGGTACACTTCCAAATGTTTCGCGCATTCTAATATCAAAGGAAACATGTCTTTGAGCTTGTTGGTTGTGAATACAGGCGAAAGCCTGGTCCTCAACGGTCGCCATCTTTCTGCTTCCAAATTGAAGAGATGTGGAGACAGTGGTTCCGTCTGTAATCACCATAGGAATTAAATCGTTTTCATTGAGGTAGTGTAATTGTCGGAATTTAATGCAATTTATATTGTAAATTGTACATAAATTTAAGGAATATTATTATTACTCTTTGTAAGAGTATAGTCTTGAAATTTGAAAAGGTACTTTGTTATAATCTTAATTTTTTAGTCTATTAATTTTTAAATTTAATCGAAATATAGTAATAAATTATATATAGTAGCATGTATTATTATGTAATATTAATAATATTAGTAAATATGCTACAATATTATAATATACCATTATAATTGCTTATGCAGGAAGCATATAATATTGATCTTGTAAATATTTAATTTTAACTGATAAAATTTTGAAATTACTACTGAAGCTGGTATATGACTGTGAATATGTTAAGTAAAAGAAATGGCATCTTCTAATTATAGATTTATATAACCTAAAAGAATATGAAGTCTAAGGTCACAGGAAAGAACATGAAAAGTCACACATTCTTAGGGAGAAATTATAAGATTGAATATCTTGATAGTTAATCTATTTATATTACCAAGATTGTATTTTATTTTCTATTAGAATTAAATATATGTATATTTTTATTACCCTGAATGTTCTAAAAATATTGTCATATTAATTGTTATTCTATATCATATTAAAGTATTATCTAAGTTTACTTCATTTAGGTTATATAAATATTATAAAATTAGCAAGAATGGACTTATTATATTCCTTCTCATTGGACTTCACATTAAAGATTATACTTTCATTAAAGATAGAAGATAAAGATATAAAGTTATGTACTTACTCTTTCGTGGACTGGAATTCCTCGATCAGCAAACTTAAAGAAGTCCTTTATTAAAACATCTTTTATCAAATCTGGGTCTTGAATGACGAGTATAGGCGTTCTTCTCGTGAATATTCCAACCATTGGTTCATTTTTGTACTCTTCATAGAGATTTTTCAAATAGTGGCACAACGATGTCCTCAAAAACATCACATCTTTGATATTACCGAATACCGGTAAAGGACGTGGCCCAGGTACACCACGAACTTTCCAATAATCGAATGTCGCAGTGAAGTAATAATAAAGTGCCACGAATAAGGCGATGATGCCGCAAATAGTTACTAAGTAGTCCGCCATTGTTGATTGACGCGCATAATCCGATGAGTGAACGTAGGTTCACGAAATTAAATTTCCTGCAAGAGTATATTATCATTTGCGCTTTTGAAGATTCTGCAAAATATTGTTTAGTCAATCTTACGTGCAAATTACATTCATAATTATATTTACAATAAATTATGTATATAGAAATGATACTTAGGTAACTTTCCTGAGAAAATTATATTCATTAAAACGCAAATTATATACTTAGGTACTTATGTATTACTTGAAAATAAACTGCATTTTTTGATTATATTTTTTTTATATTTGACTTTAGAGAAAATTAAATGTAAACAATATAATAGTAAATAAATAATTAATAAAAAAAGCTCCTATGTTTAATATTTCTTAAATAATTATATTCAGTTCTGAATATAATAATAAATAAATTAATAAAAAATTCAGAATATAGTAATAAATAAATTAACAAGAAAACCAGTATTTAACTTCGAATGTAGTTAAAAATATGCTAGTAAACAATAGTTAATGGAAAAATTTCTACGTTTCACTTTCTTTTTAGATGATATTAATAATTTAATAATGTAATAATAAACAGTAGTTGAGAGTAAAAGAGTTCAATTATTTTTTATTATTTACTACAACAAATACTCTGATTCCTAAGTTAAACAAGAAGTAAATCATCTAGAAAATACAAATTTTGTATCCTTCAAAGAAACAATAATTTTAGCTAACGGGACGTTTGTTTTACCACCGACTGACTTCGTAGAGGTCAATGACCGGAAACAGCTGTAGCAATCAGGCGCGCACAAGCATTGCCAGCAAGTCAAAGTGTGCAATAAGTAAAAGTATAGAATGTTTGACATAAGTGAAGTAAAGGAATTAGAACAGAATGAAGAGGAAGAACATGTTCCGAGTATGTGACGTTATAAACAATTACAAAAATATAAAAATTTTTGAATTATTTTGAAAATTATTTATTATAAGCTACGACATTGCACGGGAAATTAAAATCAATAATATTCGATTGTAATGTTTCTATTCCTCCAAATATGTACAATAATTTGGTAGTGTTATCAAATTGTATTAATTAGAAGCTATATGCGTCGTTAATTACGATAATTCATTTTATTTATAAAATAATTCAAACTATTTTCTTAATAATTACATTGCACTTTCCTTTTTATTTTCCAGTTTTCGATTCTATATTTTATATAGATTATAGATTTTTATATTTTTAGAAAGTTTAAATATTTAACAGATATAATAGGAATTAACACACTTCCTAAAAAATAATTTACAAGTCTTTTTTTATACTTTTATATTTTTTAAATTAAGTTCGACAAACCTGATATGATAATAAGATATGACTTTTAATAGTATTTTCAGACATTAGTTTCTATTTGCAATATAGTTTGCTATTAAATACGACACGTAACTCTCACGTGTCATATGATAATGTTGAATACACAGAAGTGTAATTAATTAGTGTAAACACGATAATATTAAATATTTGAGATAAGAGAAAGGATATTGGCAATTCCTTAATTCAAATTTCGCGTATTTTTATTTGGTATTTTTATTGAAAGTAATTTTTCATCTTCCAAACATTAATTCCTAAATAATATTTATTGACGTTGATATTAGTTCATAGACATTATGAGAACACAAAATTTCATTAATAAGTGTATTAAAGTATCTTTTTTGAAATACCTATAAAATGTGATATTTAATGAGCTTCATTATCGACACTGTTAGTTTGATGAGAAAAGGACAGGAAGCTGATGATACATAGTGTAAAAATGAAGATAAATGAGAACACGACGTTACATCACGTGTTTGCACAGCAACCACTAGGTTAAATTTGCTGTATCATTATACTATCCACTGTCACTTCGAAATTACCCCTCAAGGTTGCCATGACACATAATAACACAGAGATTAGAAAGATAAATTATAATGAATCACTACATTCACTGTATATATAAACATATATTTTTCTCGCACAAGCACGTAGGACAAAGATTCTTATAATTTTGTCACGATTTGAGAACCCACTGCACGGTACAATTCGCAATGGACTAGTGCAGTGTCTTCATAATAGAATGTATATACTTCCATGAAACAAGGAAATGCTCAGTCACAATGAATTGCACGAATAAGATGTTGATGATTTTACCAGCACGGGACATAAACAGATAATAAATTAGCGTCATATCCAAGCAAGTCCATATTTAATATCGAGGTGATAAATTAATTAAGATACTGTTGTAGTACCTTGCACGAGTTTAACGAATGGCCTCCTAGGAGCAATATATTACCCTCGGAGATCTTGGCTCGACTGAGAGGTGTGATCGATGCAACGTGACGTATCAGTCTGCAGATGTCGCCACTAGTAGTGACTAGATCTATAGCTATTATAATTATATCTATACTTTTCATTGTAGGATGCTATGAACGGTCATATGATTAGTATTTATTCGAATGCTTGGTTATTTAATTATAATTTCTGAATTAATGAAAAGTTTGGTATTTTCAATATTTTATTAAATCGAATAAAATATTAATTGCTATTGATATTCACGAATTAAAGTATTTAGGAGATGAGTAATAGCGATAAAAATATTATAAGTGCATTAACAGAAGATTAATAGCAATAATAACACAGATAAGCGTTAGATAAGCAGAGAAAATATAATGAATGGTAACAACGTAAATATTATGAGTTAATAGTTGAACATAATCTAGAATAATGTTATAATATCAGCATATTGAACTTCATAATTATCGATTTTCTTTTTAGCACCAGGAATTGTAACGGTTTCAGAAATAACTGTTATATGACGATTCTTTTTAAAACAGTTATGAAGAACAGAAACGATGATGATTTCATTTTAATAAAAAAAAATGTTACGTATGTATTTAAATTTTGATTGTGACTGTAGCAGTATTTAAAATATCATTTTTGTATTGATTCTATTTTGGTTTCTATATTGATTCCCCTTCTGTGTTTGTGAAGCTTACTATTTATTATATAGAATCTACTATATAATTACTAATTAATTATTATTATTGTAGATATTAATATATTAAGTTACAGTGTAATAATAACTACTGTTATTAACTCTATATTTAATATTAATACCGAAATTAATATTAATATTAGTATTCTTAGTGTTAGTATTAAACTTACTGATTTTTAATTGTTGCGTTTTACGATGTGATGTCAAATGGTTCGAGGTATAATTCGCAACTTGCACAATATCGATAGCGATAAACTTATATGCGACTAAAAGAAGGGTGTCATCGTTAGAAAGCAATTTTACGAGAAGTTTTACTAAGTAAATAAAGATATCAACGAGATAGAGGTAGAATGGAGAGAGAATCATTATATAAATCAATATCACCACAGATTTCAATTAACTATAGTCATTAAACAATTACGCTATATGATAGTTCTTTGAAATGCAATAATGATCGTTTCTAATATCACTTTGCTATATCAAACCGATGATAAAAATGTATGGATCAAAAGTGGATTAAATTTTATAATTGACCTCTCTTAATTTACATCTCAATTTCTGCAAATGTCATTCATTTTCCATTTTCAGAGTTTAAAATAAATTTTCAGAATTTTAAATAGAACATAATTAATTTGAACGTACTGTATAATTCTTAACTTAGCACTCATTTTCTAATTCTAGGAAAAATCTTTGGAAAATGATGTCAATTACCTAATTGACCTAACCCAAACTTATCTTTCTTAGTACCTTGGGCTTAGTTACTTTTCTTCGAAAATACCTTCAATCGACATAGCTTTTCATTTTCAATATAATTTATTATAAATTTTTAAATGTGGACAATAACTGTTTTCCTTCTTTCACGTGGAACTATAAATATTTTACCATAAATTAAAAAGAAGAAACGCGAAAACATCTTTATTTTTAAGAGAAATACGTTAATTTTAATCGAATTAAAAATTTAATTAAATTAGAATTTTAAAAAATCATATATATTTTTCAAAGTATTTTTGTACGATATATTTTTTTCACGTGATTAAACGAACGTTGGAATTGAAGTCCCGACGTGCCTTATACCTAAAAATTCTTTAGTCCGAGAGACGCAGCAGAAAATATACATAAAACGTTCACGTGATCGGTGCTATAGCTACATAGAATGGCTGCCAAACGTCGATGCCCAGGGGCGAATTTTAAAGGACCCTCGCGGAGGGTCCTAGTAAGTAAGCCCAGTGTCTCTAGCATATAGGGATTAGGAAATTACGTTTCAGCCCTGCTCTGTCCAGCCATTGTTCACGTGTATTTGTTTATATTCCTCGCCACATTTGGCTGAACGAAGTATAGCTATCCCTGGACGAAATGACTCCATGTTCCAGTACCCTCGATCGATCGGTCCGCGCCCAACTCGAGCTGCAGTCAACCTCGACATAGCTTACACGCGAACGAAGGGAACGTCACAGAACCAATGCTGCTCACAGACATGACTGGAGGGTCCCTGGCGAGGCCTAGTGGCCGTTCACATCGTGTCTCTGCCGCATGGGGTAGCAGCCAATTAAGGAACCATCCCATGAGGTCTGACCGCAGACACGTATACGCGTCTATACTACAGGACCCATACCCCAGTTGAGTAGGCACAACTGTTGTGTAGAGTTCCGTAGTTTAGGCTACGCACCAGGGACGGAGTGGTATTCTGATCGGCTAACTCCACATTTGATGCTCTATATGGCTAAATTTCCAATATAATAGTAGGATAAATTATAAACCTTGATAAAATCTATCTCACGTTAAATTATTAATCCTTATTCTATCGATTCTTTAGTATTTTACCCTATTTGCTCTGTCTCTGATGTGTCCTGTCTATTCGTCCTGTGATCCGATAAAACTCTGTTTCCAGATGTAACAATTTTAGCGAATAACGGATATTATCCTTAGGATGTGACCTATCTTAGAGATTGAGTTTGGAAAGGATTTACTGTGTAGAGTTATGTAGTTTAGACTATGCGACAGGGACGAGATTGGTATTCTGATCGGCTGTCTAACTTCACATTTGATGCTCTCTATGGATAAATTTCTAATATAATAATAGGATAAATTATAAACTTTGATAATATTTGCTTATCTCATGTTAAGTTATTAATCCTGATTCTATCGATTCTTTAGTGTTTTACCCTATTTGTTTGCCTCTGGTGTGTCCTGCCTATTTTATTTGTCATGTGATCCGATGAAACTCTGTTTCTAGATGTAACAATTTCAGCAAATTACGAATATTATCCACATGCTGTGATCTATCTTAATGGCCGTGGTCTATTGTATGGTAGATCCTATTTGGTGAGATCCTGTTCTATCTGATACTAAGATAGTTCCTATCTCTATTCTATCCAAAGGTCATCTAGCTTCGCATGTTATGTGTATACCAATGTTTTATCTCACTCCTCGTTCAGTATTCGATTTGTAGAGGTGATTCTTCCAGTTAATAATGAAAATTCGTGTTAGCTATTGTTAAAATTATATTAGGGAAGATAGATATATTACATTACGCTTAATCAAATCGGGATTTGTTCTGAGTACGGACTCGGAGCTCCACAGTATACCTAGGTCGATCAGGGCTACAGACCCTCGTCTTGGCGCTGCGTACACTATCAGCCCCCATGTCATGCCAACGAACTCGTAGCATGATCGATGGTAGAGAATGGCTCGAGAGGTTCGCAGTCGACTCCAGGCAGACTTACGAAAACGTGGAGCTACCGAGTGCACGACTACCCTGGCACAGATAACTAATAATTGGATTTTATAATGCTTGTAATTGTGTCTTATTTAATGGATAAGGTAAGTGGGAGAAATTGTTTGAGGGTTTTTTGCCCTTGTTTCATGCCGAATAGTGTATGCCTGAACTATAAGCGCGTACAAAGAACATAGACTAGGGGTCTAACTTATAATTGGCTGAAAGTGAGACGCAAGTATTTCTCGATTTCATTTCTTGTTTGAAATTCTTGAACGAGAAAGGAATTTACGAAACGAATACAATGTCAACGCAAATAAAGTCGAATACTCAATTAATATATTGTAGTATTCAAATTGAAGATAACGGCAATGGTCAAAATAAAACATCGATATCGGTACAGGATATAAATAGAAATATTGAAATTTATCAGAAAAGAATTGAAATATAATGATTCATTAACAAAAATGTGTCGTCTTTAACGTAATATATAATTAATCAGATTGATAATTGAGTCGTTCACTGAACAAATCGATTAACTCCACTTGTTGAAAAATCTTAAATTTAAGTGTCAAAGCACTTGGTATAATTGTAACTTTTTACATTTATAATAACTTTCCTTGATAATTAAGATTAACACTATTAAACGACAACAATTTTTTGGCCACTGAATAATGAATAATTTATTTCAGAGGTCACTTTGATTAACTCCGTACTCTAATGTAAATCGTTGCAATAACGCAACTCAAATGCACTAGCAAACCATGAATGATAACGGTGAATTTTATAGTGCCGCCTTATCAGAATTTAAATAAAATTTAGTAAAATTTAAATTTATTACTTTTTTTCACTTGCCAAATCGATTAACTCTTCCAGTAACATAAAAATGGTAACATTACCAACGATTACCTTTTGGCTATTTTTTCTTATAAATTTAAATTTGATATACCGTTAGATGAAAGTTACATTTGTATTTATGTATTCTACGATATTTATTTCGATATTTATTTTAAATTATAAAGGGAATTTTAAGAAACAATATATATTATTTCATTGCATTTCTCCACTTTTTATTTTATGGAATTAATTAATTTGTGCAGTGAACGGCTTAATTCACATATTGCTTTTCTTGCTACTTGTATGAAGAATAGCAAATACTGAAATAAAGTTGAGTTAAAATATTTTGAAACTCAGAAATATTTTTTAATTATATAAATAATGCAATTGTTATAAGAATATTTCATCGGTATTAAGTTTCTTTCTAGTTGTAATTTAACAATCCATTGTTGAATCATTAAAAAGTTAATTCAGCTATTTCGTCATAGTTAACCAACACCCATTCTATTCACATTTCATTGTCACACGAGACGTAGTTCAAATTTCGATTAGTTCAATCCGCAGTCTAATTGGTGAAGAAGGTATAAATAAATAATAATTATTTTAAATTATTTTAATTATTTATTTTATAATTGTTTTTTAAAGTACACTTGTAGAATAGAACTGTTTAAATGGAATAATAAAGAAGATAACAATAAAAGATATATTCTTTTTCATTTTTAGATATTTTATAAACATTAAAAAAGATTTGAATATTATTTATTATTTATGTTATTTATGTTTTTCAAGCAATTGGAAATTGCCACATTTTTAATACAATGAATCAAACGTATTAAAATTACTTTAACCTATTACTACTTATATTGCAAATATCAAATATTAATATTAAATTCAGACATATATAATTGAAAGTATCAAAAAATTAATTCTTTGTTCATAACAAAAATTTATGCCGTTTTAAATAAATATTAATATTAAATTCAGACATATATAATTGAAAGTATCAAAAAATTAATTCTTAGTTCATAACAACAATTTTTCTACCTTGCTTATTTTTAAGTGAATTCCACCCATCGGAGCCAGAGTTAACGATTTTGGGTTATTTACGTAAGAAGTCATTGTCTTTTCACAAACATCAATTCTGAAATTTTCCAACATTTTTATCAGCCCAATTTTGGTTTGATAAAGTGCAAAACGTGCTCCTGGAACAATAATTAAGTTCATTAGGATGGATAAACATAAATAAATCAACTTAATGTATTCATTAATTTTTATTTTCTTCACAACATCCATTTTAATGATTTTTACTATGTTTAAAGATCTGTATGATTAAAGAATTAACTGTGAATTTTATGCATTATAAATTGCACTAAATATTTTACTTATTTTTTACAGTATAATTTTCTGTTGCCTGAGCCGTTCGCTGCACAAATTGATTAACTCCACTTTTTGAAAAATCTTAAATATAAAAAGTTATGACTATACCAAGTGCTTTGACACTTAAATTTAAGATTTTTCAAAAAATGGAATTAATAGATTTGTGCAGTAAACGGTTCGTATATTATACGTTATAAAATAAAATATTACATGATATTAAAATACATATATGTATAATATGTATGTGATTATAAGACACAATTTTACGTCATAATTTTAAAGAATTCTTGTTCATTCATTAATTGGATTGCGAATTTACTCAATTTAAAATTACAACGATTCACATATTTATCAAAAGGAAAAGGAAATAAACACAAATTGTGTATCTCAAAAACAGTTATCCAATGTAATCAAGTGCAAAGTGAACTGATGTTTTGAACTTTGAACTGCAATAACTCGAAAATGAAAATATCTATCAGAGATTCCACGTTTTCCTTACAACCACAAAAATAAACGTATAATATATAATGATGCAATATTATAGTACGTAACATCGTAGTATATAATAATGCAATATATAATTTTGTACTATATAACGTATACAATACTATAATACAAACTATACATAATTTATAATATTATATAATTACTACATCTTTTATAAAATAATTATTTAGTTATTTATTTATTATTATAATATACTTTTCCAATTACCAATGCAATTTCTTGGTCCATCGCCGAAAGGCAAGAAGCTCATCGGATGTCTGGCAGCCTCTGCATCTTCGTTGAATCTTTCTGGGTCGAAGACATCCGGATTTGGGTAGATATTAGGATCTTTCTGAATTCCATACACTGGTATAATCAGCTTGGTTCCCTTAGTGATCGTTACTTTCGTACCACTAAAGGTATAATTGCCATTGCATTTTCTCCTTAAAAACATTGCTGGTGGATACTTCCTAAGTGTCTCTGTTGAAGAAAGACAAATGTATACAATGTTATAAATATTTCACTGTATTACAGAATGGTCGAATAATATATTTCGCATAAAATTTATAATTAATATTGTAGTATCGCAGAATGCCCACCTCGTGTGTAGGTGACTTTGGGTTGGAAAGTCGCCGAGGGTTCGAGGGCCAGGTCATTTGAAAAAACCTCGGCGATGCGTCAGGCCCTTAGCATGACCATATTTGGTCGTGTTGGGGGAGGCTTTTTAGGAAATATATAAGGAAGGCACGATTTTTGAGAGAGGATTAGCGAGAGACGATTCGTGAGGGAAGATTCTTGATAGACGCTTCTTCTTGAGAGACAGTTCTGGAGAGTTGCTTGTAGTCGTGTTGTGAGTTGTTATCGTGTTGCTAGTTGTAATCGTGTTCTTAGGTATAATTGTGTCGTTGTAGTCGTAAGAGTTTAGTTGAAATATATACATATCTATATTCGTAGTCTTTACCGTCACCGCACATTGTATTATATTAATATTTTATGCTCAATAAATAGTAGTTATATTATTTACCAACCACCCACTCAATCTCTACAATATATATATATACTATCTAATTTATAATTAGAAAAAAATGAAACGATCGTGTCGCTTCATCGATAGTTTATAATTCCATATTTTTGCTGCCAAGTATTTTGTGAAACATTAATAGAGATTCTTTTTCTTTCTCTTTCTATAGAATTTCGTTAACCGTTTCTCTTGTCTACAGTTTTGAAGCTTCAAAATTATTAATTTAATAATTGGCACATACCTTTAAATACCTTGTCCAAGTATTTCATGTCCTTGACCACATTGTACGTAAGATTACCATTGTTCTTGGTACTGAACTCTTTCATTTCCTCGCGTAGTTTGTCCTGTATAGAAGGGTTCAGGGCCAGTTCGTAAAGAGCGTGGCCAATTGTCGTGGAGGATGTCTCAAATCCAGCCGCGAAGAAGATGAAAGCTTGGGCGGTGAGCAGAGTGTCTGTTAAATCTGGAAATTTTTGTAAATCTCAATTAAAGTAACAAATTAAACATCATTGAATATATTGCTATTTCAATGTTTAGAATTTCTGAATTATCTCGAATGGTTGAAACTTTTAATTTTTTAAACCCTAATAAAAGTTTCGCGTTTAGAAAATTTGAAACTTTGTAATTTTTTCGTTTATCCTATTATAAATTGTGATAACCTGGATACGAAAAAATATAAAATTTACAAATAAGTAATCGTTATCTATATTTTGATTTTTATTTTCGTGTTGCCTAAATATATCGAAAGAAGATATATGCAAGAATTTTCAAACGAAATATTCTCTTTAAATCGAGTAATTTAAATTTTAAGAGTTTCGAGTATCAAAGTTTTACGAATTTTTGGATTCGAGTAATTCTCGAATTTGAAAATTGTACGTCTCCAAACAGATATGTATATTAACGTATAATGATAATAATAATTTGAGGGGTACATATAATATCATTATTACTAATTACCAAAATGTTAAACTTATGTTAATGAGGATTTACTAAGAGCAAATTTTCTTCCGAATTTTGATTAGCTTTATTAATATCCGTCTTCATACTTTTTCCCAAAAGCAAGGTATAATGCTACAGTAATGCAACTGCAGTAGAATCATGCTGGGATTCACTGTACACGATCGATTTATTGATCGCATTATTATAGAAAGAATGTGCAATTTTTATCGAGGAAAACTGAAAAACATTGCTCGTGATAAGACCTAGTATATTATATTCGTAATAAATACAGTCTGCAATCTCTCTGACATATTTAAAGTATACACTTGTCAGTGTCAGGTACCTATACCCTCTGTGATAACAGGTAGTACTTTTGCCACGAACCGTATCTCGTTTTCTAATCATTGACATCGATAGGAAATAAAATTACTCGACTCACCGATATTCTCCAGTTTATCCGGATGCTTCTTCAACTCCATCAGCATGTTTATAAAATCTGGCCTCACGACGTTGTTCTCTTCTCTATACTTGATCGTATCCGAGATGACTTTCGTCAGGAACGTGGTTATTTCCGTTTGCGGTAACAGGTAGGAAAGTAAACCATAGATTCCTGGCGCAGACTCTCGTAGAGTGAACCTCAGTGCCAATATGAAATCCTGGTCGAAGATCTTTCTTCCTATTCTTCGAAATTCGCTGCGCTCGTTTTCCAGGGTGTTCATGTTGATCCCGAAAGCACAGTTGCCAATCACGTCTGTGGAGTACCTCGCTGCTATTTCGCGACACTCTATTATGGGTTCGCTCTTTTCTGCCACTTTGTCCAAGCATTGCTCCAAATGTTCAGCACACTCCAGTATCAAGGGGAACATATCTTTTAATTTGCCGGAAGTGAACACTGGCGACAATCTCATTCGCAGTGGCCGCCATCTTTCCGGCTCCAGGTTGAACAAGTTCGCCGTCAGCGGATCAGACTGCGTTTATAATTAAATAAAAATAATTGGATTTTAAGAATCGTGGATAAAAGAGCGGAGAAAAATGATTTTAGTTAACACGTTAAGCGCCACGGCGGTCCCCTGGGACCGACGCTAGGCTCTCCGTTCGGGCCCGGCCGGTCCTCAGGAACCAGCTCAGACTTGGACCGAACGGTGCTAACTTTTGGTGTTAAATTCTTCGCCATCTTTGGACCTAATGTTTGGGAATTTCTGTTATAGCAATTGGTGCAGTATTTCCGAATTTTATGAATACTTCGTCGGTGGTCCACTTGACGGCGGGGTTTGGGCCTGAACGGAACGGCAAGCGAAACGGGCTGGGCACTTAACGTGTTAAATGTATTTACTTAATTACATTATATATTTATAGATACGGTGTATTTGCTATTCTAAGGTGTACTGTTGATTTTTATTCAGATAGTATTGAAGTCTATAGTAAACGAGCGTGTAGATGTGTCCATTCTTTTAAATATGTGATATACATATGAATATTTATGCAAAGGAAACATAATAATTGGCTTTTATATAAATAACTTATGTAAATAATTTTCAATAATGAATATTTCTTTATTCATTTGTTATTGTTTCTTGCATTGCTTTTATTGACAGCAGAAATTAATTATTTTCAATTTGACAGACTTCATATTTCCCAAATTTGAATTTATTATTAATTTTTTTCGCTGCGATAACCTTGAAATAGAAGAAACTTTTGGTATGCAGGTAAGACATAATTATGAATATAGACATTTTTGTTCTCCATATAATTATACCATAATTGCGTGTATCAGTGATTGGCTACTAGACATTTGAGAAAATAGTATATATATGTTCTTCATAATGAAAAGATTAATAGATATCATAATTTCTTATATTTAAAGTGAAATGAATGAGAAAATGATCTATTTTATGATTTTAATAATTGTTCCTATGTTATTATTACTATAAATACTGATAGTAATGACAAAATATACTCAAAAAATTAGAATTATCAGTGCATTCCTTAATGATTATTTTCCATATAACGATATCTGTAATTATATCTCTAATTTCTACTTCGAAATCTACTTCGATTTCGCTAGAGAAAATCAATATTGAAATTATAAATAATTGAAAATTTCAATAAATTGCAAATTTTGGTTCTATTTAATTTTACCATTTACACATAAAGTATAGAAATATTTGCAAAATATATTAATAGGATATACAAATTAATAAATTCTATAAAAATTCGATAAATATAAAATCCACAATATTCATACAACATAAAACTATTTTTATTGCACACATTCTGCAAATATACAATCACTGATCCTTCAGAAAATTTCCCAAAATTCTCACCTAGCATAACTTCAGTTATACCAACGTTCTCACCATTTACAATTCAAATTCCTCAAATTTTATTCTCCTTTCACATATTCCTAACTAATAACATTTTTTCGTTAACGTGTCTCTGTCAAATTCTCTTGAATCGCTGAATTCTATATATCAAGAGTAAAATGAAAATTTAATTTAAGTATTAATCTCTCGTATACATACCCTCTCGAAAACATTCGATCCCCTGTCATCGAACGAAGAGAAGTCTTTGATTAAAACGTCCTTGATGAGGTCCATGTCTCGCAAAATAACAGTCGGCGTTACTCTTGCAAATATACCGATCATAATCTCGTCCTTGTATTCGTTATATATCTGCGCCACGTAATCACCCAAATTAATCTTCCTGAGCAGAACATCCTTGACGTTGCCGAAAATTGGTATAGGCTTAGGTCCAACCACACCGCGATTTTTCCAATAATCGAACGACGACCCCAGGTAATAGTATAACGCGAGCAACAGCGCCACGAGGACCCCTAAGATTTGCAAGTAGTCGGCCATGACAGTTCGCAGAGACTGGCTGTTGCTCAGTCCACTATTTGCCGTTGAATGCTACTCTTGGACGAAAAGTCGTTACACACATCGTTAAATTATCTTCACCGTTATTTCATGAACGTCAATGTTTACTCTTCCAGGCGCACGTGTGTATGCGTGTGTGTATGTGTGATTTGAAATGAGAATATCATCAGTTCCACCTAGATTCTACAACGAATCATCATGACTTCGTATGTCTGATACAGGAGAAGCATGATCTGCATTTCTGTTAATTGTTAATCGAATAGCTGTTAATGATATAAAATGTGCCTGATGGATTGCTTGTTCTTGAAAACTGAGTACTTTCGAATTTCTGGAAATGATTGGTGATGATTTCATTTGTTGATTAACATATTAAGTGCCACGCTGGTCCCCAGGGACCAGCGTTAGACTTTTCGTTCGGGCCCAGCCGGTCCTCAGGGACCAGGCCAGACTGGGACCGAAAGATGCTAACTTTTGGTGTTAAATTCTTCGCCATCTTTGGACCTAATGTTTGGGAATTCCTGTTATAGCAATTGGTACAGTATCTTCGAGTTTTATGAATACTTCGTCGGTGGTCCACTTGACGGCGGGGTTTGGGCCTGAACGGAACGGCAAGCGAAACGGGCTGGACACTTAACGTGTTAATTAGGGACGTAGGAATTTGATTTTGGAATTGGATATATCATTTTTTGGTGATTTTGCTTGTTATAATGATCGTTTAGACAATTTTTATAGATATTTGAACTGTAATCGGAATCTCTTATCGGAGTCTTATATTTACAACTGTTTTCTGTATCTCTCTGTCAATCAAACCTGTGGTAGATAATTGGAGATAATAGATTTTCGTTATTCTTCGATGACGGTTGTTAAATAATTTCTAATAATTTGTTTTCTTTCTCGTTTTCAACCTTGATTAATTTTTTACACTTGAATGTGAGTATTTAAAGTTGTATTATTTTATTCTGTGAAATTGTTATTCGACTTAAATTGAAATAGACATTTTTCAGTTATATTTTTTTAAATTTATAATATTATACGTTCTGTAAAAAAGTAGGCTTTATTATATATATATGCATGTATTACTAATGTAGTAATTATATTTATTATTGAAATTGTACAAAGAAAATGGTTGATTGAACAGTGATCGTTATATTTGTAGATATAAAAAGAAAAAGTGACTTTAAAGGATTTGCCCTGATTTCTCATTACAAAGTTTGTCACAACACTGTCTTCTCGAGAGAATCGTCCCTCACTTTCTCTAATTTTTCCCTTAAATCTCCCCTCACCCCAATAGTTACCGAAAATATTGCAGATCCACGTGTAAACTGTTTATCGACTAACATTTTTCCCAAACCTACCTCTTGTTTGCAGGGTTTCACTTCTTTTCTCTTTACAAAGCAGATAATACTACATTATAAATAGAAATATCTAGATTTATCAGTGAAGAAATCAAATATATATTGATTCATCAATAAAAATGTACGAAGAATAGCAAATACTGAATAAAGTCAAGAAAATTTTCTGGAACCAAGAAATATTTTGTATAAGAATATTTTAAAATAAAAATAGGAATATTAGTGTTAACCATGTCTCATTCAATTCACATCACGGTATAACTCCAGTTCAAATTTCGATCTGTCCAATCCGAAGTCTAATTAATGAACAAGGTGTAAATAAATAATAATTATTATTTTAAATTATTTAAATTATTTATTTTACAATTGTTTGTTAAATTACACTTGTAAAATAAAGTTATTTATTTTAATAGTCATTTTAACGTTGGTAAAGTCTTATTTCTTTAAATTTGTAGAAATTATTTACATCGCGCAAAAAAATGATTAATTTATTTACAAATAGAAGAACAGAGAAAGTAGCAATAAATAGTATTTTCTTTTTTATTTTTATGTATTTTACAAACAGTTTCAAAAATTTGAACATTATAATGTCGCAATGTTTCTTGTTTATGTTGAAAGATGAAGGATTTAATATAATTTTTGTGATTTACACATATTTTCGAGCAATTGGAAATTCCCTTAAGGTATTAAAATTACTTTAACATATTACTACATAGATCTCAAATATCAAATATTATTATCAAATTCGGACATATATAATTGCGGAGTATCAAAAAATTAAATCTCGCTTTGTAACAAAAATTTATGCAGTCATAGAATGTCATTTGAATATTTCAAAACAATACCATATGTTATACGTGTTCGATGTGTCTCAATTTATTTCAGTTTTGAGTTCATTTTTGTACCTTGCTTATTTTTAAGTGAATTCCACCTATCGGAGCCAGTACACGAGTCGTTGGATTATTTACATAAGGAATGACTGTCTTTTCACAAACATCAACCCTGAAATTTTGCAACATTTTTATCAATCCAAGCTTGGTTTGATAAATTGCAAAACGTGCCCCTGAAACAATAATTAAGTTCATTAGCATGGATAAAAATAAATAAATCAACTTAATGTGTTAAATAATTTCAATTTTCTATATAATATCCATTTTCATGTTTTCTACTTTGGTACAATAACAATAAATTAATTGTGAATTCAATGCAATATAAAGTGCATTTAATATTTTTCGTTCTGTTTTTAATATATCTTTCTATAATATATTAATCATAATAACATTACATATTACATAGTATTAACCCTTCAGTCGCCATTTAATAAAATTTCGAAGCTGGATATTAATTAATACATCAAATTTAAAATAATGCAACGGTGTACGAGGTATTGAAGTCAAATAATTCTGCGTTAATTCTGTGTTAATTATTATACGATTTCTTATTTACTGCTCGAAAAGTATCATTAGCCTTATAGCAGAAAATTTTTCAACTTGTACCCTTCTTTAGCCAAAAAATCGTCGAGCGCAAAGGGTAAAAAGTCATATATGTATGATATATATACGATTATAAGAAAGAATTTTGCATGTCATGATTTCAGAAAATTCTTTTTCATTCGTTAATTGGATTGCCAAACCCAATATACGAGTACAGTTTACGTATTTACCAGAGTAAAATAGAAGAAAAAGCAAATTTTGTTTCTTAAAAAGAATTATATAATATAATCAAATACAAAATGAACTTATACTCTGAACTCTGAACTGCAATATTTAAAAAATAAAAATATCTGTCAGAGATACGACGTTTTCTTTATAATCACAAAAATAAAGATATAATATATAATATCATAGTGTTCAATACGCAATATTATTAGGTTGTTCGAAAAGTCATTTCGTTTCTTTTTTTTTTTTTTTATTAAAATGAAAGATGATTTTATTTAATAAAATTTCGAAGCTGGATATTAATTAATACATCAAATTTAAAATAATGCAACGGTGTACGAGGTATTGAAGTCAAATAATTCTGCGTTAATTCTGTGTTAATTATTATACGATTTCTTATTTACTGCTCGAAAAGTATCATTAGCCTTATAGCAGAAAATTTTTCAACTTGTACCCTTCTTTAGCCAAAAAATCGTCGAGCGCAAAGGGTAAAAAGTCATATATGTATGATATATATACGATTATAAGAAAGAATTTTGCATGTCATGATTTCAGAAAATTCTTTTTCATTCGTTAATTGGATTGCCAAACCCAATATACGAGTACAGTTTACGTATTTACCAGAGTAAAATAGAAGAAAAAGCAAATTTTGTTTCTTAAAAAGAATTATATAATATAATCAAATACAAAATGAACTTATACTCTGAACTCTGAACTGCAATATTTAAAAAATAAAAATATCTGTCAGAGATACGACGTTTTCTTTATAATCACAAAAATAAAGATATAATATATAATATCATAGTGTTCAATACGCAATATTATTAGGTTGTTCGAAAAGTCATTTCGTTTCTTTTTTTTTTTTTTTATGAAAATGAAAGATGATTTTCTTATAGTGAATAAATATTTTATTTTTTATTTAATGTTTTATTTTTTTATACGAAATTACTTTCTGAATAACCTAATATATTATGTAATATGGTGGTATATAATATTGTAATATGTAATTTTGTACTATATGATATATATAATATTATGATACAAAATATGCATAATTTACAATATTGTATACCTATTAAAATTTTAATAAAGTCATTGTTTATTTGTTTACTTATTAGTATAATACATTTTTCGAATTACCAATGCAATTTCTTGGTCCATCGCCGAAAGGCAAGAAGCTCATTGGATGCCTGGCAGCCACTGCATCTCCGTTGAATCTTTCTGGGTCGAAGACATCCGGATTTTGGTAGACATTAGGATCTTTTTGAATTGCGTACAGTGGGATAATCACCCGGCTTCCTTTAGTGATCGTTACTTTTGTTCCACTAAAGGTGTAATTGCTATTGCATTGTCTCTGTAAAAGCGTGCCTGGTGGATATTTCCTAAGAGTCTCTGTGAAAGAAAGACACATGTATGCAATTTTATAAAACATTTTACTGTATTATAAAAGAATCAGACAAGAATATCTTTCGTATAGAATTTATAATTAATGTATATACAATTTATAATTAAAGGAAAATGTAACGATCATGTTGCTTCATCGATAATTTATAATTCCATATTTCTGTTGGCAAGTATTATGTGAAACATTAATAGAGATTCTTTTTCTTTTCTCTTTTTTCCACATGTTCTTTTGACTATAGGGCTGAAGCCACAGAATTGTTAATCCCTTGCACTCGACGATTTTTTGGCTACAGAAGAGTAGAAATTCAAAGATTCTCTACTAAAAAATTGACGATACTTTTTTGAGCAGTAAATAAAGAATCGTAGATAATAGACTAATACACTAATAATAATAGAATAATAATAGACTAATAATAGAATTGTAGAATTATTTGACTTCGATACTTCGCACACTGTTACATTACACTAAATTTGGTATATTAATTAATATCGATATTCCAAATTTTATGAAATGGTTTCCAACGGTCACCTCTCGAGTACAAAGGTTTAATTTAATAACAACCTAATTGGCAAATACCTTTAAATACATTGTCCAAGTATTTCATTTCCTTGACCACATTGTACGTGAGGTTGCCATTATTCTTGGCACTGGACTCTCTCAATTCCCTTCGCAGTTTGTCCTGTATAGTGGGGTTCAGGGCCATTTCGTAAAGAGCGTGACCAATTGTTGTGGAGGATGTCTCAAACCCAGCCGCGAAGAAAACGAAAGCTTGGGCGGTGAGCAGAGTGTCTGTTAAATCTGGAAATTTTTGTAAATCTCAATTAAAGTAACAAATTAAACATCCTTTAATATATTGCTATTTCTATGTTTAGAATTTCTGAATTATCTCGAAAGATTGAAACTTCAAATTTTTTAGACCCTAATAAGAAAGTTTCGCGTTTAGAAAATTTGAAACTTTGCAATTTTTTCGTTTGTCCTATTATAAATTGTGATAACCTGGATACGAAAAAATATAAAATTGACAAATAGAGAATCTATATTTTGATTTTTATTTTCGTATTGCCTAAATATATCGAAAGAAGATATATGCAAGAATTTTCAAACGAAATATTCCCTTTAAATCTAGTAATTTAAATTTTATGAGTTTCGAGTATCAAAGTTTTACGAATTTTTGGATTCGAGTAATTCTCGAATTTGAAAATTGTACGCCTCCAAGCAGATATGTATATTAACGTATAATAATAATAATAATTTGAGGGGTACATATAATATCATTATTACTAATTACCAAAATGTTAAACTTATGTTAATGAGGATTTACTAAGAGCAAATTTTCTTCCGAATTTTGATTAGCTTTATTAATATCCGTCTTCATACTTTTTCCCAAAAGCAAGGTATAATGCTACAGTAATGCAACTGCAGTAGAATCATGCTAGGATTCACTGTACACGAACGATTTATTGATCGCATTATTATAGAAAGAATGTGCAATTTTTATCGAAGAAAACTGAAAAACATTGCTCGTGATAAGACCTAGTATATTATCTTCGTAACAAATACAGTCTGCAATCTCTCTGACATATTTGAAGTACACACTTGTCAGTGTCAGGTACCTATACTCTCTGTGATAACAGGTAGTACTTTTGCCACGAACCGTATCTCGTTTTCTAATCATTGACTTTGCTAGGAAATAAAATTACTCGACTCACCGATATTCTCCAGTTTATCCGGATGCTTCTTCAACTCCATCAGCATGTTTATAAAATCTGGCCTCACGACGTTGTTCTCTTCCCTATACTTGATCGTATCCGAGACGACTTTCGTCATGAAAGTGCTTAATTCCGAAGGAGGTAACACGTAGGAAAGTAAACTGTATAATCGCGGTGCAGTTTCTTGTATAGTGTGCAACACTGCCGATTTGAAATCCTGGTCGAAGATTTTCCTGCCTATTCTTCGAAATTCGCTGCGCTCGTTTTCCAGAGCGTTCATGTTGATCCCGAAAGCGCAGCTGCCAATCACGTCCGTGGTGTACCTCGCTGCTGTTTCGTTACAATTCATTGGTTCACTCTTTTCCGCAATTTTGTCCAAGCATTGTTCCAAATGTTCAGCGCACTCCAGTATCAAGGGGAACATATCTTTTAATTTGCCGGAAGTGAACACTGGCGACAGCCTCATCCGTAGTGGCCGCCATCTTTCCGCCTCCAGGTTGAACAAGTTCATAGACATCGGATTGGCCTGCGTTTACAATTAAATGGAAATAATTGATTTCCAAGAATCACGAGGAAAAGAGTTCAAACAAATATTTTTAGTTAAATGTATTTCTTAATCTTTTAACGATCAACATTGACACCTTCATCGCTAGATGGAAAACGGAGGTTCAAGGTTTCTCGCAAGCCCTTGGTGAATCCTCGACTTCTATAAATACAAATTTCTGTGCTACCTGAGTATCCCACGTCTAAGACATGGCCTGCTAGAAAGCCTTACCGTCGAGTCGACTAGCAGGCCCAAAACGAAACGCATCTCTTCCTTGCGTCCTTCTACCTGCTATCTATCATAGCAAGGCTGCCTGCGGGATGCCAACCGGCAGCACAAAGGAACCCTAGACACAATAATAATCTCCGTGGGAGGGACACCTCCACAATCCTTGAAATACCGTTTCGACGGTATTATTACTCTCATTAGGAAATACCATACTGCCGGGACCCTCTATCGCAGGTAAAACTCGGTGGCACTTTGACGCTTGGCCTTCATGTACACCAAGTATTTGAAGTATAGGGCAATAATTCAGATCGTTCTTCCGGAAAACCGTTTGTAGCCCCTACCCTTGCATCTCAAATTCGGAAACTCTATTATTCATACCATGCAATAGCAAAATACATAGTCCTACCACAAGGGTCCATATAAAGTCTAGATTTGGTAACACGTGGCATATAAAGCACACAATATAATAACTCTGACAGTCCACTTACTATTCGAGGTTATGCACAATCTCCTCGAAGTGACGTCCATCACTAATAGTCAATCAAGAACGACCTACTGACGATATACAGTATATATGTACTCGTATAATATATTTAAACTTCGGTGTATGTGCTATTCTATAGTGTATTGTTGATATTTGCTAAGATAGTATTAAAATCTATAGTAATAGCATAGATGTACCAAATTTTTTGAAATATACATAGAGCACATAGATGTATCAAATTTTTTGAAATATGTGTTATACATGTTGTTTAATTATAATGATCTAAAAAAAAAACACATTTCATTTTAGCACTTTAATGGCCGCATGTTTACGCAGTTTAACTTTGCCAGGGGCCGGCAATATTTTTGAAGAATTAATTGAAAAAAACTCTATTTAAAATTCACGAAATAATACAACGTGTGCGAACATACACATAAATCAAAGAATAATAACAAGATAACAAGAAATTTAATATTTTTCCTTGCTGTGATAATTATTAATTGTGAAACAGTGAGCGGACAATAACAGCGGCCATTAAAGTGTCAATGTAATTAATTTGAAAACATAATCAGGGATCCCACAGAAAATTTCCACCAACGTAATTTCATTTATTCTAACGTTCGAACTATGTCTCAATCCAAATTCTTAGAATTTCATTCTCTTTTCACATATTCCTATCCAGTGACGTTTTCACGATAAGATATTTCTGTCAATTTATCTTGCATCGCTATATTCTACGTACCAAGATTAAGAGGAACAGTGAATTCAATTATTAATCTCTTGTGTACATACCTTGTCGAGAACAACCATTCCTCTATCGTCGAACGTAGAGAAGTCTTTGATTAAAACGTCCTTGATAAGGTCCATGTCTCGCAAAATTACAGCTGGATTGGCTCTTGCAAATATACCGATCATATTCTCGTTGTTGTATTCGTTGTATAGTTGCGTCACGTAATCACCCATACTAATCTTCCTGAGCAGAACATCCTTGATATTGCCGAAAATTGGTATAGGCTTAGGTCCAACCACACCGCGACTTTTCCAATAATCGAAAGACGATCCGAGGTAATAGTATAACGCGAGCACCAGCGCCACGAGGACCCCTAAGATTTGCAAGTAGTCGGCCATGACAGTTCGCAGAGACTGGCTGTTGCTCAGTCCACTATTTGCCGTTGAATGCTACTCTTGGACGAAAAGTCGTTAAACACATCGTTGTCTTATCTTCACCGTTATTTTCAGCTAGTTCGTGTTTACTTCTCCAGACACTCGTGTGTATGTGTGTGTTGGATTCCGAATGTTTGACTCTCGTCTCGATTCTGCTCATGACGCAATATGTTTGGTACAGGTACATGCATGATCTGCATTTTTATTATTTTTCTCGTCGGGCGTGTAGCTATTAGTGAAATCAATTGCTTGTTCTTGACAACCAAGTATTTACAAATTTCTATATACGTTTCGTGATGATTTTATTTGTTTGTTAATTAGGACCATGGAGATTTGGTTTTAGAATTGGATATGTCGTATTTTGGTGATTTTATTTGTCGATGTCGTAGTGACTGTGTTTGTACAATTTTTGTGGATATTCGAGCAGTGATCCGAATCTGTTATTAGAGTCTTATCTTTGTAATTGTATTGTGCTTCTCTGTGTTAGTCGAACTAGTGTTGGATAATTGTAGACAATCGATTTTCTAGATTTTTCGTTGCCGGTTGTTAGATAATTTTTAATCTGTTTTTTCTTTGAATTTTATACTTGGTTAATTTTGATATTTCCTCTACGTGACTGTTTAATGTCGTGTTATTTTACTGATGGAAATTGGTAATTGAGGTAAACAGAAATAAATGTTTTTTAATTACTTTTTTGTAGAACGTATAATATCATACATTAGAAAAAATGTATTCATTGATTATGTTATTGTCATATATTATTAGTAGCAGGTTAATGTTATATATTGCATCATACATCTAATTATAGAGTTATTTCATTTAAATACTGTTATTATGTTATACATTATTCATAAAGAGGCTCGTCTCGTTGAAGTTGTTATTGACTATAGATCATTATTTATTGAATTATCAGTTGATTTATTTTGCAGAAATTGAAAATCAAAGAAGAATTATAGTAAATGTATTATAGAATTAGAGTAAATGTATGCGTGCGTACAACTGAATTAAGTGAATCACATTACATAATTATAATTATAGTCATTTTTTGAGTGTGTCTGTTTTACTAAGTCTATTGTAATTGTGTGTAGATTATTTTATGTATAGTCGATGTTTTATCTCTAATTCCAATTTTGAAATTTTGTAATATCATTATCATACTTTTTTCTGTCTGATAAAATGTCAATCATTTTCTTGGAGGTAAGTCATGTATTAATAAGATTAAATTGTATTTACATTCAAAAATTTTTCGTTAACATGAGTTAGCTAAAAAATTAATTACGTAGTTCTTTTTTAATCTTGTTATTATAATATAATATTTAGGATAGTAGTTCAGAAAATGAAATTATTGAAATTATTAAACTAATTATTTAACATTGAAATTATTAAAATATTGGGTATTAAATTATTAAGTAATAAATCTTGTCTTTATAAGCTTACTTTTCTTTTATTTTCTTTATTAATATATATTACCATAAAGGACTTTTTAATTAATAATAAAATTTGTATGTCGACTGAATTCACTGTTGCTTATATTTCAAAGTGAAGTAAAATTGCCATTGATGTAAATTTTTGACAGAATAAGTAGTTTTCAAGTTCTATAGCGACACTTATATTCTTTTAAATTACTTATATCTTTATAAATGTTGCCTATAACTATTTATCATGTGCAGTCCATGTGCTACCTGGTTATTTAATATAAATATATATTTGATTTTAAATATCGCTTTGCTTACGAATTATTTGAATTTTAAATTCAATTAATAATATTATTGGACCCTTAAATTATGAAATTGTTAAAAAATATAAATTAACAAAAGTACAATTAGGAAAATTTATTATTTCCTTTTGTTTTGTAAAACACTTAAAAGATTGGAAAATAAATATTATGCTTGTTATAATTTATATTACGAATGTATTAAATAAATAAATTGTAAATTTATGAAATTTACAAATTTCTCAGCTCTTTATATTATTGATACAATGAACGTGTTTTATTACACGACTATCTTACAGGTGATTACAATTTGGTCAATGTTCAAGAAAAATAAATAAACCGTCATATTATACTTAACTAATCACAATACTCATCGAGATTAATATCATTATTTATTTCTGGACTGATATAATTACGAGAAACAAGTAGTGTTAAATGACACAGTGAAATCGCATATTCGAATTTTAATATGTTAAATAAAATTATTCGTGCATCATAAAGAAATAATAGAACTGTGTGTGCATCTTTAACTAGATATTATTCTTGAGTTAAGCCTAGGTTTTACAAAAATTCAAATAAATACCGATAAATACGAAATAAATGCGATAATAAATTCGAAATAAATATAAAAATTATTTAAAAGGAAGAACATGTATGTTTGCATTCGCCTCACAGTTTCGTTATTTTTAAATATATTCCTTCCTTCGGAGCCAATAAGAATGCACGTGGATTAAATACGTATGGAATCATAGTCTTTTCACAGGGTTCCACTTTGCAGTTACGAAGAATCGTAATTAGCCCAAGTTTGGTTTGATTAACTGCGAAACGTGCACCTGGAAATGATTTAATATCGGGAATTAATTAATTGCAAAATTTCCATTTCGTGATTTGTATAAAAATATTATAAAATCATTGAAACTATATTATTATATATAGAAAGCATACATCTACTATTATTACTATATAAACAGATATAGAAAATATTGTACTTTTTCCTTGTATACGAAATTGACACAATGTCACTTTTTCACGTATAATATTAATATTTTTTGGTCAATAATTTGAGAAAAAGCATAACAATATTGACTTACAGAGCAATAAGACACACTTCAAAATAATTTAGCAGTAATTAACTTATAAAATTGCTAGAAGTAATAAAAGACCAAAAACAAAGAAAAATATCTTGATGTTCAAAGATATTATTCTAAATTCTAAAATAACAATTATCTATGGACTTTCTATAATTTTCCAAGAATTCAGGGCCCAATTTTCCTTGGTTATCAGCAATTTTAATAAAAATTTTTCAACACTAGAACTATCGTAAACATAGTAGGCATAGGTAATAGTAATTTTAATAGTACTATTATATATTATATTATTATATATTATTATATTATATTATATTATATATTAAGATATTATTCTAAATTCTAAAATAACAATCATTTATGGTTTTTCTAAAATTTTCCAAGAATTCAGGAGCTAATCTTTCGTTCATCATCAGCAAATCGACACTCGAAGTTTAATAAAAATTTATTCATACTAGAATTACTATAAACATAGTAGGCATAGGTAATAGTAATTTTAATGGTACAATGAAGATAAGTGAATATATTAGTTACAGTTCTATCTCAATATCATTCTACACTAATTTTAATAAAGACAGGTATATATTTTTAATAATTGCGAAAAGAAAAGTTCTGTGACCAGTTATTTTGACTAGATTCGTAATTCTAGTGTTAAATATTTTCTCAAAAATTCTGCTATGACACAAAATTTGTTATCTGAATTTATTTAATTTTTTTTTTTCTATTTTGCATAAAGAAGTTGATAAAAATTAAAGATAGTGTAATGTAACGTACCAATACAATTTCTTGGTCCATCTCCAAATGGCATATAGTGCATAGAGTGTCGCGTAGCTACGACGTCGTCGTCGAATCTTTCAGGATCAAAAATTTCAGGATTTGGATAAATATCCGGGTCTCTGTGTATCCCAAGAATTGGTATCCATATCATTGTACCCTTTGGTATAGTAACTTTCGTATCATTGAAAGTGTAGTCCGATACGGATCTTCTCGTCAAGCGTGCACCTGGTGGATACATCCTTAATGTTTCTGCAAAAAGACATGTCATGGAATTCATACATCCATCACGAAATTCAAATACTGAACTATTACTTTCATTCTTAAGCTTGATTTTGCCGATTCATTAAGATTTAATGGGTGTTAAAGGAATTTAATATTAATTTAGGAATTTTTATATTAAGGTTGATTTTAATTAATATTAATTCATGGAATAAATAAATAAAAATTAATATTAATTTATATCATCGTTATTATTATATATATATCGATATTTATATTGTCATTATTAATGTACAGTGATAAATCGAAATTAAATATTTCAGGGATTTTAATATTCAAAACTGTCACTTTTTATTAGGGTAATTAAAATTAATATTCCAAATAGAAGATATTTTATTATTTATGAACATTCGTTTACACATACCTTTAAATACTTTGTCCAAATATTTCATTCCTTTGACATCGTCGTAATTTAATTTCTCGTTGCTTTCGCCACAATACTCGTGAATTTCTTCGCGAAGCTTATCCTGTATATCTTGATTCAAAGCTAATTCGTAAAGAGCGTTGCTCATAGTTGTCGAAGAAGTTTCGAAACCTGCTATGAAGAACACGAATGCTTGTGCTGTAAGCAGCGAATCCGTCAATTCTGAAAAAAAAAATTCGATAAATGTATAGGAATTTTACGAAGTTTCCTCTTAAATGTATCATAAATATTACTAAAAATTTCCAAAATTACAGAACTAACTTTAATATAAAAATTAACATAATTATAGTATTATATGAATGAGAGTTTCAAGCTTTGAAAAATTTATTAAGCACGTATACCCATCCTATTGAGAAGGAAATTTATGTAAATTTCGAACGAATCTTAATATTTTGAAATTTATATATCCACTAAAAGTAACGTCGAATAATATTTTAAACAAAACTCTCATTACTCTTCATGACTAACAGAGCAATTGTATTTCCATATAAGAAGATACTCTATATTTTTATTCTCGACACTTCCACGAGTAAGCGACTTCCTCTTAACTCACTAGCGCCACCACGGCTCTTAACTGCAACGAATGTCTCGCGAAGATCGTACATATCGTTGCACTATTTTCTAATTTTACTGATATAATCTTGGAGTTTTCTTTCTACTATCTGCATCATATTATTGCTATAATATTTTTCAGCCATAATTGTGAAAGGGTTAATCATTTTCTCACGTTGTAATGCTATTCTTAAACGTTTCCCAAACTTACCTATATTTTCCATTTTGTCTGGATGTTTCTGAAGTTCCATCAACATGTTAATGAAGTCTGGCCTATAAACATCATTCTCTTCCCTATATTTTATGGTCTCCATGATGACCCTCTGGAAGAACCAAGTGTACCTCTGTTTAGGTATCACGTAACCGAGTAAATCGTAAAATTTTGGCAAAAATTGTCTCATCCTCATTCGTATGGAGTTTTGCAGACTCGCTGCGAACACATCTTTGCCCATTCGTCGGAATTCGCTGTCCTCGTGCGCCAATGCGCTCGTCTCGATGCCAAAGGCGCAGGTACCGATCACATCGGTCGTGAATTTCGCTGTTAATTCAACACAATCGATCGGTTCTCCTTTCTCGATCTCCTGGTTCAGGTATTCTTCCAAGTGTTGCGTGCACTCGATAATAAGATGGTACATCTCTTTTAATTTGCCGGACGTGAATATCGGGGAGAGCTTGGATCTCAATGGCCGCCATCTTTCTGGTTCCAAGTTGAACAGATTCGGAGATAGTGGCTCCGCCTGTGGACATTCAACTCAAGTTAATTTAACTCGCTTTTAGTTAGTTCAAATTTAACACGATTGCATAGATTTTAATAGAATTGTTTTTCATAAAAATTCACTTTAAATCGATAATTAAAAATTTACATTTCATCGAGGGATTTCATTATGTATTTTCTGAGATAATTGTTTAACATTCATGAAAGTAAAAGGATTTGGTATAACGATTTAACCTTGCAATTTCACTTACCTTTTCGGGTACAACATTTCCACGATCGGAGAAATGGGAGAAATCTCTAATGAGGACATCTTTCATGAGTTCTGAGTCATTCACGATGAGAAAAGGCGATCTTCTCATATATAAGCCAACCAGTGGTTCTCCTTTATATTTATTGTAAATGTCCATGACAAATTCTCCGGTCGACATTTTCGGAAACATGATGTCTTTGGTATTACCAAAGAATGGTAAAGGTCGTGGACCAAGTACTCCACGACTTTTCCAGAAGTCGAATGTCGAGGTCGCATAATAATAGATAAGAAGGACTAATGCGACTATGCCACAGAGAATGTCGAAGTAGCTCACCATTATTTGAGAAAACTCGAGATCAGATGTTGCAAGGTATTTGAGTTACCTAAAAAATAATTTGTATTATTTTGTAATAACTATCGCAATATTCTAGACGATATGTATTATTATACCTAACTTATATAATAATTTTCGTATAATAAAATATATATATAATAATTAAATAAATGTTATATAATAATGTACATAATAACTAAAATGTATAATGATATGCAATAATAATAATCGAAATATATAGTACTTATATTATCCTTTAAAATTATTGTCATAAAAATAGTAAAATAATTTTATTATATTAAAAATATATAACATAGATAAATTTAAGGGTTAAGATGACAAATTGTCTCTATGAGTAGTTTAAAGCAATAAACAATTGAAAGGTAATGTTTGTTCGCTTATGATGGTTATCGATCGACATACTGTATATGTGTTTAATTTGTGACGATTATTTTGAAAATTTTTGATTCTGTCATTGATAGCAATTGTTTCTCTGTTTTTTAAATTTCATATGGAATTTTATATAGAAAATAAATTTAATTAGCACCTAATTTTGAAAGTTTTCGTTTATATGCATTTGTAAAATATACGTTTAAAAATGAAATATGGTATCACGATGTCGAATTAATCTTTGAGTACTAAACATGTGATTTACGATATTAGTATCACTTTCATTCGAGGATCACTTTAAGTCTGTTTGTTCCATTCGCATATATTTTTAATTTAATAATTTCAGAAATTTAAATGAGTATCCAAATTCAAGCTATGTTAAATATATTTGAACCAAAATAAAATAAGGATGGACAATAGTTTGCCATATCAAAAACGAGTTCAATAAAGAATAAAGAAAGTACAAAATTTAAAAACGACAAGATTCAAGCAACAGGTATCTAAATTTTATGCGAGATTCAAATTTATTCATCCACGTAATTGAGCTTACGAAACCTAAGCCATTTGTGTTTTAATTATTAATGCATCAGTCTACGTCAATCTAAAAAGGAAAATGTGACATGAACTCACAATAATTTGCAATTGGCCGTCCTTCCCGTCTTATCTCGGACAAATCATGTGTCAATGTTGCACTAATACCGAATGCAAATATATGAATGTTCTTTGAACACGTCTTTAACACGACTGGTTAATCATACAGGCCCTCCAAGCTTTATACGTCATTTGTTCTTTAACGTGTCATGTTACCGTTAACTATGACTTGCAATCAGTGAAAATGGCCTATTAATGCCCCACGAGTTTCTGAGATTGGGCCTATAATACGACGAATATCGAATCAGTTTAATTTCTTATCGTATCGTATTTTTTATCGTATCCAATTTTCTGTCACGTGATATAATGTTTTAGTAATAATCTATCTGCAGCTTATTGACTGCATTTATGTGTGATTAGTAATGATTCATTAATAATTATTATTATAACTATAATTATTATTTATTATTATAATTATCATAATTGTTATTATTATTACTTATTGATATATATTATCGTTATTATCATTGTAGTATTATTATCATTAGCATTGTTATTTTTGTTATTAATATAATAATAAGTAATTATAATTATTATTATTATAGTTGTTTAAAAGGGCACAAATCAAACTATTATTTGGCATAGGTGTATAAATTAATCTAATAATTGTTTTGCATGTTATAATTTCTAACATTTTATCGAAATCTTATCTTATCGTCCAATTTCATGGACACCTTTTCGACGAATTAGTTTATATTACGCGACCTATAGACAATATCTGAATTCTGTTTAGAAACAAAGGAATTAATAGTCGGATACCATAAATTTCTTGTGACTAGAAGAGATAGAATGCGTTGAAGGTGAAATTTATTTGATAATACTAGAATTCGAAACGAGTATTACTTGACAATATTAATATTCAAGGTGATGCTCACTGGGTAATATTAGCATCCAGGTGAAGTAATTAATGTTTGTCTGGTTAGACATCTAGTCTGTGTGTATGCTTTCTATTAGGTTGATTTACATATGTCATGCTGTTAAACGTGTAATTAAATTAAAGTTATATGTAAAAGAACTTATTTAAAGGTGACAATAACATTGTATTGAGGTTGTTAAGAAAGTATTATTGTAGTACTAAATTTGCAATGAGTATTTAAAGTTAGTATAAGTAGCAGGTTGATCAATATAGGCAATAAGAATTAATATAAATAGAAAATTAATTGGCATGTGCAATTAGAATCGTTATTGGCAGAAATTCGTAATAACAATTTTCCAAATTTGACATCAAATGTATTGATGAGATTAGCTAAAATGGGAACAGAATTAAATCTAACGAATTTACTATTTCTTTATTATATTATTATAATAACAGTTTATGTATTTACTATTTTTTATTATTATTATTATGATATTATAAATGATTTTATTATTTTGCTATTTATTTACTGGTTCAATTTTGAATCAATCTCTTAGTCTTTATGATCTTTTACCTTCATGGAATAGAATTTAGCAATTTAAACACTTATTAATTTAATATGTTACTACGTGCGAAAATTATCGACTATTGTTAACTTGATTTAACAATGTGAAGAATTTTAACCGTCTGAATAGGTGTAAAAGATCTAATTGAAGGAGATAACGATCTAAGAGATCATTATTAATCTTCTGATCGCGACTCTTTTAAGCCTGTATCACACTCATAGTTGCTTATAATAAAATAATTCTACAATTAAATACCAAATAAATGTGAATTTTGAAATAATCGAGAACTTTTATTTTAACCCCTTGCACTATGATTTAATTATGAGAATCTGTGCATCTTAAAATTATTTAATTTTAATTAGCCACTATATACCTGTTTTATTCGGAATAAAATTATAATAATTTTTAGAATTTATGCGAATTTTTAGAACTTATGCGAACTTTTCGCATGTTGAAATACGTTGAATATAATTTTCGTTTGATGCGAGTGTAATTTATTTTCATGAGGTTTAGCATGATTTAGACTCGTTATTGTATTATAAGGGATTAAGCCATTACCACACTGATCGATATGCCAATTGCAACGAATCAATATTTCAAAGAAAATAGATTAGGGTAGCAACAATGGGAACGTCAGGATTTGCATTGAAAATATGTTAAAATATTATAGTTTACGCTAAAAATAGTAAACTGAGCATTATTCACGAGTGTTAATTTGCACTTTGACAGAGTGGGAATACTCTAAGTGAAAAGCAACATAGATGGCGCGACCGATATGCATTAATAATTTATCCATAAAAATGATTTATCGTATTATGCAAATGGAGCAACTTATTTTTCATAAATGTAATATTTTATCGCGTAATTCATATCTTAACATTTTCTTTCTCGGCGAATCTTTGTTATCGAATAGCTTATGGGTCCTTTTATCATCTTCAAATATCTTTTCTGAGATTTTGGAAAAGCTAATTTCTTGCTTATCTCTCAAATGAAATGTGCAGAAATATATATATACATATGTAACAAATTTTTTATATATACGTATGAATAGATATATTAATATTAATATTGTTACTTAAAATAATTAATTATTGTATTATCGATGCTATATACTATATCAATTATGTATTAATATTATTATTAATATCATTAATATTGATATTTATATATAAATTATATATTATTGTTATTATTGTCGAAATGTTGTACATAAGAGGAGTTACATATTGTTATATTTATAAATTAATATCTTCTTTTTCTCTTTCGTAAGTTCCATATATAATTACTGCTGCAACCTCTATATCATATTGCATCGCCATTATTAAATTCAATAATTCCATATCTTGTTTCGCCACAATGCATACTCGTTTTAACGTGTCATCGCTATCATACTCACAGAAGTGCAACTTAACAAGTGCAAGTCGATAAGAATTCTGGATTGTCATGTTGAGGTAAGAGAGGTGAAAGTAATAGTAGAGATATGAAAATGAAATATTTTTATTATTGTTTGAAGAATACTTGAAAATGTATGTACAGAGCATAGTAAAATAATATCACACCTTATCATTTTTAATATTTCTCAAGAAACTTTAATGTGATACATCTCACAAAAACACATAACATGGTTAACCTAATACGAATCAGACATTAAAATAAATAGGATTTTAACATCGTCTAAAGAAAAATTTTCATTTAATTCCAATTTCAACGCAATTAATTAAGAAAAAATTAAACTAATTAGAAAAGTCGGCTTCAAATCGCAATTTTAATCTACTTTCGAGACATTCAAATATATCCCTCCTTTTGCAGCCAGTAAAAATGTATTTGGATCAAATTCGTACGGAATCATTGTTTTCTTGCACACGTCCACTTTGTAGTTACGGAGAATCGAGATTAGGCCGATTTTAGTCTGATATATACCGAAGCGTTCACCTGGAAATACACAAATTATCAGTGAATTATTCATTTCTTATCAAGATAATTTCCTTCGCGTGTAACAAACGTCATAAATTAATAATATTATCTTATATTATTTCAGATTAATAATATTGTCCTAATTGAAATAGCATTATTCATCGTAGATTAGTATTAGATCAAGAATTACAATAGTATTATTATATTTTAGTATTACATTTATATTTACAATTAGATTTTAGAGCTAATAATATCATGAATTAAATTAGAATATCGAATTAATATTATAATAGTATTAATTTATATTACTACATACGTTCAATCATTTTATTGGTTTATATATTAATCCCTTTCATCTTATTAGCTTAAAGTAATTTGATTTACAGGTTTAGAATATTATTATATAAAATATATAATTATTTTTATTACCTTATGCATTGAATTTGTTAAGAAAACCAAAGAAATATGTATTTTTAACGTTTTCAATAGTTACATAAATAGTATCTTTAATGTAATTTATGTGGTGACATTAATGAAAGCTTCAGACATTTTACTATTGGACTTTGGACAAAGTATAATCTAGAATTTGGATTATGAGAGTAATAAAGGCATAATGAACATGATTCCACAATTTACGTAGTTTAGTATAGTTTAGTAGTAATTTGAATAGTATTGTTAGAACCCTTCCTCATATAATTGATAATACTGAATTTATTGATTTTTAAATGCTAAACATAATTAGCTTGAAAAAGTCGATAAACGAATAAACAAATATTTCTGATAAACAATTTTCCAAAATTTGTATTTATATATTTACATTAAAAAATAATTTACATCTTAAAAAGAAATAATTTTCTGTATTTATTTTTTGGAAAAGATAGAAATTTGTATATTTACATTTTCGAAAAAAATTTTCTTTTAAATTATGAATATTTAAATTAACTTACCAATACACTTTCTGGGCCCACCACCAAATGGTAAATAAAACATCGGATGTCGGGTCGCGATGGCGGCTTCAGAGAAATTTTCTGGATTGAACACATCGGGATTTGGATAAATATCAGGACTGCGATGAATCGCGAATACTGGAATCCATACTGACACATCCTTTGGTATACTGATCTTCGTATTTTTGAACGTATAATTGGTCATCGACAGTCTCGGCAGCGTACCTGCTGGTGGATACATCCTCAAAGTTTCTGTGGAAATAATTAAAGAATAAAACATTTTCTTAATTTCCATCCTAATAATCAATAATTTTGCATTGCCAAAAATACCAATTATTAAATTATGATAGAAAGTTTCATTTATTCAAAATAATGTCAATAATTCTATTTGTCCTCTAGGAAGTATAATAATTTCTTAACAGAATCTAATACCCTTTTTAATATCGATAATACACCCATACCTATACAAATTTCAATTCCAATATTCTAAGACATTATTTTAACTTTTATTTTATTGCATTACTTTAATTTTAGTTATAATTCTAATTTTCATTTATTTATGCATGCTTTTTTAGATTATTATACAATTAAAAAATTCTGTTTCCACATAATGAAATTCTTTGCTCTAGTTACACGTACCTTTGAACACTTTGTCCAAGTATTCCATATTCTTGATATGTTCATACTTCAGCTTGCCATTGTGTTTAGCATAATGTTCTCGTATCTCTTCACGTAACTTGTCTTGGATTTGAGGATTCCTAGCTAGTTCGTAAAGGGCGTTGCTCATCGTCGAGGACGAAGTTTCGAAACCAGCAACGAAGAAAATAAAAGCTTGTGCAGCCAAAATTTCGTTCGTTAATTCTGGAAAAATACCATTTAGTTTTACCGATAACTTTATAGATTACATAATTATGCTGATAAGTAATGCGATATTATGATAATGAGTATTAGCTACCCGCCCCATTCTGATAATTTTCCAATAATATGTAGTAGAACTTGCATTATACGAAGATTTATACTTCGTTCAACGAGAACCGGAAGGAAATATTAACCCTTTGCACTCGACGATTTTTTGGCTAGAGAAGAGTAGAAATTCAAAGATTCTCTACTAAAATACCGACGATAGCTTTTTGAGCAGTAAATAAAGAATTGTATAATAATAGAATTGTAGAATTATTTGATTTCGATACCTCGCACACTGTTACATTGCATTAAATTTGATATATTAATTAATATCGATCTTCCAAATTTTATAAAATGGTGACTGAAACTCACCTCTCGAGTGCAAAGGGTTAATTAGTACATGCGAATGGTACGCGATCAGAACAGGACTGGAACACCTTTTTCTGCATAAGGAAAGAAGCTGGACTCAGGCAACGGTTCTTCATTTTTCGTCTCTGATCATCGATATTTTGCAACTACTCAGCAGACTTAGCACTCATCATATGAACCTAACTCATCGCGTGAACCTTTTGTTTATATTATAAATTGCAAAATTTTATTTCTTATTTACTTAACACTATGTTGTTGAGTTTTATTATTAAGATTCAATAATACAAATAATCCCACTATTCAAAAGTTCTTTCATCAAAACAGTACATTTGACTGGTTACGTTAGTATGAAATGGGCATTATGCGCCTAAATGCATTACACACAATGACACGAAAGCTTAATGGTATAACACTCATTGTCTATTGGAAACAAGAGATATTTCAGAATATGGAAAGAGTTGCAAGAATATATATGACTATCAAGAAAATATTTATGATATTACAGAAAGTGTCCCACTTGAAATGTCAATAAAATATAAAAATAATATAGCAACGTAAAAGTATTATATCTACATCTCGTCTTATTCTACACTCTTCCCTTCGAAGTATAAAATAATCATCAGCAATAGGATCAATGTATCTGTGAGAGTGCATATCGAATGGGTAGCTCTTGGTCTAAACTAGGTAACTCTTGAGACAGACTAGGGTTATGGTGTCCACTCAAGCTTGGGAAAATCATGGATGTGTTCCACAGATGTGCCGACCTCTCGAGCAATCGTTAAGGGTGAGGTCGCTATCGACCTAGACTCGCCACTCGATATCTGGCAAGCGTGACGTCAGAGAGCCTGAGCGACAAGGCCCGCAACATGAGGAAGGCAGCCTGGTCAGAGAGAGGCACGAATAATATAAAAGAGGATTACTACTGTGCAATCGAAATTGGTTGATGTTCCAGGGGTTATAAAGTCGTTATGCAACCTATGAGGCTTATGAGACTTGTGAGATTTGTGAGGCTTGTAAGACTTGTTGGCTCTCAGACTTTTTGGTATTTAAGCTTAGGTAGCTTTGTGAGATGTCAAAGTATCGTAGAACGACTACTAGATTGAAAAGCTCTATCAGACTATACTAGATAACAGAATGTCTATTAAACTGAAGATTAGAGCTGACATCCCCTTTTGTATAAACTCACCTGACAAATGGGTGTTGACTATTCGCTAATTACTCTACTCCACATCCATTGTGAATCCCTGTTAATTGAAATATTAGAAGATCTACTGTAATAGCCTATCAAAATTCTGAAATTTTCGTAGATTTAACAAATTTCATTCCTATAGCATATTCATGTTATTATTATGTATTAGTAGTAATCACTATTGCTACCTCATTAGTAGTAATAATAGTAGCATTACTATAATATAAACTGAAAGTTTGCTAATACTATGTTACTGTTCTCTAAATATATTATTAAGTTGGCTAATAAGCAGTATCAGTACAAGATTTACTACTTATTTTATAATCCAACTAATATAATCAGATGTCAATTAGAATTATGCATCAATATATTATTCAATAAAATCCAATATATTACTAAATTCTGAACTTACTAAATTCTTCAATTGAATCTGGATGTTCCTTAAGTTCCATGAGTATGTGGATGAAGTCAGGCCTGTACACCTTGTTCTCTTTCCTGTACTTCATAGTGTCTGCGACCAGATTGGTAAAGTATGGAGTGAATCTCCTTTCAGGGAAGATGTAACCTGACAAATCGTACAATTTTGGTAGGAACGTTCTGACTTTCAGTCTTATCGTGTTCTGCAAGTCCACGGCGACGATTGTCTTTCCGAGCTTACGAAAATCGCTCTCTTCGTCGTCCAATGCACTCGTCTCGATCCCAAAGGCACAGGAGCCGATCACGTCGGTGGCGAATTTCGCTGTTACATTATGAAAGTCGATAGGTTCTTTCTGTGCCACTATTTTGTTCAGGTATTTCTCCAATTGGGCACCTGATTCGAGGATCAGATCGAACATGTCCTTCAGTTTGCCGGATGTGAACATAGGGGAGAGCTTTCCTCTCAGTGGCCGCCATCTTTTTGGCTCTAGGTTCAGAATATTCGTCGACAGTGGCTCTGCCTGTAAATTGTGAAAATTGCAGTTTGGGTTGTTGAAAATGTTTGAGAAAATATCGTAGTGTCCAATGACAGTGCACATAAAATAATACAAAGAATAGCGAGAAAAATGTCGTAAGTAAGGTAAAAGTGAGATAAATCGAATATTAAATAAAAGATACTATAAATTCTTATGGGACTCATGGAACGTGATAAGTTCAATTTATGATCGATTTATTTCGTTAGTGGATCGCTCGAAATTTTTGTATTTGATATAATATGGCCCAAGAGGGGCTTTAAAATAATTATATTCAATTTTTTAATTTTTTTGTACTTGTCGAAGTTACCGTTAAATAGAAAATTCTTTTATAGATCTGTAAGATTGCAAATTCTTTACAACTACATTTCTAGCGGATTTTTACATATTAATGATATTTATGAAAAATGATATAAACAAATTTATAAAATAACAACCAATATAATTTATATTTAAATTCTACTGTAACGAGGAAACGCGTAATGAGTTATTCTCGATAATACTTTACTGATTGTATACATCAAATAATTTCTACTAAATTATATCGTATCAACTGTTAAATAAAGAAATTTCGAATAGTAAATTTAACAAGATATAAAATACAGTTATATCTAAACCACGAAAACAGACAAGAAGGAACACTTAATATAAAAATATTCAAAATTGTGATTCAACGTACTTTGTCGGAGAAATTGATCCCTCTGTTACCGAATTTCGAGAAATCTCTGATGAGAACGTCCTTAATTATTTCTGGATCCCGCAAGATTAGTACCGGCGCTGATAGCATGTATGTACCAATCATTTGTTCGTTTTCGTACTTTTCGTAAATCTGTTTGACATACTCCGGCAATGTCGTTCTTGCTAATATGACTTTTAGGAAATTTCCAAACAGGAATATCGGCCGGGGTCCAATGACTCCGCGACTTTCCCAAAACTTGAATTTTATCGTGAAGTAATAATAAATGGCCAGAAATAGCGCTACGATGCCGCAGAAAATTTCTAAGTACTCCATTGTGACTCGTGTTCGATGGTTGGTGACTTAACGTTGTTCAATTTTCTGAAAAAAAATTCACAGTATCATTATAATAGCATTAGTGATAATACTTCGTTGCTTTCTTATTTAAATTTTAATAGTTTAACTTTTTTTCTCATATCGGTTAAAATTTTATTACAATTCCTTTCTTATTGCCATGAGTACGCCATTTATGATTAAATTGAAAGACAGCACGTGCGTGTAATGGAGTTTACAGTCATGTTAAAATTTACAAAAGTTGCAATAGCTAAATAAGTAAATAACTACAGGGTTTAATGTATAATAGTCTATAGTAGTACATAGTACGTAGTCTAACCTTGTTCGTCCATTTCAAGTGCACCTCTTTTCTTAAAATATAAAAGCTTCACGTTTTTCCTTACTTATATTCTTAATTATCATTATACATGCATTATGCATTATACATGATTGAACATTATCCTTCATGTATATCTATTTACATATGTCGTACCCAAGATTAAATAAATTGTGTAAAATTCTTACATTATATTAAAGTTGAAGAAACAGATAATTGCTTTTTAACTAAGGACAAGCATATTTACGAGTATATTATTTATTATGATATTAAGAAAGTGGCAATAATAATCGATATTTCACATTTGACTTTAGAGTCGACTTTTTTCATTAGTAACAATGCTGTTTAATTAATTTCTTAACATTCGTGCTCGTAATAACATAAGTAGGTACCCATGTTAACAGAGACCTACTTTATCTGACCTTTAGTGATCGTGAATGACCTTTATATAGATCATGTTCGTTTCAACATATTGTAATTATAATTAAATTTATTATCATTTTAATTATATAATTAAAAATATTATAGTTAACAAATTATAATTAATTAATTATGATTAAGAAAAGAAACCATATCATTTCACTTGAAGAAGTCAATATTAACATTGTATCTTCTCAATACATCCATCTTTGAAAAAATTGATGACATCGAATTTTGTATTCCTCGAAACCGAGAAAGTTTCATCTAACGCACATATGAATTGTTACATTACAAGAAACTTAATTCTGGATAGCAAATTTCACAATTTTCATTCATGTAATATTTTACAAAATATTAGACGAAGAGAATACTAGACTACTTTTTTTTGTTTTTGTTTATTTACAAGGAAATTTACTCAAAAGAACATTAATATATATATATAAAAAATATGATTGACAGCCATAGTACTTCAGCCTTAAGTGAAATGAATGTCATTTGCTCGAAGAATTTGATATTTGTCAGAAAAATGATGTCAATGTTTCCCTTAAGTGATTCCAAAATTAGATCTTTCGATGCAAATTGCATAATTTTATACATAATTTTTTTCCAATTTTACTTCTAAAAATTTCAAAAACATTTTCAAGGATCATAGCACTGGTTAGGATTAACAAAGAATGACAATGACTGCCATGTAACTGTCACACTCGGTGTGGATAAATTATTATATTTGTAACAGAATTTAATTTTAATTCTAACTTCAGTTCCCATTTTTCAATTCCTATTTTTCTCGAACAAACTATATACATACCATTAGACTTGTATAATCAACTAAATAAGCTCTACCAGTAAGCCAATATCACGTGTATATAGTTTCGGTAAAACGTTTGGATTTTCATATTTTTATATTTTAATAACACACACACACACACGCGCAAACGCACGCACGCACACACAAGCACAGACTATATAAAACAAGAAACAATATAAAAAATTGAAAAACACCAAGTAAGTTACAATCTATAATAAAAAAATTGACAAAATTCTTGACTTCATCTGGAACTAGTAAAAAATCCCCTAAATAATGTCACCATCACTATAATATTTACCACATCGTTTCTCGATTTATTTATAATTAAAGTACTCTTTCTGTTTAAAAACAAAATAAAAGAAAGCAAAAAGCATCAAAATCACTGTTACTTTAATTTAAACTTCCAATATCTATAATGCCAGCTGACAGCTGTGAGAAAAGAGAAATCACGCGTGAATAACAGCAGTTGATAATCACTGGAAAAATATGCCATGCGTACCTGACAGATCGAGAACGTATTAACAAAATTTTAATAAACAAAACAATAATCTTCCTGGACACTGATTTACAAAATCATGGAATGAAATCGTCACCGAGTGGCTGTTTCGGAAGAACTGACACTAATCTTTCCTGCCTGGAGAGCACACGAAGCACACTCGCGATTACGTGCAAACTGTAATTATGCTGATACACCTCATTCTCCAGTAAGAAATAGTTATGTTGATATAAGTTAAAATGCAGCGTAGAGTCAATGCAACGTACGTGATATAAATTAATTTCTACGAAACTGTAATCTTTACTTCGATACTTAATTACGTTCAATTTTTGTTTTTCCTTGTTCATTTTTTCTTTAAGACTTCGCGGATTACAAGTGTAAACTTGGCTCTAAGTTTTGGACACTTGTGCAGGATAGGATAAGTAAGGTTCATCTTTCAGAGAATGTACGAGAGTTATATAAGTGCAGACTGAATCTTCTGATATTATCTTTACCTACCACTATCATTAAACCAACATTAGTTAGTAACGGTTCTTCTTACAATTTTCTTCCTTTCATCTTTACTACCAAATATTTGAGCCTGGGCATGGTGGCCTGTGATAATTGTGTTGGAGAAAATGTATTATATATTCATTAATACATAATGTATGTACTAAATAAAATAGTATATAACGTATTCAATATGTATTATAATTTGTTATATGTATTATAAAAGTATATCAAATAGCACATATGATAGATATGTATTGCACAAAGTACTACATATATACTACATAAAGTGCTATATAATATATTTTATTATAGTTCTATCGAATGTACTACAATCGTATTACATAAATATAAATCACAAAAATATTTAAAGGTTATGTACTTAATCACACAATCGTACTAATAGTTTGAGTCATTGTTATCATTAGAATCAATAGAAATGTCTTCTTATCTTCCTCGAGTATCCTAAGACGTCATAAAATGGAAGTGACTAAGCAAATTCAGAAGTTGAACATAGTACAAGAACAGAAAGGGTCTAAATGAAGTTCAGTTCTAACGAAAATCCCGTATGTTAGGCATTCACTCTACCAACTACGAGGGTAGTATCGTCATACCCCTTCCAAGCAAGTAAAGGTACTGGGGTAGGGTGGTGTGATGACAGACGACTCGACTAACGATTGGTCAAGGGCCCCAAAAGGGATCCGCCAATCGCGTCCACCATAGACATGATTTTGCTCTTAAGGGATAGAAATTTCAACGTCAGTTTCTGATCAGTCTTCGAGGTAGTCGTAGTACGAGAATTCGTTATCTCTTTTTATCCGGGAGAATTACGAATATAATTCCTCTGCTCGATCATTCGAGAGTCGTGTTGGACATCTGTTTCCACCATCGATCCGATTCTACGACCATGCAGCGTTTCTCTTATCGACTATACCCGAGATACTCCTGTATGACACAATCGGTAAATTAATTGACTTCGAGATTTCCCACCAGAGGTCTCAGTGAACGGAACTCTTCCTCCATCTATCCTGGCTCACGCCTACTCCGCCAGAGTTCCTCAGAGTTTACGGCGTAACCACGTGAAGCGTCACGCGTTGCTTTCGATCAGATATTGTAGGAGAAAAATCTAGAAATATCTAACTAAAATTTTACTCGCGCGAAGGTGATTGTTCGTGGACAATTATTTGATGCGTAGTGATGTAATTTTGAATAGTTTGTAAACAAAAGTGGTGAAAATGTGTTAGTAACAGTGGTACATTTGTTTTTTCTTACACGTGTATTTCTTTTGGAAGACTCTTTTGAGGTTAGAGACTGTCTTTGAAGAAGGATTTAGATTCTCAAACATTTTTCCTGCGGAATTTATCAAAACAAAAATAATAAAGCTGAATATTATTTAAAAATTCGTATTTTAACCGAAGTACAGTGATAACAGTGTCAGATTTACTATTTTTCGTACGAATATCATCGTTGGAAATAAAGTTTCGTGTGGAGTACTAGCCTTAAAGGACTGTTTTGAGGTTAGATCTAACTTTAAGGAAGATTTAATCTTTTGGATATTTTCTTGGGAGAATATTGTTTACTCGAAATTATTAAAGGTGAATATAATTTAAAATTCCTACTCTAATCCAAATGTGGTGATAAAAGTATTAAACTTTCTCTCTCGTACGAATGAAATTAAAGACAGATTACTGTGAAGGATTAACCTTAAAGAAGAAAACTGTTTTTGGGGGTTAGACCTAACTTTAGGAAAGATTTAGTCTTATAGACATTTTCTTTGAAAATTCTTGATAAACAAGGAATAAAATAATAAAATAGGTGAATATTATTTAAAAATTTCTTTATGAATTGTTAAATTTTATATAATTTTCATTTATAATTATTCAGTAATACAATTCATCGATTCTTTACTTCATGAGACAGATGCAAGTTCCCTCTCGTTCCAAATCTACCGAGTGCTCGGTGATTTATGAACGCCTGTAAAATTATACAGGGTGTTTAAGAAAACATGACAATATATTCTCTCGACGATTATTAAATATATTTAAAAAAAATATATAATCGTTTTCTTTTCAGCATTTGGGATATAAAGGTACCCAGACATTTGGGCAGCAGATGGATGTGCACACGGTGTGACGAAGGGACGAACATTTCGTTTTCGGTCACCGAGTTGACTCCCGTGAGGGTAAACGATCCCTCTCAGTTGGATTCCAACGGGAGAATCCCCCTTTTGTGGTAAATCAATACAGCACTGTCTAGAACATAGTCCGCTCTAATACCTCGGACTTAATCCGTCGACTACTCTCCAATTTTGATCAGCTCGATTTCTTATCTATTTGAATGCGATTATCTTCACTCGACAAACTACAGCAGGAAGCGATAAAACATTTTAATTTCCGAGCTGGCCGTTAAAAAAAAAAAAAAAAGAATAAGATATATATAAGGCCTCACATTTTCATATATATCACAAACATATGGTCAATACACGAATAACTTGATAAGAAAGAAATCAATGTTTATATTATTTGTACTATTTCTAATGTAATACAGTTTATTGTTGCTTGTTATTGATTTATATGAGTTAGGTTGGGTGACCTTTTGATTTTCGATATATCATATTATACCTGTATAATATATCAAATACATTATATAAGTTTATTATTTATATACATTTATATATGATCAAGTTTGCATAATTTAATTTTTCACAAACAAACACCCGGTATATTCTTCACTGTACTGCAGTATTTATATGCATTACTCTGACATCCGTGCCAAACTTGAACAAAATCAATTTTATAAGTTAGATTTCGCAATCACGTTTAATCTCTAACCTATATCTCATTGCACTAGACAATCTTTTGAATTTTCTCGCATAATGCAAAATACCTACACGATCACATAAACCACGAAGTATATAACGCTTAATTTTTATATACAGACAAAACCTTGTACATATATATCTTTTTCAATTCTAACATATGAGAACCATGAATCTATAGTACACAACATATATGAAGCATGAACTATAGCAGAGCTTTGTAAACTGTTCGTCGCGATCGCCAAGGGGGTCACGCATAACAGATTTAGAGGGGGTCACGAAGGCAGATGTTTATCTGTCAAATTCTCAAACATCAGTAAGTAAATATAATTACGAAGGCCATTTTCAGTTGACACATTTTAGTCGTCATATTTCATACTATTTGTCAGACAGTGGTCTTATTTTCGAAAAATTTCCTTGGGCAGAAGGCAGCCACGAAAAGTATATTTTGGGAGAGAGAGTTTAAGAAAATAAACTGTAGTAATAGCTAGACCTGCTGTCTCTCTTCCCTCCATACTTCTACACCTTGTCCCTTTTCGCCCAAAGACCGTAGAATCGATTTCGAAGGGAGCTCACGTCCACCAATTCCTAGGAGATAAAGTTTCTTATACCTGGGATGTACATAGCACTAGCCCGCACCTAGTCCCAACTTGGGACCAGTGACAATCTATATCCGTTGTGTGGGAAGGTATCTTCCAGGAATTGGTCGAACTCGTTCCAAAATCGATCTCGTATTCAGGTAAAAGAGAGAAGGAGCATGCATGTGAGAGAGTAGATCACTCGGAAGCTATAGTAGGGCTCACGGGTACTGTTCGGCTAAGGGCTTTTCTCACCTGGTACTACGAACCCCCTTACAGCTCTGAACAAGATACGTCACGTAACATATTTTTACCCTCTCCACTCTCTGAACTAGACAATTTTTTTATTCCAGTTCTTTATTATATGCAGATAAACATCGTTTTGTGCAAAAAAAATTTGATAAATTGGATTTTAATACTGGGAGATGTTTTACCGTTGGAGTTGTCCGTTACTTAGCATCCTTTGACGCGATGTCTCGTGAAATGATTTACCCACTCGGATCTTTTAGACGAAATATATTGTTTGTTTTTTAACATGTACAACTGAATGTCGGTTTATGTGAAAGGAAATTAATATGGCGTAAACTTTATTTGGCGTCATTGACCTCTTTACATGAGGGGGATAAGATGTCTGACGATCTGATTTTTATCCCCTCTCCTCCCGTCTTTGGACAAGATAACTCGTGTCCTAATTAAAAGACACACAAGATATCTCAGACAGTCACATATATAACGAGTCGAGAGATATCTCGTGAAAAAAGTGAGACAGATAAAAATTTGTACGTCAAAGAGTCAAATAATCGTGGTTTCTACGTTATAGCAGAAACTTGGGCACGTGGATTGATAAGTAGTTAGTTCATATAGATACCAATCCTAAGACTGGCTTACAAATTTAACACTTCATCTTCGAATTGTATTATAAACATTTTTCATATTATAAAAAGCGAAAGTTTTTCGATTTCTTGAATGTTTCATACATCAAATATTAAATGTAATAAAAAAAGATAATAAGGGGATCATTAATTTATATAATAAATTAACGTAATTAATTGACGTGAAAAGAAAAAAATATTTATTTTTCCAAAATACATGAAATATCGTTCTAGCTTGCATCATTTCGAAGTAATGACTCGTCCCAGTTTTGTGGGACACCCTGTATTATCCACTTAGGAGCACTTTTCCTCCAGCGTCTCTTAAGTACCCACAACTCCTGACATAGTCTGCCACTCCTTGCCGCTACATTACGACATTCTCCCGCTTGTACACTGTGCTGACTCGTTTTCATAATCCAATTGAGTATTGCCGCTTCCTAACCTAACAAAGTCTTTCATCTGTATTATGAAATAAAAAACCAAACAATTCGTTTAACGTGAAACTTATTGCTTTCAGTTACTTGCCTAATAATCCCACAATGATGACCGGTAATCACAAGATCAGGAAGAGAAGCGTTCTGTCGGTGGAACGAAAGTTCGAGATACTGCAACGCATAGAAAAAGGGGCAACCGTGAAGCAGTTGGTAGCAGAGTACGACATTTGCACCGCCACAGTTCGTCGAATAAAACGAAGAGCCATAACACTGCATCAACTAGTCCACCAAGGAGACGAGATCAGGAACAAGAAGTGCATACAAAGGCCTAGGAACGAGGACCTGGAGAAGCGTGTTTACGCGTGGTTTATCGAACAAAAAGGGATGGGCTACCCAATCTCTGATACCCAAATAACCGAAAAGGCAGTGGAGCTCAACAGAGAATCAGGAGGAAGGACTAGTTTCAAAGGCAGCCGAGGTTGGCTGTGGAGGTTTAAGACGCGTTATGACATCAACTGTTTGAAATTCATGGATTATAAAAGTGAGGGGGATGTAGATACTGTTGCAGCTGGACAGTTTCTCAAAGACTTTACCACAAGAATCGAAGAAGAGAATATCGAGTACGAAAATATTTATAACATGGACGAAGTTGGTCTGTTGTGGAGAGCTCTTCCTACGAAAGCGGAAAAGCGGTTAGATGATAAGGAGTTTAAGAAGGACAGAGTAACCTTGGGATTTTGTGTCAACGCAACAGGAGACCACAAACTTCCACTCTTGTTTATACACAAAGTTGAAAATCCAAGGTCGTTGAAACATTGCAAGTATAACCTACCTGTAATCTTTAAGACCCACCCACAAGCTAAAATGGATAGAGAGATGTTCGTTAATTGGTATCAAAATGATTTCAAACCAGCTGTAAGAGCACGTCAGTTGGAGACGAATATTCATGGAAAAGTCGTTCTGTTGTTGAGGAAATGCCAGGCACATGATTTGTCCAAAGAGCCGTATCTAGATGATCAATTTCAGATCCTATTCTTGCCACCATATACTGATCCTTTTCTTCAGCCACTGAGCAGAGGAGTGATCGACAAAGTCAAAAGATCTTTTCGACAGAAAATGTTGAGTAGAGTATTGAATTTGTCTGGTGGGGTGAAGGAATTTTACTTTAACTATGACATCAAGGATTGCATTGATCTCATGCATGAAGCATGGCAAGAGATTAGCGCATCCAACATACGAAATACTTGGAACGACATAATTGGCCAGGCCCCTGAAGAAACTTTTATAATGGAAGAACCAATGGATCCTTTAGAACCTAATTTACAAGACATGATCAGTGCTATCATTGGTGAGGAAACGTCTGAAACAAGCGTAAGTGAATTTTTGTTTAGATGTGAGCAAGCAGAGAAATCACAAGAAAATGAAGATCAGGAAGGTGATAATGAAAAAGAGAAGGAGGCAGAACAATCCTTTGGTAAAGTTAATGGAGTATCATTATTATTAAAGTGTGAAAATGAAGATAGAATGAGTGTAGTATTTAAAGATTTGGTAATGTGGTCCAAACATCAGCCAGAATATGTTAGGTTACATGTGGAAGACTTGAAGAGGTATTATGATCAAGTGAAATAGACAGATGTGCTTGAATTTTGAAGATAAGAAATTTGGATGACATGTATTAAAATGTGCTAATATTTCATTTTGTGTTTAACTTGATTTCTGATTTGTTCAGAAATTTTTATGAGGTCTCATGATCTGTACTGCGATGATGATTTGCCATTGACAAGTAATGGAAAAATGTTTTATTTACTTGGAGTCAGTTATGAAACTGAATAAATTCATAGAGTATTAAGTTATTAACAAAGAACTGATATATTATTTGACAATTTTTCCTTCAAAGAAGGGAGCGGTAAAAGCAATTTCATTCCAACTGAAGTTATTATTCTTTCACCAGTTTGGAAGTTTTGGTAAGATGTAGTGGATCAGTATAAGTAACTTAACATATTTAGTATTTATACTTGCTTTATTTTTTTAATTAACAACCTACTTCATTAATACCTAGTACTACTTAAATATGATTTCAGGGATACTATATCTAAATAAATATCTCAGAGTATCTAGGATCGCATTGAAACTAAAATAAACAAAGAAGATTAATTTACACAATGAGTCAACAGGCTGAATGACTAAAATTACACTAATTAACATGTATTAAATATTTAACTCCTTACCAATTGTAAATGAAAATAAGACTAGTATTACAAATATTTATTCTCTTGATATTAGATCCTTAGATGACACAAATCATCAACATTGAAGGATATACTATATTATAATTGTTCCAATAAGAGTAGTTTTTAAATGTTACTTGTAAGAATAATTCATTATTATTAAGATATGTTTTGTAAATATCTATATCATATTATTTTAACTAGTAGTTACAATTATGTGTTATTTTATTATAACTAAAAACACCAATGTAAGTAAATACAATAAGATTTTCATATAAACGTCATTTTCATCATATATCATATTGTAAATTACATTCATAATTACTAAGAGTAATTTTCTAACAACAAAATGAAAATTTGAATTAGCCAAGAGTGAACTATCATCCTTACTTCAGTGGTATAGAAAAATTTATTGTATATGTACATCTGTTGTATAAATGTAAATATTGTATGCACAATATGTTCTAATGTATTCATTCATAAATATAAATATGTGGCAACTTTATTAACTAAGTCCTCCAGTATTCATTATGATTAACCAATAATAATATGTATATACTTGTATAGTTGTATTTTATTTATTCTTGACAAATAGACTTTTTATAAAGATATATACATATACATATATAATATATAATAATAGAAGTTACATCATTTACGAGCAACGTCTTATTTTTAAGGCTCGTTGAAAATAATTAGTCCAATGCTATTATAGGGCCTCAAGCAGGGCCTCAAATTACTCGATACGAGTGATAAGTACTTATATCTTACAATGTTAAATAAGTTACACAAAGGTACGTAACTAGACATTACATAATCAATTCTTTCAATGTAAGAGAATTTAAGGCTGATTCGTATCACGCTTTAAACAATAAGGACATTACTCCTTCTGACAGGTCTTTATTATTTTATATTTTATATAATATACTTGTTATATTACCTTACACAACATTTAAGATTAATTTTATGCCTTTTCGATTTTCAAGTTCACTCCATCCTTCAGTGTCAACAAGAAGTTTCGAGCATCACTTTCGTATGGGATCGTCGTTTTCTCGCAGACCTTGACCTTGTGATTGCGAATAATAGTCATGATACCAATCTTTGTCTGATAATGTGCAAAACGGGCACCTGAAAAAATTATTCAGAATATTATTCGACCTCTATGTAATGTAAACAATTAATAAGATGCCTGTGATATCATGAAATTAGTATACTGTTTAAAAATATTCTAGTTAAAACGTTCATAGACGTATACTGCACAAATGTAGTTAAATATTAAATATTCTTTTGAAATTATACTATTAATTAGCATTATCAGTTTAATACTGTAATCATAGTTTTATTCTCATTATGATTTTCCATCGTAATACTACATAGTAAATATTCTTCACACTTTCACCGCTAGATGGAAAACGGAGGTTCGAGGTTTCTCGCAAGTCCTCGGTGAATCCTCGACTCCTATAAATACAAATTCCTATGCTATCTAAGTATCCCTCGTCTCAGGTAGGGCCTGCTAGAAAGTTTTACTGACGAATCCATCCACTAGCAGGCCCAGAACGTCGTACCCCTTCCTTTGTGTCCTTCTACCTGCTTTTAATATATCTATCATACCTACCAAGGCGCTAGGTACCATAGCGGAAGCATACAACATATAATATGAATCATAATAACTCTCGGTGATGGAGGAGGGGAACTTTTCACCACAGATACTATAGTATATAACATTATATGGTAATATTTTCATGAATACCATAAAATTGCAAATGTAATTATACTATCATAGTTTAGTATCACCGCTTTAGTAATATTTCAACTATTGATTATAATTAAACCATGACACTGTAATTACTATTAATAATATAAAATAATAAAATATAAGACCCTATATTAGTTATTAATACTTTAAACGCTGAAATTGTATAGTAGTAATATAACAATTTGTACGTTATTTATTGTATAAGCATACCAATGCAGTTCCTGGGCCCATCACCGAATGGCAGATAACTCATAGGGTGTCTAGTAGCAACAGCTTCATCGGTGAATCTTTCGGGATCGAAAACTTCTGGCTTCGGATAAATATTCGGATCTCTTTGAATTCCGTATACAGGTATCCACACCTTCATCCCCTTTGGTACAGTAATTTTTGTGCCACTGAACGTGTAATCTTCAATTGCTTGCCTTGTCAACATCGGCAGTAGGGGATACTTCCTTAATGTTTCTATTAAAGTATGACACAAGTGAATGATCTATCTACTATAAATTATCAGAATTTATCTTCAATAGAAAAGTATTCTTAAATATTTTCTGATCTACGAGTGACAGGGTTCCTTAATTTCTTAGAAATCATTATTCATGATAATAATCATTTTCTTTGTCCCAAGTACCTTTAAACACCTTGTCCAAGTATTTCATCTCTTTAATATCATTGTACGTCAAATTCTTAATATTTTTCTTGGTAACTTCTTTGATCTCTTGCCGCAATTTATTTTGGATATCCTGGTGTTGAGCTAGTTCGTAAAGAGCATGAGCAATCGTCGATGAAGAGGTTTCAAAACCAGCGGCGAAGAAGACGAACGCCTGTGCAGCTAGCAACGAATCTGTTAATTCTGTAAAATACAACGAGATTTGATTGCATATCTGTAATTGATATATCATAAAGAGAAAACAAAATTGTTATTATACAGAATTATCACAGAATGATCAAGAAATTTTTTATATACTCACCCATATTGTTTACCTTATCCGGGTGATCCTGCAATTCCATCAGCAAGTGCACGAAATCTGGTCTAACTACTTTATTCTCTCTTCTATATTTGATTGAATTGGTAATTAAATTTATGAAAAAGTTATTCACATCTTTCTGTTCAAGCAAAGGACCAACAAATCTGTACAACCACGGGATAAATTGTCTACAGCTTTCTCTGAGCAATCGTTTCAGGTCAGGTGCGAAGATCTTCTTGCCCATTTGACGAAACTCGCTGCCCTCGTCCATCAGGGCGTTCATGTTGATACCAAAAGCGCAGCTGCCGATAACGTCAGTCGTGAACTTTGCGGCTAAATCGCGACACTCCACTGATTCCCTGTCTTCCTCAACTTTGTCCAAGTATGTTTCGAGATTTTCAGCGCATTCAACTATCAGAGGAAACATTTCTTTCAGCTTCCCGGACGTGAATATGGGCGAGAGCTTTGCTCAAAGTCAACAGGCTGAATGACTAAAATTACACTAATTATCATGTATTAAATATTTAACTCCTTACCAATTGTAAATGAAAGTAATAATAGTATTACAAATATTTATTCTCTTGATATTAGATCCTTAGATGACACAAATCATCAACATTAGAGTCAACAGGCTGAATGACTAAAATTACACTAATTAACATGTATTAAATATTTAACTCCTTACCAATTGTAAATGAAAATAAGACTAGTATTACAAATATTTATTCTCTTGATATTAGATCCTTAGATGACACAAATCATCAACATTGAAGGATATACTATATTATAATTGTTCCAATAAGAGTAGTTTTTAAATGTTACTTGTAAGAATAATTCATTATTATTAAGATATGTTTTGTAAATATCTATATCATATTATTTTAACTAGTAGTTACAATTATGTGTTATTTTATTATAACTAAAAACACCAATGTAAGTAAATACAATAAGATTTTCATATAAACGTCATTTTCATCATATATCATATTGTAAATTACATTCATAATTACTAAGAGTAATTTTCTAACAACAAAATGAAAATTTGAATTAGCCAAGAGTGAACTATCATCCTTACTTCAGTGGTATAGAAAAATTTATTGTATATGTACATCTGTTGTATAAATGTAAATATTGTATGCACAATATGTTCTAATGTATTCATTCATAAATATAAATATGTGGCAACTTTATTAACTAAGTCCTCCAGTATTCATTATGATTAACCAATAATAATATGTATATACTTGTATAGTTGTATTTTATTTATTCTTGACAAATAGACTTTTTATAAAGATATATACATATACATATATAATATATAATAATAGAAGTTACATCATTTACGAGCAACGTCTTATTTTTAAGGCTCGTTGAAAATAATTAGTCCAATGCTATTATAGGGCCTCAAGCAGGGCCTCAAATTACTCGATACGAGTGATAAGTACTTATATCTTACAATGTTAAATAAGTTACACAAAGGTACGTAACTAGACATTACATAATCAATTCTTTCAATGTAAGAGAATTTAAGGCTGATTCGTATCACGCTTTAAACAATAAGGACATTACTCCTTCTGACAGGTCTTTATTATTTTATATTTTATATAATATACTTGTTATATTACCTTACACAACATTTAAGATTAATTTTATGCCTTTTCGATTTTCAAGTTCACTCCATCCTTCAGTGTCAACAAGAAGTTTCGAGCATCACTTTCGTATGGGATCGTCGTTTTCTCGCAGACCTTGACCTTGTGATTGCGAATAATAGTCATGATACCAATCTTTGTCTGATAATGTGCAAAACGGGCACCTGAAAAAATTATTCAGAATATTATTCGACCTCTATGTAATGTAAACAATTAATAAGATGCCTGTGATATCATGAAATTAGTATACTGTTTAAAAATATTCTAGTTAAAACGTTCATAGACGTATACTGCACAAATGTAGTTAAATATTAAATATTCTTTTGAAATTATACTATTAATTAGCATTATCAGTTTAATACTGTAATCATAGTTTTATTCTCATTATGATTTTCCATCGTAATACTACATAGTAAATGTATGTAGCGACCAATATTCTTCACACTTTCACCGCTAGATGGAAAACGGAGGTTCGAGGTTTCTCGCAAGTCCTCGGTGAATCCTCGACTCCTATAAATACAAATTCCTATGCTATCTAAGTATCCCTCGTCTCAGGTAGGGCCTGCTAGAAAGTTTTACTGACGAATCCATCCACTAGCAGGCCCAGAACGTCGTACCCCTTCCTTTGTGTCCTTCTACCTGCTTTTAATATATCTATCATACCTACCAAGGCGCTAGGTACCATAGCGGAAGCATACAACATATAATATGAATCATAATAACTCTCGGTGATGGAGGAGGGGAACTTTTCACCACAGATACTATAGTATATAACATTATATGGTAATATTTTCATGAATACCATAAAATTGCAAATGTAATTATACTATCATAGTTTAGTATCACCGCTTTAGTAATATTTCAACTATTGATTATAATTAAACCATGACACTGTAATTACTATTAATAATATAAAATAATAAAATATAAGACCCTATATTAGTTATTAATACTTTAAACGCTGAAATTGTATAGTAGTAATATAACAATTTGTACGTTATTTATTGTATAAGCATACCAATGCAGTTCCTGGGCCCATCACCGAATGGCAGATAACTCATAGGGTGTCTAGTAGCAACAGCTTCATCGGTGAATCTTTCGGGATCGAAAACTTCTGGCTTCGGATAAATATTCGGATCTCTTTGAATTCCGTATACAGGTATCCACACCTTCATCCCCTTTGGTACAGTAATTTTTGTGCCACTGAACGTGTAATCTTCAATTGCTTGCCTTGTCAACATCGGCAGTAGGGGATACTTCCTTAATGTTTCTATTAAAGTATGACACAAGTGAATGATCTATCTACTATAAATTATCAGAATTTATCTTCAATAGAAAAGTATTCTTAAATATTTTCTGATCTACGAGTGACAGGGTTCCTTAATTTCTTAGAAATCATTATTCATGATAATAATCATTTTCTTTGTCCCAAGTACCTTTAAACACCTTGTCCAAGTATTTCATCTCTTTAATATCATTGTACGTCAAATTCTTAATATTTTTCTTGGTAACTTCTTTGATCTCTTGCCGCAATTTATTTTGGATATCCTGGTGTTGAGCTAGTTCGTAAAGAGCATGAGCAATCGTCGATGAAGAGGTTTCAAAACCAGCGGCGAAGAAGACGAACGCCTGTGCAGCTAGCAACGAATCTGTTAATTCTGTAAAATACAACGAGATTTGATTGCATATCTGTAATTGATATATCATAAAGAGAAAACAAAATTGTTATTATACAGAATTATCACAGAATGATCAAGAAATTTTTTATATACTCACCCATATTGTTTACCTTATCCGGGTGATCCTGCAATTCCATCAGCAAGTGCACGAAATCTGGTCTAACTACTTTATTCTCTCTTCTATATTTGATTGAATTGGTAATTAAATTTATGAAAAAGTTATTCACATCTTTCTGTTCAAGCAAAGGACCAACAAATCTGTACAACCACGGGATAAATTGTCTACAGCTTTCTCTGAGCAATCGTTTCAGGTCAGGTGCGAAGATCTTCTTGCCCATTTGACGAAACTCGCTGCCCTCGTCCATCAGGGCGTTCATGTTGATACCAAAAGCGCAGCTGCCGATAACGTCAGTCGTGAACTTTGCGGCTAAATCGCGACACTCCACTGATTCCCTGTCTTCCTCAACTTTGTCCAAGTATGTTTCGAGATTTTCAGCGCATTCAACTATCAGAGGAAACATTTCTTTCAGCTTCCCGGACGTGAATATGGGCGAGAGCTTTGCTCTCAAAGGCCGCCATCTTTCAGGCTCCAACAAGAAGAGGTGTTGCATCAGTGGTTCTATCTATGAAGTTATATTGTAATTTATTAATGGATTAAATTATATTTTTCATTATTTGATGAATGTTATTTTATTATATATTAATTAATCAATTAAAATTTCAAAATTATATATGTTTATAAGGATGAATATTTTTCTTCGCCTTTTATCATCATTTCTTTTATTTCATTTCTCTTATTTATATTTATATTATTTATATTTATGTCCGCTAACTTGGGTTATATAAGAGCATAATCATAGAATGATATACATAATGAAAAAAGTTGCTTCAACAGAATACTTATATATGAGAATAATTTCTGAATCATGGTTCAATGGGAGTCTAATCATATCTCATAAAAAATGCATAATATTCATAATAATGAATTTGTGTTATATTCACCGTAATCTACAGTCAAATTGAATATGTATATACATGCATATAAATGTATGTATATATATATGGAATATATATATATATATATATTCACAAAAAATCACAGGATAAAAATGAAAAATTAGATCAATGAATTAATTATTAATATTATTATTAATTAATAATAATGAAAAAAGTTGCCTCAATAGGATACTTATATAGGAGAATAATTTCTGAATCATGAATTTATGATATATTCACCGTAATCTACAGTCAAATGGAATGTATATGTATGTATATGCATGCATATAAATGTATCTATTGAAATGTATGTATATATATAGAATGTATATATGTTTAATCACAAGAAATCACAGGATAGATATGTAAAATTAGATCAATGAGTTAATTAGAATTTCCAAATACCTTCGGAAAAATTCGGAATCCTCTGTCCACGAAGGTCGAAAAATTCCTGATGAGGACATCCTTGACCATATCCAGGTCATTAATCACGAGAACTGGCGTTCTACCCTCGAATATTCCAAAAACTGGCTCATGCTTGAACTCGTCGTACCATGTTTTCACGCTGTCGCTTACCGATTCTTTCTTAATCAGTATGTTGAGAAAATTGCCAACAAAGTATGTAGGTTTCGGTCCAAGTATCCCACGATTTTTCCAGGTGTCATAAATCGATTTGTAGTAGTAATATATTCCCAGAACTACGACCACGAGGCCGCAGACGATTTGGAAGTAGTCCATGTTGCTTCTGCCTATCTAAATTTCAACGATGGAAGATCAGTTAACGAAGACTTTAGTTTCTCAGCGCATTTTCGATTAATTTTAGCCCATTGTATACTGATTTAAGAATTCTCTGTGAATGTTTCTCATTCACACCTATCATGATCCTATTTTTGGACGTAAATACGATCACGAGCAGGAATCGAAGATCGAGATCTCAAAAGGCACGTATTTAAAATATTAGATTTGTCAAAGTTCATGGGAAATTTTCAAATTCGAATTTTTTTCAAACTTAGTCCCGTAAGAATATTTTTTCCACATTTTTGATTTTAAAAAATTTTGTTTATAAGAAATCACTCGTTACACGCTTTCAAATTGGTCACTGCGTGGATCAGGTACAATATACCTGGTGTACAACGTGTTACTACTGAGGAAGTACCTGTTGTAGTACTAGCGTAATGTTAGGTTAGGTCTGAGAAGGACAATGATTCAAGTGTTGTAACAGGATTGTAAACTATTGTATTATTCAGTATCGTGTTTTCAGATTTGACGAATTGTCAATTTGACAATAAGACATTGATCTTAAATGACCAATTGTCATTTCAGATTTGCAACTGACGATATTCTAAGGTTCTGCCACATTGGATCTTGAAGATATTTGGCCTTGGGTATAGTAACCTAATGTAACCTATTGTTTGTTTGCGTATCTCAGCACGATGTCATGGATTTTACTTATATAAGATTGCAAATGTTGAATGAGTACCTGTTGACATAAGAAATAATCCCGTTAGTGTATAGAATGTCTTAAGAAAACTTAGACTCTTTGTGAAGGAAAAATTGTCAATAATTTTTAATAACAATATTTAAATATTTTTTTATTTGTATATAATTTATATAATTATGTATAATATATTAATTATTGTAATATATTAATTACATATATATATTATATAATAATTATATAATTTTTTATAATTTATATAATTTAACTAATTTATAAAAATTTGACCTTTACTGGGAGACAATATTCGTTTCCCACAGATCAGTAGCTTTTAATCTTGCAAATTATCAATTCTTATTGTTAAATTGCAAAAGCGTTTTTAGATACCATTTATATGACAATCTACCGTCTTGACATTTAATTTTCATTAATTTTAGGCCAACATGTTACGAAAATATTTGTCATTTGAACTGACCATACCGGTATGGTAAAGCAGTTATTTTAGATATTGACATTCTTTTTTTGTTTTGGTTCCAACATGTATTAACACCTCTGTAGTCTATGACGTAAATTGGTTACTCACGTAAGCATATACGTCTTTTCGTGGGTTGTAGTTATTTTTGTATTTCTATTATTTTAGTCATTTATTTATATTGTTGTGTAGTGAAAGATAAATACGTTTATATCGTCTTATTAAATTCAAATGATGGCTACACTTTTATAACTCAAATTTCTAAATCTTAATGTATAATAAATAAAAATAAACACGATTTTAAAATAATAACTGTGTAACGTAAACGTAATTAATTAAATCAAGATATTATGAACCTGATTTGTTTAAGAATTTAGAATTTGTATTCTGACAAAATAGTAATCGTTTGAAATGGAATAATGCAATTACAATGAGATTTTAAAAATTTTTATTCGTGAGAATTTGTATTGCATTAAGAAAGCATTGGATTAGTGTGAACTTGAGTGCAATATGAAAATTTAGTATAACGAAAATGAAATTAATTAAAGGTAGTGATATAGAAATTTGTCTCAATATGCAGGTAATCGAGATATTTTTATCTGTTTTGATTTTTGAATTTGCTTGGTATAATACGCATTTTCATTGATAAGAATTTTCAAATTTGTGAATGAATTGTAATAGCTCGTAGCTGTACGTCGAAGAGGTAGGAATACCTCTATGATTCACTCTATACACGTTGCTAGCTCTTTGAATTTTAGATCATTAACATTCTTTCACAACGATAGTTACACAATTGTTGACAATGAAAATGAGAGTTAAGTTAAGAAATAGATTCTGAAATATTTCGATTGCTACACGTGATAAACGATATTTTTAAATTTTATCTTGTTTTACGCCAGTTTGATAATTCGGTTGAATGATTGGAATTTATGTAAGTCAGATTTTGAGATACAAAATTTGACGAAGTTCTAGAATTGACTCATAGGAATTTTCTATGATAATTACGCGAATTATATATTTATGTTTATATATGGGCATAGATAGGCCTAGTAATAATTCGTGACGCATAAAATAAGTTATATAACTGAAGACATAATTAGCAGCATGATTAATACCTTTTCACCTCGTGAAGTAAACAAATTCACTTCAAGTACACGCATCATGTTACAAGACACGTATGATTACAATGAAGCCTTGGAAATTAAGCGGTGCATTATTTTCAGCAGTTTTTAGAAGTGAATTCATAAAATGTATACCTGATAATAAGATATACCCAAACACGTTAAGTGCTTATTATCGATAAGGTAGTATTTGGTTATTAATGAGTAACAGCAATAAGTGAAGTGAAATTTATATAACCTTTAATTTACAATTATAAACTTGTTTTGATAAAAGATATAGGATTTTATGGCAAAAATAAAACTGTAAATAACACGATATTGCAGTGTACCCATTGTGATTCATTTACTGCATATTGGTACAAATAATGAACTTCGCCACAGTAATAATAATAAACAATAATGATAGATAGGAGTAATAAATAGTAATGTTTAATAACAATAACAACAATAATAATAATAATGATAATAAAATAATAATAATAATAATAATGGTAATAAAATAATGATGATGATGATGATTATGATAATAATAATAATAATAATAAGAGAATTAGTCAGGAAAACCACAACCTGACAAATACTACAACATCATGGAAATCTCAAACATAGATAAAGAACAATCGTACAAATGACTCAAAACAGAACAACTCTTCCCAGAGTCGGAGGGATTCATTATAGCAATGCAGGACAGGGTCACAGACATGAAAAACTACAGAAAACACATAATAAAAGGAAATATAAACAGGGACATATGCAAATATTACCATCAGGTAAGGGAAATAAAGCACGTCGTTGGAGCATGCAAAGTGATTGCTTGAATATACTACACAGATAGATACAATACAGCAACAAAAATTATACATCAAGTACTTTTGACACAATATAAACTTGCTGATTCTCGTCAATTGTCAACAAAAAATAAAAGGAAAACGTACCAAATAGGTATCATAATACTGAATGATACAAACACCCTCTAATTTGTTCCTTGCATGCAATTGTTGAATAATTAATTAAATAGACACATATGGACATTTATTATTATAATATATTATTAATAATTATGGAGAAAAAAATAGGAATTGTTGAATATATTGTTATCAATTTTTTGAATTATAAAATTCAATTACGTTACTATCATATATGATATTATAAATTATTATATTATTATTTTAATATAATATTGTATTATTATACAGTAATATATTAATATAAATAATATATATTTACTGTTAAATATATTATACAACATAATATACTACTGTAATATGTTCTACATTACTAATGTATATGTACATTAATATAATATAGGCGAAGTAAATACTGAGATTTTATTGAAATATTCATTTATTAATAATAATTATCATGCGAAATATAAAATGCCGAGTTAAGAAGAAAGTTGTCTAAATTTGAACAAAATGATGTTCGTATTTGTAAACATATATACTGATAAGGATGCATGTCAAATAATGCTGGTTGTTAACGATAAGCTCAATTTTATTGCTACACTTGCTTACGTAGCTTCTGCGATTAATTCGTAGAAAGGAATAAACGAATCTCAAATAAAAAGATATTGTCAAAAATTGACAAATTCATACATATATATTTAATAAGAGAAATAAATATCTTTTACAAGGTAATTTATAAATTTCATGCTACTTTCTTATCACTATTTTATTATTAGATCAATTGTCTCACATTAAAGTACATGATTCTTATCTACTGTAATTGTTTGCTTCATAATGAAATAAAATATTTGTTATGAAAGGTGGATATCAATAAATAGATACAAAAGAGTTTAGAAATTTATAAAAATTTCTCTGCCTTTGTTTCCTTATATGTAACTGATTCGTTACAAATAAAAATTTTTATTTAATTCTAATTATTGAATTAAATATTAATAACATATGTCATTAGATATTTTTAATATTAATTAAATTATATTTAATATTTTATTTGTTAATCATGATAGGGTATCTTTCATTTCCCACTTATCCCGTTAAAATATACATAGCAATATAATGAAAAATAGGAAGAAACATAATTTTGCTATTGGAAATTATTTATATAATATTTATTTTTCAATAAATTATATTAAGTTTCTCACATTAATTGTTTGCTATGTGAGACAATTTTTCCAATAAGGACTGTTTGTTATCACAAAAAACATAGTAATATAATATTTACTTATCCACTATCTCGATTTTTCATAAATATTGTCAGGCTCAATTTCTTAACTATTATAGATAACATTTAATCGCGCAAATCAGAAGAGTATCGAATGCTAAAAGAGCTATTAAATTGTATGACATCGAAATTAACGTCGTCAATAATGATTGAGTAAACAGTCAGGTCGTATCGGCACATACTGTTTACGATTTTATCTTTTAATCACTGCAATAAAGGAATAATAACTGGTTTACGTATGTACTAATAAAATTGTTTGTTATTTCGTACGAAATCAAAATACTTAGAATTTGTTTGAGATCTGTGTTACTCGTAATTACAACGATATGGACTGGATCTTATCTGAATCTCACTTAATTTTAAGTTATTTCAAGGTTTTAAAAATTTTCCGTCCTACGTATCATTGAATAATTCAAAAAATTTAAAACTATATCTCAAAGTTTATACCAAAACGACAATTTGTATATGATAACACAATAACATATAATTACGTCATGCACTAATTAAAATTTGTATCATTTTTATAAAACCCTTCAGAAAAATGACCAATTCTATTCAAAAAATTATAAAATGTTCAATTGTTATAAAATTTCTTATAAAATATCAATATTTTTATAAATTTTTTATTTGTAAAGTTTATACGTTCTTACATTTATCATTATTCAATTTTTATTAAATTTTTATTCAATTTTCTGTAGATTCTATATAACATAAATTTTTTTACGATACCTTTCGAGGTATTTACTCGGTCTAGTACTGCGCTTTGTAAACACGTTTTCCCTAGATCGAACATGTGACGTTACCAATTATCATATATGTATGATACTTACTTGTATCGATATTCGTTAAGTCAAGGTAAGCCACGGTGAAACAGGAAAAGAATGTGGTGCGTTTGAGTTGTCTCACGATTGAACGTCAAATGATCTTGACTGACGGTGAAACTTAACATTGCGTCGGCATCGCTCCAGGACAACCGTATATGTGTCGCCCCTGACGTCGTGTAATCCCTACCACTTGTAGCGATCGCAGACACTAGTAGTCACAGAATCATCTGAAACAGGTAGAGTGGACGAAGTAAGGCTTTGTATAAATGAATAGATTAATAAGGCTCACTACATGATGTTCAGATAAATATAATCGTAATGAAGTACTTAGTATACACTTACTACAGCACTTACTATATTTCATTTAATATACTACTATACGAATTATCGTTAGTATACTTACTAGACTTACCATGTTTTTGTATACTATAGTATACTGTTACATGCTACACTGCGGTTTATTGTAATATGCTTGCATATAGTATGTTATACTATAATATACATTTGCACGCTGTGACATATTACACTTTTATGTATTATAAAATACTTGACTGAATACTATTCTACACATTATACTATATTTTTGTACACTGTGCTTCACTTAATCCTTTGCACTTGACGATCTTTTCGTTACAGAAACATAGTAATTCGAAGATTTTCTGCCATAAAGTCGACGATATTTTCAAAACGATAAATAAAAAGTGCAAATTAATTCTAAGACGTAGAATTATTTTACCACGATATTCCGCGCGTCGTTGAGCAATTTTAAATTCGAGATATTAATTAACAACGATCTTTAGAATCTGATTAAAGGGTTAACCCTTTGCACTCGAGAGGCGCCTCTCAGTCACCATTTAAACAGATTCTAACGATGGATGTTAATTAATAAATCAAATTCACAATTATTCAACGATGCTTGGAATATCGAAATAAAATAATTCTATGTCTTAATTTGCATACGATTTCTTATTTACCGTTTTAGAAATATCGTCGATTTTATGGCAGAAAGTCTTCGAATTACTATTTTTCTGTAACGGAAAGATCCCCGAGTGCAAAGGGTTAATATATAATACTCGTACACGCTGTAATGTAGTAGTTCATATATTATACTTGCACGTACCATCGTGTTGTTTACTATTCTATACTTTAATATACTATACTATGCATTAGTTTGTCATACTTTATTGTATCGTGCTTTTATTCGTGATACTATAGTTTGCTTTATTATTCTTTTGTATAGTGTATTTCAGTATATTATACTACGGCAAATATGGTACACTTAGTACAGCGGTTAGTATAATAAAAAACGAATGCTTGAAATACCAATATTTCGGAATACACTGAACAAATAGTATCATTGTTCATAATTAACTATATTTGTTAAATATTAAAACACTATTGTGTATACTATTGCGCAGTATACTATGTATTATTAACGATGATTCATCTGTGTATTTCCGAACCAAGAAAAATGAATTCGTTCATTTTGTTACTTTGCCATCGTGAGAAGCAATTTGCATGACCCCAGTTATCAATTTTTGTTCAAGTGGAAAGAGATAAATATTTCCACTTGATCAAAATTTAAAATTTAAAGAGAAAATTTAGTATTCAAGCATATAGTCAGTTAAACATTGTCTCATTTTCCATTAATTGATACTTCTTTTTTTCGTTACAAAATTTACAAGGTTTAAAGCAAAGTATATGTAAGAACTTTACGTAACTTATATAATAATTATGGATGATAATAATGACAGGTAAGATCAAAATTATTTTCATGGAAAAGAAAATTTTGGGAAAAGGATGTCATTAAAAAAATTGGAAAATTATGTTTATATTAATTATCCTGTGTCATATCCTTATAATCCTTTGTGTTTGTCAGATCACTTGATGTCTGATAATGACACGTCCATCGTACAAACTGCGGACTTACTAATAAGCCTTGAATAAACATACAATAATAGTATCAGTTCAGCTATTTGGTAATACTGTATTACGATCCAATATTTTATCACGAGAATTTTTAATATGGAATCTTGGAATGATATCCATGAAAATAACGGTGGTGGAAAATATTGGATAAAACTTGTTGTTCGCCTATATAAAATGATTTGATATTACCAATTAAAAAATAGTTAAATGTATAAAATATTTCTAACTAATTATACAAACCCTGTCAACTAATTAAATACTACTATAATTTGAATTTTAATAAGCTCGAGATTTAATCGATCTTAATTTCATTTCTATGCAAATTCCAATTGAAGTTCTAACAATAATCAATTAACTACAAAAATGAATTTAATTAAAATCGTATTTTGCAATGGATCCAAATGTATTAAAAAAGGGATAAATAAAATTTGTAGAATAGTTACTATGCTATGAAAAATACGGAGTAAAGAATTATGTTCGTTTATTCCAAGTGACGAAACGTCATTCATGAGTTAGAAATTCGTGGAAGAACAAAGTGATTTTGGTTAGAATGGAAAGGAAGGGTTAACGACTGACTAAAAATTTTGCAGGACGTGTACCGAGTATATCTGTGAAGTTTGAATGGGAGAGAACGTGGAATAAAAAAAGAAGAATGCTGGGTGTTAACATATGTGTAAAATCTGAAAATTACATGTATTTGTGCGTGCATGTGTGTGGGCAAGCGAATGTGTGTGTGTGTGAGAAAGACAGAGAGATCAGTACTTTTGTGGAACGAAGAGTACGAGGTTCTGCATTGTTTTGTAGAACATTATATTTCAAATTATTCCAGTATGCTTTAATATGCAGTAGTTTGTATCATATTGTAGCCTTTTTAAAAATAACAAGATAAAGTATATTATATAATTTGTCGTTAAATATATTCTTTCACTTTTATTGAATTCAGGTTAATTTTATTACATAAGCTAGTATTTGTTATTTAAGTACTACATTATCAAAAAAGATACACAAAGTCCCATAGTTAGACAGTACAGGATTAATTAATTCAATATGAGATAATCTAAGGCTGATTCACATTTCGCCTTAAAGAATAAGGACTCCTTCTGACAATTCCGTTTATATTTTTAATATATGCTTAATATAGACAATCTTATATACTATTTTACATTCTACAAAATATAGTCGTTATATTATTTTACATAATAATTTCTAAGATTAATTTTATACTCTTTCTATCTTTAAGTTCACACCATCCTTGGATCTCAACAAGAAAGTATTACTATTGCTTTCGAACGGGATCCTGGTTTTCTCGCAAACAACGACTTTGTAATTGCTGATAACAGTTATGATACCAATCTTGGTTTGATAGTGTGCAAAACGGGCACCTGGAAAAATTGATCAAAATATTATCACGCGATCCATATGTAATATGTATAACGAATAAGGTATCTGTGGTATTATAATACTTAAATTAGTATACTATTTAAAAATAAACTGTTCAAATATATAACAGTTTAACTGGCAACAAAATTTATCATTATAATACCACATAGAAATTGGTAGAATTGCAATAGCATATAGTAATATTATGCTTACTGCCATAATATTGCAACTATTGATTAAGTAATATAGTAGTTAATATAGTAAGTAATATAATGTATTAAAATATTAGATGACATATTATTATTAATAATTATTAATACAACTATAATTACTATTATAATACTGTCATCTCTTCTGCAATATTACAACTATTGTTCTAATTTTTAATATAATGCTATAATTATTACTAATGATACAAAATGTTTAAGTATTTGATATTATAGCATTATTTATAATTAAGATACTGAAATTGTATAGTAGTTATGGATAAATCAAATTAGATATCTATAAGCATACCAATGCAGTTCCTGGGCCCATCACCGAATGGCAAATAACTCATAGGGTGTCTAGCAGCAACAGCTTCCTCGGTGAATCTTTCAGGGTCGAACACTTCCGGTTCCGGATAAATATTCGGATCTCTTTGAATTCCGATCACAGGTATCCACACATTTGTCCCTTTTGGTATAGTAAGCTTTGTGCCTCTGAACGTGTAATTTTCCACTGCCTGCCTTGGTAACATCGGCAGTAAAGGATACTTCCTTAACGTTTCTATCAAAATAAGATACAAATGAGTGACTTATATACTATAAATTACTACAATTTTTCTTCAATAGGACAGTATTCTTAGATATTTTCTGATCTACGAGTAATAGGTTTCCACAGTTTTTCAGACACTATTTTTTCTAAAATGTAACTTTTCTTTGGCTTGAGCACCTTTAAACACCATGTCCAAGTATTTCATCTCTTTCATATCATTGTACGTCAAATTTTCAATATTTTCCTTGGTAACTTCTTTGATCTCTTCCCGTAATTTGTCTTGGATATCCTGGTGTTGAGCTAGTTCGTAAAGAGCATGAGCAATGGTCGATGAAGAGGTTTCAAAACCAGCAACGAAGAATACTAACGCCTGTGCAGTGAGCAACGAATCTGTTAGTTCTGTAAAATAGAAGAATATTTAGTTACACACCTATAATTAATATATCATAAGGAAAGAACAAAATTGTCATTATACATACAGAATTTAAGAAGTTAACCCTTCGCACTCGAGAGGTGAGATTCAGTCACCATTTCATAAAATTTGGAAGATCGATATTAATTAATATATCAAATTTAATGTAATGTAACAGTGTGCGAGGTATCGAAATCAAATAATTCTACAATTCTATTATTATACAATTCTTTATTTACTGCTTAAAAAAGAATCGTCAGTTTTTTAATAGAGAATCTTTGAATTTCTACTCTTCTCTAGCCAGAAAGTCGTCGAGTACAAATGGTTAATACTTAATACTATAATACTAGAATAGGTACTATAATACCATAATACGCTTTGACTGCTACGCTGAAATCACATGTTTCGCTAAGGACGCCATGAGAGTATTTTTATTATTCAAAGCATATAACAGTAATTGGTGATATAAGGCAAAATTTTTATCCAATGCAGCGTTTATCCTATTGGCGTTCACGGCTAACCACCATGGCGCTTTGTTAATGGTTGACAATTGACTGACTGTCAATTTTCATTCAATTTTTACAATCGTAAATAGTTCATACACTCTGATCACCGATGATCACCATGGCTTCATAGGAGAAATCGTAGCCGGTCATATATGACCAACGAGGCAGTCAAAGAGTTAAATCATCCACAGGCTGTGTTCGTTAATTCTTAAATGTTTAGTGATCCACCTTGAAAGCCAGGCTAAGGGAAATGCGTGATTAAGGAAAAAAGCTTGCGTATGAAAGAAGACAGAGTGCAAGGTTTAAATGGGGGTGCAAGGGCTGTCCTAGGACAGTCCTGTTGGTGAGAGTTGTACACGAAAGCTGTTGTTGCAAAAGCTGTATAATTTTCGTGCCTTTCTATACATAGGCAAGCACGCATGCTAATATAAGATAGTTCTTAAGTTTATATTATCTTATAGAGATAAGCGCGGTAGATTAAGTTTGATTCTAGATCGCGAGTGTTTCACGCTGGAACCATCGATCTCGTAGTCTAAGTTTCATTTCTAACCATTTCGTACGTTTTGGTTCCTTTATATGTATATTATTGTATCTAGTTTTCGAGGCAATAAGCGTATGTTAAATTGGAAAAATTGGAAAAGTTGTACACGAGGTTTGAAAGAGAGTCAAGTCGGTGACAGTTCGAAGAATTGACGTGCGAGTGTGAATTGCGTAATTAGTTTAATCTTTTAGTTTGTATTTTACTCTTAAGTCTCTTTAGCTCGTAAGTAAAATATATTGGAATTAACAACATCCTTTATTCTGTATATTTGCCAATCTAAATACTATCCCTACGTACATACAGAATTTAACAAGTTAATACATGCTAAATCATCCACAGGCTGTGTTCGTTAATTGCAAGGTATGCGCAAGATACATAAATTTTTCTAGTACTTCAAACTGCATATACTCACCAATATTGTTTAGCTTATCCGGGTGATCCTGCAATTCCATCAGCAAGTGCACGAAGTCTGGTCTAATCACGTTATTCTCTCTTCTGTATTTCATGGAGCCGGTAATTATATTTGTAAAGAAGTCGTTCATTTCCTTCGGTTCAAGTAAATGACCTATTCGTTCATACAGCCACGGGGTAAATTCTTTACAACTCTCTTTGAGCGTCCGTTTCACACTAGGCGCGGATATCTTCCTACCCATTTGACGAAACTCGCTGTTCTCGTCCTTCAGGGCGTTCATATTGATACCAAAAGCGCAGCTTCCGATCACGTCCGTCGTGAACTTTGCGGCCAAATCGTGAAATTCCACTGGCTCTCCGTTTCCCACAGTTTTGGCCAAGTGTTTGTCGAAATTTTCTGCGCATTCGACTATCAGACTGAACATTTCTTTCAGCTTCCCGGACGTGAATATGGGCGAGAGCTTAGTTCTCATAGTACGCCATTTTTCAGACTCCAACGTGAAGAGGTTCTGCGCCATTGGTTCCACCTATGAAGTTATAAAATTATATTTCCAACTTGACAATGGATCAAATTATTTCTTTTAATATTTAATGAATTTTATTTTATCCTTTATTAATCAATAAATTGAAATTTATAAATCACATATGTTTATTGGGAAGAATATTTTTCTTCGCCTTTCATCCTCATTCATTTTATTTCATTTATATATTTCTTATTTATATTTATTTCTGCTAGCGTGTGTTATATGAAAACAAAATCGTACAATGATATATCAGTTTAGAATGTATGAATAGTATGTGCTCGTTCGACGTCCATCAGGTATCAGGAGGAATCACTTAACGACAGTTATATACACGCAAAGAATTTGTTTGAGCAGTATACTTATACTTGAGAATAATTTTTGAATCTTATGTCATCGATGTTTTAATTATATATCATGGAAAGTGCAAAATATACCAAATATAGGATTTGTGTCATGTTATGATAATGGACAGCTATATTAGATATACACGTGAAATTACGAAGTAAAAAAACAAAAAGATCACAGGATTATAAGGAAATAAAGAATTAGATCAACAAATTCATTAGAATTATCAAATACCTTCGGAAAAGTGCGAAATCCTCTGTTCACGAAGGAAGAGAAGTCTCTGATGAGGACATCCTTGACCATATCCAGGTCGTTAATCACCAGAGCTGGCGATGTACCCTGGAATATCCCAAAAACTGGCTCATGCTTGAACTCGTCGTACCATTCTCTCACTTTATCGCTCATCGACTGTTTCCTAATCACTATGTTGACGAAATTGCCAAGCAAGAACGTAGGTTTCGGTCCAGGTATCCCACGACTTTTCCAGGTGTTATAGATCGATTTGTAGTAGTAATAAATCGCCAGAACTACGGCCGCGATGCCGCAGGCGATTTGGAAGTACTCCATGTTGCTTCTGTCGACCTACAGTAAACATTTAGGACATTTGATTTGCCAACTATCTCGGAAAATTTGTAAGCTCGGATTTTTTTCAAAACGTAGTCTCGTATGAAAAATATTTATTTCGTATTTTTTATTTATTTTTCTTTTTTTTGAAAAATCACACATTACACGCTTGCAAATTAATCACTGCGTAGAACAGGTAAAATGTACCCGGTGTACAACGTGTTATCACTGAGGAAGTAACTCCAGTACTACTTGAGTAACGTTAGATTAGATCTGATAAAGACAATGATTCACGTGATCAAACAAGTTTGGAAATTATTTTATTAATCGTTTAAAATATCGAGATATTTTCGTCTGTTTTGCTTTTCGGACTCGCTTAGAATAATACACATTCTCGTTGATAGAGATCTTGAAACTTGCGAAAGAATAGCAATCGTTCGTAGTTAAACATCGAGGAGGTATGAATTCCTCTAGGATTCACTGCATGCTCATTGAATCAGCGAAATAATCGTAGTACAAATAGTCCTGGTAATGATCCATAGAGTATAGAATAAGTTGTATAACTCTAGCTGTGCTTGGGAGTACAATTAATACTTTTTTATTTCGCGAAGAAAACAAATTTACTATGGAAATTAGGCGCGGTACGTTATCTTCGGCAGTTCTGGGAACTGAATTCCTTATGTACCTATCTGACAATGTGATACACACAGACACGTCAAACACAAGCGAATGATAATGAGGTATTCGATTATTAATAAATTATCGCGATAAGAAATGAAATATAAGAAATAATATTCATTCAACGTTTAACTTACAATTATAAACTTCGTTTTAACAAGAAATGTAAGGATTTTATGGTAAAATTAGCTGGGTATAATACGATACTACAATGTAGCCATTGCGATTAATTTACTGCACTTTGCTATAAATAGTGGACATAACGTTAGTAATAATAATATACAATAATGATAGATAGTAGTAATTAATAGTAATGATTAATAATAATAATGATGATAATGATAATAATAATAATTATTATTAATAGAATATAGAATATAATTATAGTAATGACTAATAATAATAATAATGTGATTAATTGTAATAATAACAAAAATAATACATAGCAACAATAGATTATAAAAATTATAATTGTAATTGTAAAAATGATGAGAGAAGCAATGAAATCAGAATAAATGAGTAACTATGTTAAAGACATTAAAATAAATGCAAGTAAATACAGTATCGAAAACGGTATAAATAAATAAAAAATTAAAATTGTACCTAAGTGAAAGAACATTCGAGTGAATATAAATGTAGGATCGGGGTGGGTGGATGGGCTAAAGTAATGTTCCTTTACTACCTCTTCAAATACAATAAACATATTATCGGCTACGAAACTAGAGACCCGCTACGGGTACGCTCGACTTTTACTTCTTAGACACCATCTTGAGGACCGTGAAGGACTGGTGCTGCTCGCGCCCTTGCACCCTTATTTAAGCATTCACTCTGTTCTTTTCCATACCCAGGCTTTCCTTTGCAATCACACTTCTTTTCCATGCAACCTCGGTGGGCCCGGCACTTCAATCACTCTGCACGCATCTCTAATCTTTCACTCTAACATAAACATTCATTGCAATCCATCCTCGCGCACATGGTCACTTTCATTCTAAACCCAGGCACACTTGACATTCTTCCAGGGCCGTACTTATTCCAATCCCACATAAATGAATAAAAGATTAAAATTTGTGTAAATTAAACGAATACTGAAATGAGTATAAAAAGTTTGATATCAAAACGAGTATAACGGTCTGACATTTCCTAAAATAAAATGTTAATTAAATAATATTTACTTTATAAATTTTCAATGAAATCATTTACATTTCCAGGTTGATCGTTGTCGAATCTTTAGGATATTTTCGGTAAACTCCATATTACTCGTATAAATTTTTATTCAATATTTTTTAAACAATCTTTCATGAAAGCATTTGTTCAAACTTATACTACGCTTCTAAAACACGTTATATCGTGGTCACGTGACGATAACCATTATATGTGTATGTACTCACTTGTACTCGTGTTCGTTATATCAAGACAAGTCACGACGCAGCAGAAGAAAAATGTCCGTTTAGTGTCACGACTGAATATTAAATAATCTTGACTCACGGCGAAATCTAAGATTTCGTCAGCTACATTGTATCAGAGCAACAATGCATTTGGGACCACCAGCCTATCCCTACCCTAACTGTTCCTGACGTCAGGATACTACCACATGTAACGATTACAGAGCTACAAGTATAGTAGATAACTAGAGGCATCTGAAACGTTTAAACAGATAGAGTGGATATAGTAAGACTTTGTATAACTAAATATGTATTATTGTAATAGGCACAATAAGGTCCACTAAGTGATTTTCAGATAAATATAGTCGTAATATAGTACCTAGTATATACACTTGCTACTGCACTTACTATATTTTATTTCGTTTGCTATTATATGAATTATCGTTAGTGTACACACTACACTTACCATGTTTATGTATGTTGTAATATATTACATGCTGCATTGCAGTTTATTTTATTACACTTCCATAGTATACTATGCTATACCTTTGTATATTTTGTCATATTATTTTTTTATGTATTATACTATACTTGACTAGATACTATTTTACACATTATGCTGTATTTTTATTTACTGTGCTTCACTTACTGTATAATACTTTAACTTATACATTATGTAGGAGTTGATTATATTCAAGTTTCACGTATTATAGTGTAGTTTACTATTCTATACTTTCATATACTATACTATACGCCTATGTGTATTATCTCACTGTATCGTTCTTTTATTCGTGATACTATAGCTTACTTTATTATACTTTTGTATAGTGTATTTCAGTGTACTATATTTCGTCGTATATAGTGCACCTGGAGGTAGGAGTTGATTATATTCAAGTTTCACGTACTACGGTGTTGTTCACTATTCTATAGTTTTATATACTATACTATACATCTGTATGTTATACCTTACTGTATCGTGCTTTTATTCGTGATACTATAGTTTGCTTTATTATACTTTTGTATAGTGTATTTCAGTGTACTATATTTCGTCGTATATAGTGCACCTGGTATAGGACTTAGTATAATATAGAACGAATGTTTGAAATTTCAATATTTCGGAGTATACTGAACAAATAGTAAGATCGTTCATATGTATTTAAATATATTTGAAGTACTACTGTTATGTACTACTACGTTTATTATCGTGTAGTGTACTATATACAATTAGCGATAGCCCTATCGCGTAGTCATGAAACAGGGAAAAATAAATTTTTATTGAGTGCTTTGTCATCGTGAGGATTTTGCGTAATAACAAGTTATCAATTTTCTCTTAAGTAAAGTAAGATAAGTAGCTCGAAAAAATGTTGTGTTTAATGATATGGTCATTTAAACAGTGGCTCATTTTCGATTGATTAATACTTCTTTATTTTATCACAAAATTTACTAACTTTATAGTAAATTATAATGTCAAAATTTTAGATAACTTATAAACAAAATAATTACACATGCCAACGAGAGGATTAAAATGAATAGAGAGATAAGATTAAAATTATTTTCATGAAAAAGGAAGTTTTGCATGAAGGACGTGATTTCAAAAAGTAGAAAATCAAATTTTTATAAATTATTCCGTGTCATATACTTATAATTTGTGTTTGTCAGATCACTTGATGTCTGATAAGGACAGATACACTTTATAATTGTTGATTTAATTATACGCCTTGAATCAACATACAAATTATCAAAGCATCGATTCAGTCATTTGCTGACATCGTATGACAATGCAATATTTTATCTCTAGAGTGAGTGAGAATTTTTAATATAGAATCTGGGAAAGATATCTACAAAAAATAACAATGATGGACAGTATTGGATAAAAATTGTTGTTTGTCTCTATTTAATAACTTGATATTACTAACAATAAAATAGTTAAATGTATAGAATATTACTAACTAATTAAGCAAACTCTATTAACTAATTAATCTAATTAAAAATTTAATCAATGATCTATTAATCCCAAAAAGGAATTTAATTAAAATCATATTTTGCAACGGAATAAAATGTATTAAAAAAGATAAGATAAGTAAAATTTGTAAATAACGACTCTGTAAATAGTTAAAATTTGTAAGCAGTTACTCTGTTATGAAAAATATAGAGTAAAAAATTATGTTCTTCTATTCCAGGTGACACAACATCATTCATGAGTTAGAAATTCGTGGAAGAACAAAGTGATTGTAGTTAGAATGGAAAAGAAGGGTTAATGACTGGCCAAAAATTTTGCAGAACGTGTACCGAATATATTTGCGAAGTGTGAATGGGAAAGAATGTAGAATAAAGGAAGAATGCTGGATGTTAACTTACGTGTAAAATCGAAAAGTTACACGCGCGCGTGTGCGCGTGTGTGTGTGTGTGTGTGTGTGTGTGTGTGTGTGTGTGAGAGAGAGAGAGAGAGAGAGAGAGAGAGAGAGAGAGAGAGATGTATTTGTATGGAATGAAGAACAAAGGTTTATACATTTTTGTTTCGAATTAAATAAAACCTATGCCAGTATGCTTCAACACACAGAAGTTTGTAATATATTGTACATTTTTAAAAGATAACAAGATAAAGTTTATTATAGAATTTGTCTGTATTCTTTCACATTCATTGAATTCAGTTTAATTATATTGCATAAGCTACTACTTGCTAGACGAATATTATCTATTATGTTATAACATGACATTTTTACTATATATAATATTACATGGCAGTAAATAATGCTACAAGTATATTTGTATTTACTATGCTATAAAATGTGTAATTATAAAATGCAAAAATATATAAAAATTTTATAGTATAGATGTGGATCTATATTTACGATCAATATATGCTATATTATATTTTCCACATTCAATAACCATAATTAGTACACTCACCATATTTATATTACACTTAACATTTATACTACATATATACTCTTTGTGTAGAAATAATTCATTATTTTTATTTTTGGTATCCTCCTGATTTATTATCACATCACATGACATTTTTAAATATATAAATACAGATTTGAATTAAAGAAATTAATTTTATAATAATAATTTGATACTACTACGTTCAATATGATACTACTTACATTCAAAATTATCAAGTGTAATATTTTAAGGATAAAATAAAAATAAAAATATGAATTAGCAATAAAGAGTGAACTATCACACCCTTACTTCAATAGCACAGAAAAATTTATTGTATACGTACATCTGTTGTATAAATGTAAATTACTTCCTATTAGAACGTAACAGCATGTTCTAATGTAATAATTCATAAATATTGTATAAACATGTGGCAGCTTTATTAACTAAGTCCTCTAATAGTCACTATGGTTAATCAATAATAATAATATGTACATCCTTGTACAATTGTACTTTATTTATTCTTAACAACTAGATTTTTTATAAAAATGAATACATATATACATTCTATAATAATAATAGAGGTTATGTGACCTATGAGCAACGTCTTATTTTTAAAGCTCGCTTAAAATAATTAGTCCATTTCTATTTTAACCGATCTTTAAGTTACTCGATATGAGTAATAGGTACTTAAGTTCTACACTGTTCAACAAGTTGCACAAAGTCACATAGTTAGACATTACAACATTACAATGCATTACAGCGTTTTAAAGAATAAGCTCATCGCTCCTTTTGACAATACTTAACCCTTTGCACTCGACGATTTCTTCGTTACAGGAAAATAGTAATTAGAACACTTTCTGCCATAAGGCAGAATTGATATTTTTAATATGGTAAATAAGAAATCGTATGCAATTTAAGACATAGAATTATTTTACTTCGATATTCCACGCATCGTTGGGTAATTATAAATTTGATATATTAATTAACATCCATGTTTAAGATCTGATCAAATGGCGACTGAGAGGCGCCTCTCGAGTGCAAAGGGTTAATACATTGTTAATATATCTCTTCTATAGGCAGTCGCATATATTAATTTATATTTTACACAATATAATTGTTATAATACTTTATATAAAAATCCTTAAGATTAATTTTATGCTTTTTCAACTTTCAAGTTCACTCCACCCTTCAGTGCCAACAAGAAGCTATTACTATCGCTTTCGTATGGGATCTTGGTCTTCTCGCAAACAACGACTTTGTGATTGCGAATAACTGTTATGATACCAATTTTGCTCTGATAAACTGCAAAACGAGCACCTGGAAAAATTATTCAAAATTATGTCACTCGACCCCTATGTAATATATGTAATAAATAAGGTACCTATGATATTACATTTCTTAAACTAATATGCTATTTAAGAATATATTTCTTAAAAGGTTCATAGAAATATACTACACAAGTCTTACGATATCAAATATTATTTAAAAATTATACTGTTGTTTATTATTATCAATATGTTACTATAATAAGAGTTTAATTCCCACTACAATTACCATGATAATATGTCACAATAATTATAGTAATATGGTAATATTATACAGCAATATTATAATTACTGCCATAATAATACAACTATAATTACTAATATAATGCTGTCATCTCTTCTGCAATATTACAAATATTGTTCTAATTTTTAATACAATGCTATAATTATTACTAATAATACAAGACGTTTAAATATTTGATATTATATCATTATTTATAATTAAGACACTGGAATTGTATAGTAGTAACAGGTGAACTAATCTAGATATTATAATTTATATGTTATTTATTTTATAAGCATACCAATGCAGTTCCTGGGCCCATCACCAAATGAAAGAAAACTCATAGGGTGTCTAGCAGCAACAGCTTCATCGGTGAATCTTTCAGGATCGAAATCTTCCGGTTTCGGATAAATATTCGGATCTCTTTGAATTCCGATCACAGGAATCCACACATTTGTCCCTTTTGGTATAGTAAGCTTCGTGCCTCTGAACGTGTAATCTTCCATTGCTTGTCTTGTCAACATCGGCACTAAAGGATACTTCCTTAATGTTTCTACCAAAACATGACAAAAATGTTTCATTTATTTATTATAGATTACCACAATTTATCTTCAATAGGAAACTATTCTCAAATATTTTCTGATCTATGAGTGGCAGTATTCCTCAATTTCTCTGAAATCATTATCTTCCAAATGAAATTTTTCTTTGTCCTAAGTACCTTTAAACACCTTGTCCAAGTATTTCATCCCTTTAACGTCATTGTACGTCAAATTCCCGATATTTTCCTTGATAACTTCTCTGATCTCTTGCCGTAATTTGTCTTGGATATCCTGATGTTGAGCTAGTTCGTAAAGAGCATGAGCAATCGTCGATGAGGAGGTTTCAAAACCAGCAACGAAGAAAACGAACGCCTGTGCAGCGAGCAACGAATCTGTTAGTTCTGTAAAATAGAACAAAATTTGGTTACGTATTTATAATTGATGTATCATAAAGAACGAATGAATTTGGCATTATACATGTAGGATTGGAATGACTATGGCCCTGAAAGAGGGTCGGGAGTATTTGAACTTAGAACAAAGGTGAATGCGCGCAAGAGGATCGAATGGATGTAGTTAGTTTATGAGTGCGATATGTGTTTGAAGTACGTGGTCCACCGAGGTTGCTGGGAAAGAGGGATAATTGGGAAGGAAAGCCTGAGTGTGAAAAAGGGACAGAATGATTGGTTTAAATAAGGGTGCAAGGACGGAGGAGAGTCAGTGTGCCAGTCAGAGTGTGTAAGAAGTCCAAGTCAGTCTAACAGTTCAGTCTAAGACAGTCCATCAGTCAATCGAAGAATATCCAAAGTCTAAGAGTTTTCGGTCAAAGACAGTGTGTCAAAGTTTAAAGTCAATTTATAAGTTAGTTTAACACTAGATTTACAGAACCCGTCAATTTTACGGAAGGGTAACTCCACTTATACGATTGTAACAGATTTAGTTAACTTATATTAAGACTGTTAATATAATATATAATTGTTTTTAAATTAAACTAATGTAGGAATTGTTTAGACGGGAGCAAAAAGACGATGGTAGATAATAAAAGTATGATTTATTGTGAACTAATTTAAGACTTATTCTAGATGTTAAGACCTTCCACACTGACTATCTCTCGCAGAACTCTTCATGGAATTGTTCGTTTTACGCCCATGCACCCTTATATAATCCATTTGCATCCAAGCGCGGAATATTCCGCGAGCCCGCCACTGTTTACTATCACCATGCGCGGAATATTCCGCGAGCCTGAGACTGTTTACTATCACCAAGCGCGGAATATTCCGCGAGTCGACGTTTAGCGCACATAAGACCGTCCATGCTCACCATTCCTACACTAAGCGTTAAAAAAAAGGCACGTGGTTTCCTTTACCTGTCAATTTGACAGGAATTCTTAGAAATAGGTATACGGATAGCGTCCGTAAACCTAGTATTAAGAAAGATCAGAAGAGTGTGCCCATAGCGAATCTCTCTTGTCTCATATCCAGCCATCATCATTCTATCTATAAGCTTATTTTATTCTATTAAGAAGCCAACAATACTATCTGAAGTCAATCCACCCAAAATCCGATCCTACATACATACACAGTTGCTGCATGTACTCACCAATATTGTTCATCTGATCCGGGTGATCCTGCAGTTCCATCAGCAATTGCACGAAATCTGGCCTAACCACGTTACTCTCTTTTCTACATTTGATTGAATCGGTAATTAAGTTTGTAAAGAAGTCATTTATTTCCTTCGATTCAAGTAAAGAACCAATAAGTCCGTACAACCACGGTGCAAATTGTCTACAAATCTCTTTGAGCGTCTGTTTCAGATTAGGCGTGAAGATCTTCCTGCCCATTTGACGGAACTCGCTGTCCTCGTCCTTCAAGGCGTTCATATTGATGCCAAAAGCGCAGCTACCGATCACGTCAGTCGTGAACTTTGCGGCCAAATCGCGACATTCCGCTGATCCTCCGTCTTCCACAACTTTGTCCAAGTGTTTTTCCAGATTTTCCGCGCATTCAACTATCAAAAGGAACATCTCTTTCAGCTTCCCGGACGTGAATATGGGCGAGAGCTTCGCTCTCATAGGCCGCCATCTTTCAGGCTCCAACACGAAGAGGTGCTGCATCAGTGGTTCTATCTATGGAGTTATAAAATTATACTGTAACTTCATAGTGGATTAAATTATTCATTTTACTATTTAACGGATATTATTGTAGGATATTTTTAGGCATTGTTAGGACAGGATAGTCGAAGTGTTTCTGTAGGGAACACTTCGCCACGTTGAGAGGATCCGTTAGGGTCTGGCGGCCAGATGGGACTTAGGAGGTCGAGGCCAGGCCACGTGTGGGAGCCTCGCACAACCCCGGCTTTCCCCATTGTAACAATTTCCCCGGGAGGGTGACCCTTCAGAGAGCCTAACCTGGAAGGAGGAGTCCCTTCTGCTTTTGAGCTTTACGTGGAGGGAGTTTTCTCCTTCTTTGCGGGAGGCCCTTGCCTTCCAGACGGGCTTAAAAGGACCCGCTCTGGAAGATAGAGTTAGAGTTCGTGTTACTCCGTCATTTTGAGTTTAGTTTGTCGGTTGCGTTGAGTTCATCTTTAGTTGTCAAGTTCGTCATTAGTTGTCTTATAGTTCATCGGTAGTTCCTGTTGAGAGCTAGACTTCAGACTGACAATGAGTCTGCAGTGAATTTCAGAACTCGAAGTACTCGCTTATCATCGTTTCTTTTATTTCATTTATATATTTATTATCTATGTTTGTTGACACTTGCGTGAGTCGTATAAATGCATAATCGTACAATGATTTTATACCAATTTCGAATGAATAAATAATACGTGCTTGTTCGACCTCCATCAGAAGTAAGAATGAATCTCTTAATGACTGTTATATATACATAAAGAAAGACGCTGACTCAGCAGTATTTTTATAGTAATTTTTGTATTTTATCGACATTCTAATCGTATGTCATGAAAAATACAAAGTATAACAAATAAAGAATTTGCGTCATACCTGCCATAATGGACAGTTAAATTAATTATTTAAATTAAATTATTTCTTTTGCTATTTAACGAATATTATTTTATTATTTATGAGTCAATGAATTGAAATTTCTAAATCACATATATATTTATTAAGAAGAATATTTTTCTTCGCCTTTTATCATCATTCCTTTTATTTCATCTGTATATTTCTTATTTATATTTATTTTTGCTAGCGTAAGTTATATGAAGACAAAATCGTATAATGATATACCAGTTTGGAATTCATGAATAATTTGTATACCTGCTCGACCTCCATCAGGTGTAAGGAGGAATCACTTAACGACTGTTATACATAAATAACGAAAAGGTTGCTCCAACAGGATTCTTATAAATATACGTAATTTTTGAATCGTGTTTCATCGACATTTTAATCATATCGGACCTGGTATCCGATTAACAAAACATTGAAAATAATCTTGTGGCGATATCTCAATGGGGTTGTCACTCATGTGCTATGAATCACACGTTAAATGAATTTACCAAGTGTCCATCGGACAAATTGTAAAGTTCTAATAATAATAATAACAAAAAAAGGAAAATTTAATCATATATTATAAAAAATACAAAATATAGAAAATAAATTTGTATCGTACCTACCATAATCGACAGTTATATTATATGTATTTATATAATCACAAAATGATTGCAAAAAATCAGTATACTTATACTTGAGAATAATTTTTGAATCTTATATCACCGATATTCCAATTATATATTATGGAAAGTATAAAATATACCAAATAAAGGATTTGTGTCATACCTGCGATAATGGACAGCTATATTAGATATACACGTGCAATTACAAAGTAATCCCAAAAGGATCACAGAATTATAAGGAAATAAAGAATTAGATGGACGAATTAATTCGAATTTTCAGATACCTTTGGAAAAGTACGGATTCCTCTGTCCACGAAGATAGAGAAATTTCTGATGAGGACATCCTTCACCAAATCTAGATCATTAACCACGATAGATGGCGATGTACCCGCGAATATTCCAAAAAGTGGCTCATGCTTGAACTCGTCGTACAATTTCTTCACGCAATCGCTCATCGACTCTTTTTTAATCGCTGTTTTGAATAAATTGCCAATGAAGAACATAGGTTGCGGTCCAGGTATCCCACGATTTTTCCAGGTGTTGTAGATCGATTTGTAGTAGTAATAGATCGCCAGAAGTACGACCACGAGGCCACAACCGATTTGAAAGTAGTCCATGTTGCTTTCGTCCACCTAAATTAAAAATATATATAGGATATTTGATTTGCCATCTACTTTGCAAATTTTCAAATTCGAATTTTTTCAAAAAATAGTCTTGTAAGAATAATATTTATTCTTTCACGAGAAGTCGTTCCATATACACTTGCAAATTGGTCACTGCGTGGAACAGGTGAAATGAACACTATGTGCAACGTGTTATTGCTGAGGAAGTAATTTAAGTACTATTAGGGCAACGTTAGGCTTGATCTCATAAAGACAATGATCCAAGTGATGTAACAGAATTAGAAATTATTGTATTAACCGTTCCAGCAACACGCATCGAGATCGTGCTGCTCAGATCTTATGAATTGCCATTGCAAATTTGCAAATGATGATATGCTCAGTTTATGCTGCACTTGATCTTGGATACGAGGATCTAATGTAACCTATTATTAGTCATGTCACTGTACGATACCATGGATTTTGCTTATGTAAGAGTGCAAATATTGAACGAGTGCTTCTTGATCTGAGAAGTAACCCTGTCAGCAAAAGATTAGTATCTGGAATATCTTAAGAAAATTTCGACTTCTTGTGAAGGAAATATTGTCAATAATTTTTTAATAATGGAGGACCGAATATTTAAATATTTTTTATTTGTATAATTATTTAGTTAAATCAGAAAATCTGCTTTAGACTGTACTGGAAGATAATATTCGTTTCCCATAGGTCATTAAGTTTTGTTATATATATATATAAAATATTTTAAAAAAATATTTAAAATATGAAAAATTGAATATTTCTTAAAATGTACAAATGTACAAATTTTATATCACTTTCTTATCGCAACGTTATTACCTTGAAATTGAACGATAATTTGATAACATTTAATAGAACAGAAGTATCAAACCGATATACACTATTCTTATCAATTGTAACTGTTTGCTTTATAAATAAATATAGTTCTAGTTTTACAAGGTTAATGCCGATACTAAGTGGACTCAGAACAGTTTAGAAATTTATAAAAATTTCTCTACCTTCGTTCCCTTATATATAATTGATTCGTTATAAATTAAAATTTCGATTTAATTCTAATTATTGAATTAAATAATAATTACATAAGTCGTTAGATATATTTAATATTAATTAAACTATATTTAATACCTTACTTGTTAACCATGATAGAATATTTTTTATTTCCCATTTACCTCGTTAAAATATGCAAAGCAGTATAATGAAAAATAAGAAGACATATAATTTTGCTATCGGAAATTATTTATAAAATATTTATTTTTAAAATAGTTATAATACATTATTTAATTTTTCCAATAAGGATTGTTTGTTGTTACAGAAAACGTGTAATATGATATTAACTTTTCCACTATCTCGATTTTTCATAAATGTGCCTATAATTATGAAAGTGATTTAAGTCATCGACTTAAGAGGAATGATTTTATTATTTATTTCGTGTTGCATTCATTTATATTACGATAAAATATATTTATTTTCTACAAGACAGTGAAGAATTGAATCGTTAGATTGAGTTTGTAGCTTTATCGCAATTAATTTTATTTAATTTTATTTCTTCGAACTACGCGTCTTAAACATGGCTTCGTTATATCAAAGTCACATGACAACTACTCGCGTACATGTATGTACTTACTGGTACGGTTACATTAAGTCGAGCCACTTCAAAGTAGGAAAAGAATATTATTCATCTAACTTTACTCACGATTGAACGTCAAATGATTCTGATTGGTGATGGAATCCAAGATTGCGTCTGCAACACTATGAGATCAACACTAAGAGAGCTTTCAGGTCAGCCATACTTCAGCTGTTCCTGACGTCACATAATCCCTACCACTTGCAATGATCACGGATTGTAGTAATTACGGAACCATCTGAAACGTTGAAACAGATGGAGTGGATGCACTAGGACTTTGTATAACTATATAGAAGTTAACGTAGTAGATGCAATAAGCCTTACCACATGATATTAACACTAAAATAGTGTAGTGAGTAGTGTACTGTACTGTAGTGTAGTAGTGTACTTAGTAGGCACTTACTACTATAGTTCCCATATTATGACTTTTCGTTTGTATACCTACTACGCTTACCACGTTTGTATGTACTATAGTGTACTATTATATGCTACACTACAGTTGACTGTATAATGCTTGCAAGTATTATATTATACTATACTATACATTAATATACTTTGTCATGTCACACTTTTATGTGTTATACTATACTTGACTTAATACTATTTTACACACTAAACTACACTTTTGTATGATTTCTATACCTATTATACTTACCACGGTTGTATATACTATGGTACACTATTATATGCTACACTACAGTTGATTGTATAACGCTTGCAAGTACTATATTATAATAGAATAAACATTAATATACTTCGTCATATTACACTTTTATGCATTATACTATACTTGATTGAATATTATTTTACACACTATACTACACTTTTGTATATCGTGGTTCACTTAATATATAATACTCGTACACGTTGTTATGTAGTGCATATATTATACTTTCACGTACTACGGTGTTGTTCACTATTCTATAGTTTTATATACTATACTATACATCTGTATGTTATACCTTACTGTATCGTGCTTTTATTCGTGATACTATAGTTTGCTTTATTATACTTTTGTATAGTGTATTTCAATGTATTATATTACGTCGTCTATAGTGCACCTAGTATAGAACTTAGTATAATATAGAATGAATGTTTGAAATTCCAATATTTCGGAGTACACTGAACAAATAGTAAGATTGTTCATATATATTTAAATATGTTTGTTAAATATTGAAGTACTACTTTTATGTACTACTATGTATACTATCGTGCATTATACATATTATTAACGACGGCTTAATTCCTAACTCATTGGTGTATTCCTGAATCAAGGAAAATAAATTGTCATTTATTTTGTCATCGTCAGAAGTAATTTGCATGATAACAAGTTATCAATTTTCGTTTAAATAGAGAGAGATAACTAGTTCCAAGAAAATTTCGTGTTTAAGGTTATAGTCATTTAAACATTGACTCATTTTCGATTGATTGTTACTTCTTTTTTCATTAAAAAATTTACGAAGTTCAAAGTTGATTATACTGAAAAAATTTAAGGTAACTTATATAATAATTACAGATGGCAACGAGAAGATTAAAATGGATAAATAGGTAAGATTAAAATTATTTTCATTAAAAAGAAAGTTTTGAAAAAAGGATATCATTAAAAAATTCTAAAAATGAAATTTATATTAATTACTCTGTGTCATATTCTTATAATTTGTGTTTGTCAGATTATTTGATATCCGAGGAGGACATGTGTATCATACAAACTAGGGATTTAATTATACGCCTTGAATCAACAAACAAATTATCAAAGCATTGACTCAGTCATTGGCTGACACAGAATAACAATGTAATATTATATGAGAAAAATGAGCCTGAATTTTTAATATAGAATCTAGGAAAAATTTCCATGAATTTAAGAATGGTGGAAAACCAAAATGTTGTTTAAAAATTGCTTGCTTATATTAAATAACTTGATACTACTAACTATAAAGTAGTCAAATCTATAAAATATTATTATCTAATTGAGCAAACACTATCAAATAATTAATCTAATTAAAATTCAAACAATGATCTATTAACAACAAAAAGGAATTTAATTAAAATCATATTTTGCATCCGATTAAAATGTATTAAACAAAGAAGGATAAATAAAATTTCTAAACCAGTTACTTTATGAAAAATATAAAGTAAAGGATTATGTTCGTTTATTGAGTCGCAAGTGACAAAGCATAATTAACGAGTTAGAAAATTGTAAAAATACGAAAATTCGATTAGAAAAATAGAATTTTAGTTTCGAGTCTGTAATTTTCAATATTTGATTTAAGTTGATGCATATATAATTGTATATTTTTATTCAATAATACAATTATTCATATTAATTTTACGCTTTAATCAGTTTCAAGTTCATTCCATCTTTTAGTGTCATCAGGAAGTATTTCGGGTCGGCTTCGTATGGGATCCTGGTTTTCTCACAGATATCGACCTTGTGATTGCGAAGTATCGTTATAATACCAATCTTGCTTTGATAATTAGCAAATCGGGCACCTGCAATTATTTATTAAAAATTACTCCACTTATATCCTTCATACCATACACGTAATTATTAATCATTCTTACTTTACTTCACATTTAATATCATTGCACGTACTATATCACCCGACTTAATATATTATTGTAGCTCATATTGTAAATATAAAATATTTCTTAAATTAGACTACAAATTAACAATTACTAATTAACACTAATATTCGTATCAATATACTATTCCATTAAAATAGTCCTATGATTTTTATTCTGACGATGCTGTAATAATATATACTATATTTTGTTGCAATCATACTAAAGCAATACTATGATTACTATTATAATGATACTAGCATTCTCACTCTAATAATACTACAATAAAATTATAATTTCTATCATAATAATGCTATAATAATGCTATAATTACAGCTATAATTATACTATACCATACTATACTATACTAAATATAATTACTATTAATAGTATACTAATTAAAATAATAGATATTATATCATTCATCAGAAAATTGGAATTTTGTAACAGTAAAATGTAAATACATCAAGTCAACTGACATAATTTACATGTCATTTATTTTATTATCATACCAATGCAGTTCCTGGGTCCAACACCAAATGGCATATAAGCCATAGGGTGTCTGGCAGCAACAGCGTCATCGTTAAATCTTTCAGGGTCAAAAACATCTGGATTTGGGAATATATTCGAATCCCTATGAATTCCCGATACCAGTATCCACACTTTCGAACCCTTTTCTAATGTATACTTAGTGCCTCTTAACGTGTAATTTTCAATCGCTTCCCTCGTTACCATTGGCAATACTGGATACAACCTCAGTGTTTCTGCTCGAAAAAAATCAACGCTTCATTAAAATCAATTTTCACGCTCAATTAGAATCACAGATGTGTTATGACAATTTTCATGCAGTTACTTAATTTTAGAATATTCTATTTTCACGATTTTCTATACTATTGCGATGAAGATGATCAGTAACTCTCAGATAGTCAACAATAATATTAACTATTAATACATATTATATATTAAATATTAATTAACCCGACGAGAAACCTAATTCAAATCGAATTTAAGTTCCTATGGTTATTTATGATATAATAATACTAATTAAGAACTGAAGAAATTTTATAATTTTTCCCACAAATTCATTCGGATTTTTATATCCTAAGTAATAAAATTTCACATTTTTGATAAATTATTATCTATGGTTATTTAATTGACCATAATGGAATTAATATTGAGTGACCAGATTCTAGTTTAGAATTTTTATTAATTTTCGTCGAATATATATTCGATATTTTCGCGTATTGAGTAATGATATTTTATATTTAAACGTTGAAATGTCATATGAACGAAGGATGAAAGTTTATTTTACTATCACATTACGTACCTTTGAAAACCTTGTCCAAATATTTCATTTCCTTGATCACCTCATACGTCAAATTTTTACCGTGTTTCTCATAAGCAGATTTGATCTCTTCGCGTAGTTTGTCCTGCATATCGTGATGTTGAGCCAGTTCATAAAGAGCATGAGAAATCGTTGATGAAGTAGTTTCGAAGCCAGCTGCAAAGAAGACGAATGCTTGTGCGGCGAGTACCGTGTCTGTCAGTTCTATAAACCATCAAGTCATTTGTCAGAAATGAATTACCATTGATTATTCGCAGGCATTTATAATATCGACACGAAACAGGAAAATTATTAACTAAAAGCGTTAATCAGAATTTACTTGACATTCTTAGATGTAAAACTACGTCTTTATATTGACACCAAACTTGCTACAACCCTCTATTTTCATTAAAAATTCTGTCTATTTTGAAAAAATTAATTTCAACTTATAATTTGATAATATATTTTGGATCTACGCGAAAAAAATAAGTCGAAAATATAGAATAACTTTTTCTCATGCGAGCCTTCGTTTCAAACAGTATCCCTACATACCCATGTTTTGTAGTTTCTCTGGATGTTCCTTAAGATCCATCAGCATGTTGACGAAATCTGGCCTAAACACGTTGTTCTCTTTCCTATACTTAATGGTATCGTGAATTACATTTATCATGAAATCGTCGACTCCCTCAGGTTGAAGTAGATGGCCGATTCTACCGTACAAGGTTGGCGTAAATTGTCTAAGGACGTCTCTGAAGAATAGTTTCAAGGTGGGATTGAAAATTCTCTTTCCCATTTTACGAAACTCGCTATCTTTGTCCCCGAGGGCGTTCATGTTGATCCCAAAAATGCAGTGGCCGATCACGTCTGTGGTGAATTTTCCGGCTATGTCGCGAAATTCTGCCGGCTCTCCTTTCTCTGCCACATCATTTATGTATTTATCCAGATTGCTCGCGCATTCTAATATAAGAGGGAACATCTCCTTCAGCTTCCCGGACGTGAATACCGGAGAGAGTTTTGCCCTCATTGGACGCCATTTGTCGGGTTTCTGGGAGAAAAGAGTGTCGCCCAGTGGTTCTGCCTTTAGGTACAAAATTCTTTCGTGAGTTTTTTCTATTTCTTTATATATTTATTTGAGATTAGATTTACATGATATATAATTTATATAAATATTATGTAAATATTTTATAATTTACATAATATTTATTTGAGGTTAGATTTACATGATCAAACGAATTGTTATTTGTAACCTGTTAACTGGGAATGTCGAGTTAAACTGTTACACTTGTTGATTGTTTTGGATTTAATAACACTGTTCAATAAATTTGAAGGTTTCCCTAATCTGTAAAATCCATTAGGTAATTCTTGTACTTTTTTATACTAATCGCAAAATTATAAGATATTTTTTCAAATCACTTGTAATTTATAAAATAAGTATGTATGACTTCTAAATATAAATTTATTAAAAAATAAACTCCTATTTAATTTTTAAGATGGGAATAAATATTCGAACTTTTTTAAATTCTCGTGTAATATTTCGTTTTAACCAAAAATACAGAGGAAATAGAAATATTTTGACATATATTTAATATTTTTTAATATTTATCCTATGGAGGTGTGAATGCAATTTTAGTTGATAAAATATGAATAAATTATCAAATTTATTATTAATAACGAATTAAAATTGTCACTAACAAGTTGCTCGAAGCATAAATTTATAATAAAATCGAAAAAATTAAGAAATTCTTGGTTATTATAGAGGATGCGACATTAATTAACGAAATCGGCAACGATCGTGACTTTCTGTCGATCTTCGGTCGATCGTCGACTATATATAGATCGCGAGATCATTTAGAAACTCTTTTGCAGGTTTCTCTTCGGGTGGGACGGATCTTCCCCAATGGGCAAGTTAGAGGAGCCAAGGGGGTGGCCAATGGTCAAGGGTAAGTAGTCAGTGGTCAGTGGTCAGTACTATATGTATATTCTTTTATGTATATACATATGTATGTATATATATATTTCTTTCTGTTTCTAGTATCGGTCGATTTTCAAATACATCATTGGACTGACCTTTGCTATCGTAGCCTAACAGGTTTATATTAGTTTCTTTACATATGATACTTTTTTGTTAGATACTATGCTTATCTCGAAATTCAAGTATCGCAGTGAAATTTTATGCAAGTCATTTTTATAAATTTGGAGCAAAGTGAATAGTTATTACATTCATTTAAATACATATACACGGTATTTACAATACATTTATTACAAATACGAATCATAGTGGTACCAGCGTACTCAATGGAGTCTTAAGACTGCCATAATGAATAAAAGATGAATCGAAACTATTTACTTTTTAATGAATATTGCTTTCGATTAAAATTTACATTGGTTTAAATATTTTTGGCATCCTCCAATGGTACATGTCTGTGATAAATGTATTGTAAGTGCTATAATAAATTACTATACATCACTGAGTTATTTTCTAATTTTAATAAAACTAGGAATTAAGCGCAGATAATTCTAAAATTCAGAGTTAATTGGAATTTATGTACGTACCTTTGGAAATGAAGGCATGCCTCGGTCGGCAAATACAGAGAAGTCCTTGATGAAAACGTCTTTGATCAGATCTAGGTCGTTAACACCTAATATAGGTGTCATTCCCTCGAACATTCCAAACACCGGTTCGTCCTTGTATTCATTGTATAACTTCTTTGTTTTGGCGCTAAACGATATTTTTTTAAAGAAAACGTCCCCAAAATTGCCTACTAAGACCGTAGGTCGCGGTCCAGGTATTCCACGATTCCTCCAGTGGTCAAACGTCGAAGTATAGTAGTAGTATAAGGCGAGTAGCACCACGCCAATACTACAGAGAAGTTGGAAGTAGTCCATGTTACATTAGATTGCCTAAATAAAATTTCAATAATTAAAACATATTATATAATTCACTGTAATACTATAACGACACTAATTGCTAATTGCAGTATAGTTTTACGATACTAAGAATTTTTAAACTTCCCGGGAATTAAGAATATTTTCAAAATCTGACCTGAAAAAAATTTTAGAAGTTCTTCTTAACTTTATTTTATATATTATTATTTTTATGATAACTAATAATATATTATTATTACTTAAATAATATTATTTAAATAAAAATGTAATGTTTTATTTTTTCTCTTTTAATAAAAAGGATATTTCTCTTGATCCTTTGAGCACCTCCTACTGTGTTTAATTATTTTCCGAATCATAAAGCTTACAAAACCTAAGAATGCTCTACGAATTTTTAATTTTTAATATATCATTTTTAATATATTATTCAACCCTTCGTATTTTAATATCAACTTATGAACAGAATAGAATTCTCTCTCATACCATCAGCACCAATTTATCATCGCTACAGTATACTTTTCTTAACGAAGAAATTGCCCTGTTTGTTATATAATCTTGACATCGCGAATCTTGAGGAACAGAAAATATATTTCAATTTGACAATTGAGATTACCAATCAGAATTAAATGATTGATCTGAGAATAGCTCATGTAGTCAAATTGTACAATAGGGTAACGTCTGAACAACATTGAATATCCGTGATCTTCAATACAATGTAATTGGATCGTTAATTCCAGACTAACTTCATTTGCTCTATTAAGTAAATTTGCTTGTCGCAATTTCATGCTTATAAATATGCAATGACTGCCTAGAACAAAATTGTATTTAACAAATAAAAATACGAAACGCAGGTTTGCTGCCCTACGTTCACAAACCAAATCGATCAGCTTAAAATACTACTTAACTCAACTTAAAATTGTTTTTCAAAATTTTAGCACTCGATTGATGCTTAACTTTTTATTTATTTAATTATTTATTGGTAGGTTCATTCTCCGTTGTATACATTTATGAGACATATACATTTTTCTACAGACGGGTTAGTACAGAATTAGTACAGAATTAAGTTATTTGGAAAAGGTGATAAACGACAAAAAGAAGTGCAATTGTGAGAAGATTGATTTGTATAAATTATTTATGTAATTATACATAGGCGTAGTAATAATGTCTTAGCTATGTAGTAATATTCCATTCGATGCATGAGATTCTCAACAATTTTTGCAACACGAATCTTGCATATACACAGGTATTAAAAGAAAGTTGAGTAACGAAATAATAATTTTCGAATTTTTGTACATTCTTTATATTACGAGATATATAGATTAAAATTAAAACTTGGCTTTATACAAGATATTCGGAAATATTAATTTATTTTTTATCGAGATAGGCTGTTATTTCATCATCCAATTGTTAATCTTAATCTACGTGACGCAGAAGATAAAGAATATACAATTCGCATTTATTGCTTTGTTTTTTAATTCTTATCTGTGAGTGAGCCACGAAAAAATTAGTATCACTCGTGTTGTTGATTACGAATGGCTGTTATCTTTTTGATAGTACGTTTCGTGAAATTCTTATAAATGGATAACGTCTTTCGCACTGCACCTCACCACTCTTCACCTTAATCCCACATAACGTCGAAATCTCGTTCGGGATTTTTACAATATTTTGGAGCCTCCTCCGAGATTTCTATATATTTTAGCGTCTCGACCAGGATTTCTACATATTTTGGGGTACCCTCTGGGATTTTTACAATATATATATATTTATAAAAGTTGCTTCAAAATATATATAGTTACTAGGTACTGGAAATTAAAATATGTTGTATCTATTGTTTACAATTTCATTTATTTCGATTATATGTCTTATCCTTCATATCCTTTTCTCTTGTTTTATCATTATTTTATTATCTTATAATTTTCGCACATTTTTAAATTTGTTCATGATATTTCATCTTTTATATCTTGCTGAAAGGCTGTTGATAATTCTTGGGGACACGTATTGCTATTAATCGTTATTAATCTTCGCGTGTTATACAAATCTCGATACTATGAAGCATAACATAAGGAAGCGAGATTAGAAGGGAGTAAGTGTTTACGTTTGATTACGCGAAGCGTTTAGATCATTGACCCAATGAGATAAGCACAAATAAGGTTACACAGAGATTGAAATTATGCAATAGTGGTAGTGAAATAGTGTTGACAGTGTTGCGATATTGTCATAAAATGTGTCTGTGTATGTATTTATGTGAGATACATTATATAATGCTTAACTCTGAGATTAAACCAAACCTCAACTGAATATGTTCCAAGAAGTTTACTGTAATTTGTTGAAAAATAATTATTGTTGGAAACAATTGTAAAGCAATTGGACTGGTTTGAGAAGGTTCGAAATAGATCCCTGATGATCTTCATGATATATGAAAAGACTGGAATTATCAAAAGAGTTAAAATAATAGATGACATGCAACTATATTGACAAAATCAGTGTCACTTTTTATTTTGATATATGTAACTGTAGGTATATATATGTATATATAGTATAATGTGTGTATAAAAGATTTTTATTAATTATTTACTTATATGTAATATAAAATAAATAAATATTTACCTACAAATTAGTAGATAATTAGTAGATAATTCAGATGAGCGAATTTTATATTACTTTTCATTAAATGAAAAGAATTTGGATTTATATTTGAGAATAATAATTTTAATATAGAATATCAAATGTATGGTTTTAGTACGAATTTATTTGAAGTTTTGTATATTAAAAGGGATGTTGTACGTTTGTAAACATTTGTAAGTTCAATATATGCGATAATATTTTTATGGTCGTAGATACTGGAACTGTTATCGTTCAGAGCTTTTACTGTTTTTATTTTTATTTAAAATGAATCAAACTAATTGAACACAGAGATAACAGATGTCAAACGACTCAATAATTGGTTCAAATTTGCTTACAAGATTTTTCCTTTTTTATTTCAAGTGTTCGTGTTTTCAGAGAAATTTGTAGATGCAAATGTGTAGATAATTTTTACACTATCGTTAAGTATTATGTGTCTTTTGATGAAATGATTTATTAAGCTTTGAAACGAAGAAAGAAATGTACCTGATCGTTTTAAACCTCTGCACTCAATGATTTTTTCGTTACGAAAAAATAGTAATTCGAAGACTTTCTGCCATATAGACGATGATATTTTTAAAAAGGTTATGCAAATTAAGACAGAATTATTTTATTTAGACATTCCACGCATTGTTGAGTAATTTTAAATTTGATATATTAATTAACATTTAAAATTTGATTAAATGGCGACTGAGAATCAAAGAGTTAATATATTGCAGAAATATAGATTTTAATGTTATGCTATATCGTAATATTTCAATATAATAGTACTTCCATATAATAACAATACTGAAGCATAACAAACATTCTGTGCAATAAAAATTAAATTCTACTGCTTTACGTTATCAAACTTTTTCTTTCTTTTCAAAAAATTTTCTTAATAAACTCAAGAACAAAAATAAAAATATACCAAATTATATATTATATTAAAATAATTTTTTGAAGCACATCGAGTTAAACTTGACTAGTATACATCACAACACAATGTTCTATGCACTTACTCATTAGTTGACACGAAAGTCCAAAAGAATTGTCCAGTTATAGTAATTGGAAGAGAAGACTATAGGATTTCTTACGTACCAGTTGTACAAGAATTGTGGTACTGACGTCAAATCTCGTGCGTCTCCTTTTAAAGACCGAGGCAGTTATCAAAAGTATAGTTAGTAGCAAAGATAGCTATTCAGATGACTTGGTCGTTATAACAGGTCGAGTGATCATGTTATTGATTCTGAAGAGAAATAGACCCATTTGGGGTCTAATAGAAGCCAGTAAGGATTCTTTGTACGTTGACGTCCAATACATGGTGTTTGCAATGGTAATTGCAATTTCACTTGCACCTTATTATCATTTGATTCCTGTTTTCTTATCATCTGTAGGTATACTGTCTCATAACTAACATTACTAATTAATTGACTAATGTGATATAACTTGTATCATTTAAATGGTTTATAAAAAGGAAATTATACATTATGAACACATAATGAATTCATGTTAAAAACAACTTACGTCAATTTTTCTTTGTTTGTGAAAAATTGAATGTCAGAGAGGTCAGAGAGATTTAATTGACAGGGTTTCTTCTTCATATGGATTCTTGATATTATTATGATAATAAAAATAACTATCAATTGGTATATTCGCATAATGAACCTATGTGAGAATATCTGGAAAAATGTATTGTTTGTAGTTTACGATGCATTACGATTTACGTTGTATAATATGTACCATAACTTAGAATATTATTAAAATATTCATTAAAATATTACACAAATTATAATATTTATAATATTATTTATAATTTATGTACATATTTATAAATTATTATATTAATATTAGATTTAAATTGTTATTATTGTATTTTATATTTAGTATTATATTTAATTGTGCTGTGAATTATTACATTTATATTGTGGTGTGAAGTTCTACTATATATAACAATAAATATTCTAGAATATGTTACTTACTATATACGAATATAAAATAGTGAGAAGATATAATAGAAGAAAAAGTAACAGAAGAGTAAAATACATTATATAAATAAAAATATATGGTTCTAAAGTATGTTAGTCTGGACATGATACTTTATTGATACACATAGAAAGAATTTAATAGTATAAAGAGTACATTGTTCTGTAATTTTTGCTAATCCTAGAAATTCTATGTCATTAACCATAAACCCACACTACTTTTTGTGCATTTTTCCTTAAATAATTGCAATTTGTCTGCAGTTTCAGAATATTTGGGCATGTTAATGTATATTACGAACTGTATGTTATATGTTTTGTGAATTGTATGTATATTATTAGTAGTTTGGTATAGTATATCACGATATAGTATAGTGTATAGTAATAGTAATATGTACAGTATATTAATATAGTATAGTATATTATAGTATAACATAAAATAGTGTAATATAATATAGTATATTATAGTAGAGTTCAGTAGAGTATAGTATTACAGTATTATCTCATTTTATATAGGCTTGAGAAGCTCGTTACAAGTGCTAGTGCTAATGTAAGTTAAGCAGAATTCGTCAAATTTTGAGAACTATTTTTCCAACCTTTTCCTTTCACCTTAATTTAATTTTTATTCTTGTGACTGTAACATTAAAGTTTTAAATCAAAATAGATTTCAGTTAGCGATAACAAACAAGCTGTCAGAGATTGGAGAAGTGATTACCTTCATTGATGGATACATCACAATTGATATCTGAGATATATGAGATACTTTTTTATTTGCGTGTTCATTGCGCACCTTAAGTACCATGCTACTCAAAAATATTCTATACTTCAAACTCACGAGTAACTGTAGAACATGTAAGTAGGAACGTTCGAGGCTACTTAATACCAACCTAATTCAAAGATAATCAAATTCATCGTATGTAGTATAATCAAAAAGAAAAATTAAGCATAATCCAAATTTAACCGAAACCTAAACGAAAATAAGACATGATTGAAATTTACACGAAACCTAAACCAAATCTCGTCTAAACTTCATCCAAACCTAATCTAAACCTAACCCTAACCTAGATCAAAGCTAATTCGAACCCAATCCAAATCTAAATGAAACCTTATGCAGATCTAATGTAAACCTAATCCACATTTAACCTGAACCAAACCTAATCTAAAACAATAATGGAATTAAATAAAACTAAGAATATTTATGTGTATCATGGCGTCATGACCTTTTCACCCTCTCAACATTCCTCTTCCTTTTTTTTGTCTCTGGTCAGCCTTCATATGGTTAGACTATATAGAATTTACTTCAGAGTAATTTATCGCTGAATGACTTTTAGAAATAACAGTATAAAAAGGAAAAAGAGTAATGAGATAAAGAAACGAAAAATATATATATACACGTGGAATATATAAGATATGTTTGATGTTTTGTAGAAATTAGAATTATTAGAATTATTATAGAAATATTAGAACAAATCCGTGCTGTGTAGAAGCTACTTATATCACAATTATCACAATTATATCACAATTGATGTATATCACAATTAAATTGATAGCAATCCTCATTCTGTTTACATGAAATATAGAAAAAGACTTTAATAATAAACTGATACGTACAAAGTGAACTAATTAATGTTAAATAAGAAATTGCAAGTCATTCAGGAAGCCAAAATGGTCGTCCCACGGCGAACCATATTGCTACCGCGTTGTTATCATCAACTTATTATAGTATTATTTAACTCCTTTGAATATTAGGTACAACAATTTCTCACTTTTTGACAAAGCTTCCATTTTTATGTAAAGAGAGGGTATATTCACAGAAAATTTCGACGCCGAGAAACGAGAAAATTTGCCTCGTGTATTTGTTGTTTATCATGAGTGACTTTAAGGAAATTGTTCTTTCTTTTGTAACTATGGCAACTTTAAACTTAGGTCTGCTATCTTGCAATTAATTGCAGTAAAATAAACACATTTTCGAGATAAGGATAGCTGCCAGTTTGATTCATATCGTGGATGCTTCAGGAAGAGTTCAGAGCTTACAATTAGTGCTCCTAAATGAGACTCTGGATTAAATATTTTTTGTATCATCAGACTTTTGTTTCTGCTTTGTTCAGTTGTGGCCAATGTAGATTTATGCAGAAATTTTGTCACAATTTTTATTCGTAAAACTAAATTCGTAGAACATTTTACAATATAAAATAGGCACCTTTTCTAAAAATATAAAAATGGGAACTTCCATTATTAACATTGAAAGCTTGATTAACAAAAATTCAAACAAATTTTTCGTTTGATCATAATGCGTCATATGTATTAAAATTCTTATCAAAATTAAAAGATCAATGTTATATTTGATATAAATTGAAAGTGCAAATTGATTTAATTTAAGATAATGATATTTATTATATTTAATAAATATAGTGTACATATAACAGTAATTAAATTTGTATATAAAGATAAACGAGTATATAAATCTAAGTATATTTCTATCTTACTGAAAGTTAACATCAATTTTGACAAAGGCAGTTATACATTATCAGTAATCATAAAGAAAAAATGTTTTAAAACAATCATTTTTTAATTTAACACTTTTAATACTAATATAAACTATACATATAAATTCTGTCAATTAAATACCACAAAACAACTGAAGAGTTCATTAATTTCTACTTTACACATTTTTACAATGATTCTAAAGAAAGTAGTTTGAATCTCGTTTATAGATTAGATTAATTGCTAATTTGTTAAATTACTTTAATATCTACGAGAAAAAGAAAATAATAAATTAATCACTAATCAAGTACTTCGATACTAGAATTTAAAAAATAATTCAGCTCATTTAAGTTATAAAAGTCACTACTTAAATTAAATAATTTTGTTCAAACATAAGTCACGAGATGTGCAACCTATTCCCTAATTTTATTTATCTATCGTGTAATTCACTTCCTATCATTTATTAACCGAATTTTAATTTTCAATTTTCGTTACTTTCAAATGCACTCCACCTTTTGGAACCAGGACAAATGCTACTGGACAAAATTCGTATGGAATTGGGGTCTTTTCGCAAACGTCTACCTTATGAGAACGTAGAATCTTGATTAATCCAATCTTCGTCTGGTAAGTTCCAAAACGAGCACCTGAAACGAAAAATAAAATATTATAACGTTTTATAAACAGAGAATTCAGAATTTCTTTATTCTTTGGTAGGATTTGAGAAAGTAACATTAGGGACTCAAAGGGTGCAAAAATAATAGAAAATATAAAATACAAATTAAAATAAGTAAAAATAGTTGTAACAAAAATTAATTTATATTTACTAAGAAACTAACCAAATTCTCAATCTGAAAATAATTTGTAATAATTGTATAATTTATACAATTATATAATAATTATAAAATAATTAAGGTAATTTAAAATGTAGAAGTTCTATTAGAATAAAATATATGTTCTTTACAAATATTTCTACACGAAGTACATAAAATTGTGTAGTTTTACTCCATTATTAATTATCTATGTCTAAGATTGACGCTCTTTGAGAGCATGAAAAAGAAAATGTAGAGTAATGATACAGTAATTAGCATAAAATAATTCGTAGAATTCCTGAGAAATCTCTACGTTATTTCTAGGTATCATGCTTATCCCAGACACGTGATGTCCGATATCTTATTTATTGCATAACTAACTTGATCAAACTTTTTAAAATTTAAATGCACGTTTATTGTGTGTGTATAATATTATTATTGAGAAAATAAAATGATAGAACTCAATTTATAATTACATACATTAAATACATTCTGTAAAATAAATAATATCTTTAAATAAATATTATTAAAAATAAATAACTGTGAAAATTAATCCTGATTATTTAAATAAACACATATTCGGTTATCTTTGGCAACCATTTATATTTATTTTTTCAAGTAACATATTTTAATCTCTCATTTCTAAGAAATGTAGGTTACTTTTTTTGTTTGTATTTGATCCCAAATTGTAAATGACTACTCGACCAGAGATAAAATATGAATACCAGACGAGAAGAACGTGATAAATCTATATTTGCTGATTTTATGATTTTAACATTAGCTAGTAATTACAAGGATCTATTCAAGTACAATATAGTTGAAGACAGGAACAATACCTTTTTAAAAGGTATATCCAAGAATATCATTTATAAACACATAAGAAATAGGTAATATTAAATATATATAACACGAAAGTCAAACAATTGATATTCTCATTTGCAATAAACATGAAAAATCTGTTCTGGTAATATGGAATTCCAATATATATTAATCTAAAGATATCAAGTAATTCCAAAATAATTTGACATCGTTAAGACTGTAGTTAAGCACCTGAAGTAAAATAAAAAGCATATGATTCAATTAAAAATTATAATCTATATTATATCTTTAAATTAAATTCCAAATTCTCTCGCAATAAAATTTTTCTTCTAATTTTAAAATGAAACATGAATCGATTTTTCATCAAACTTCATTTTTTGAGCAGTTGAAGACCAAGAAAATTATTCTAACTTGCTCAAATAAATTATTCCAAAGCCTCCAAAAAAGATACAAATTTGATGAAATTAAAAGAAATCAGGAAATCTCAATAGCATTATTTTGATAGAAAGTGATTCAGTTTGTTTCTTTCATTCTATTATTTATTAAATTGTTCACAGACCAAGTCCACCAACAATTTAATTGCAGTTAGTTAATAATAATTTGCAGTAACACTAATTGCTTCCATATCTCACCTAATTGGAAACAAAATTTGCTTCTTTCTTTTTACTATGAAGATAATATCTTACCATTGTTAACTCATAGGTACACAAACTTTAATTTTAGTAGCTTTAAATTCGACTCTCCACAAACGAAGAAACAAAAATAAATAAAGAGAAATGGAAATCTCAAATTATTTATGAAATGTCATAATGATATTGTGATATATTCAGGAGACTCTGACAATAAGAATTCAGTTCATCGTTTAATTCTTTTCGTACCAATGCAATTCCTTGGCCCAAGACCAAAGGGTAGATAGTGCATAGGATGTCTGGCCTCCACTGCTTCTTCTGAGAATCTCTCAGGATCGAATTTTTCCGGCTCTGGATAGATATTTGGATCTCTGTGGATGGAAAACATGGGGATCCATACTTTCTGTCCTTTCGGTATCGACACTTTCATGTCCCTGAAGATGTAATTTTCTGTCGTTTCTCTGAGTAGGAGTACTGAGACTGGATACTTTCTTAATGTCTCTGTAAACAGAATGAAAGGTAAATATATCAGAAACTTGTTGAGATAACAAATAAATTCCATTTGATTTCAAAACGTTTCAGATTAAGACTTTTAATATTAAATAACAAAATATAAATAACAAAATATGAATACATATATACAATAAGCTACAAGAATATATACATATAAAATATGGGTTTGAATTAAAACAATGAAAGGTAATTTTTACAAAACTTTTGAAGACCGTCATAAGATCAAAATTAAAATTATTCAATTTTCGAGTGAACACTAATTATTGTCGACAAAATTGCAGAAAATTTGTTAAACGAATTGGAAGATTAGAAAACCTTGAATACATTCTATTCGACATACTAGTAAGTACAATATTACGAAATGTTTATTCCTTCTATTTCTGACTTAGTGTGACGTTAAAGTCACACAACATGAAACATTATGTGATATTTCATTTAAAAATCTGAACGTCATTTTTGTTCCACGAAGAATATTGCAAATATAAGAAAATCAAAATACCCTGATATATTACCAATGAATTATGCTACAAATTTTTCCTCTTCCATTCTTCTCTGACATTCGAGCCGTTCATTGCACAAATGGATTAACTCCACTTTTTGGAAAATCTTAAATTTAAGTGTCAAAACACTCGGTATAGTCATAACTTTTTATATTTAAGATTTTTCAAAAAGTGGAGTTAATCGATTTGTGCAGTGAGCGTCTCATTTATCGCTAAGAAAAATGCTGATTCAAATTATCGCGAATATCCTATATAAAATACACATCGCAGAATATAATTTTACACTTATGTACCTTTAAATACTTTGTCCAAATATGTCATTTCCTTAATGGTTTCGTAGCTCCATTCTCCGTCATTCTTCGCACTGAATTCTATTAGTTCTTCTCTCAGTTTGTCCTGAACGTCTTGATTTAGTGCTAATTCATACAGAGCATTGGTCATAGTCGTCGAGGAAGTTTCGAAACCAGCAGCGAAGAAGAGGAATGCTTGTGCAGCGAGAAAATTGTCACTTAATTCTGAAAAAAGAATAATATAATAAATACTGTAACAATACAAAGAACTTATTCTATATACACAAAATTACATCTGTAACCTAAAGTGACTCATTTGTATTTTAAATTGAAGGCTTTAGGCACAAGCTATCATCTCACTTTCTATGGGGCCACATTTCAAAACCTTTCTCCTGAAAAACAAGGGTAGAGAAAACCCCTAGCTATGAGTGCAAAATGAAATATTTATTTTTAATTATTAAATTAGTGATGTAGAGACAAGAGACCACTGACAATGAAAGCAAACGAGGATAAATTTACAATAGTTCAACCAAGAATTTCTGTAATCCAAAAAGCTAAAAGAAACCCTATATTGAATTTCAATGCATGCTAACATTGTTACTGTACTTTTATTAAAATCTAAAAAATTTTAGAAGAACGACTTCTATTTTTAATAAATTTAAAGAATAAAAACATGAAAATGAAAAACAATAAATTTAAAGGATAAAAGCATGAAAATGAAGAACAATATATTTAAAGGATAAAAGATCAATTAAGCATGAATTTTCTTGACATCTCATAAAGAGATTATGGGGGTTTTCCACGGGGATTCGTTTATATCTTGCTATGCTTGCTACGGTACTGCCGGTTGGTATATACATACGGCGGTCATGCTATGATAGGTAGCAGGTAGAAGGACGCAAGGAAGGAATGCGTTTCATCCTGGACCTGCTAATGGGCCCAGTTATAGACGGGGGATACTCAGGTAGCATAGAAATTTGTATTTACGAGGGTCGAGTATTCACCGAGGACTTGCGAGGAACCTCAAACCCCATTTTCCATCTTGCAGTGAGGATGTGAACGTTGATCGCTACAAGATTATACCCAACCCAGGGCACCCAAAGGTATAAATACGACACTGATAAAAGAAAGAACTTGTCGCACGAACATACCAATTTCTTTGAGTTTCTCAGGATGATTTCGTAGTTCCAGAAGCGTGTTCATGAAGTCGTGTCTGACAACATTATGCTCCTGCCTGTACTTCAACGTGTCGACAGTGAGCTTCTTGAGGAACACAGTCACTTTATCGTAGGGAAGGAAATAACCGAGGAAATTGTACAGATCACCCATGCATTCCTTGAACCTAAGCCTCAGCAGCCTCATCCCACGGACATGAAATATATCTTTGCCTATTCGACGGAACTGGCTCTCCTCCTCCGTCAACGAGTTCATGTCGATGCCAAAGGCACAGCTGCCTATCACATTTGTGGTGAACTTGGCGGCCACCTCTCGTATCTCCACAATTTCTCCTTTCGTCACCAACGTGTCCAAGTAGGACTCGAGGTGGTTGGAACATTCAAGAATAAGGGAGAACATTCCTTTGAGTTTGGCCGATGTGAATACAGGTGACAGATGGGTCCTTAATGGCCGCCACCTTTTTGCTTCCAGAGAGAAGATGTGCTGGGAGAGCGGCTCTGCCTGTAAGTATCGAGCAAATGTAGACTTTAGAGTTTATCGTTAATCATCGTAGACGACGTTATTTATTTTCTATATGAAAATTCATGATAACTGTAGAAGGTTGCAGAAAATTTATGGAATACGGAAGACAGGCATTGATCAAATGTAGACTCGTCTTCTCGCTTTCAGAGGAAACAGGTACTTGAGAGTGGCTTCGATGTGACTCATAGATATCGAGCAAAAGGCTTTAAAATAAATTATCTAGCATTTCAGACGATACTACCTTGTTCCTATGTATCACAAGATAGTTGAACAAATTGAAATATTGTTTTCGAAAATTTTATTTCTGCCTGTGAGAGTAATTGCAATAAAATTGTAGAAGATAAAAGACAGATACTAAAATTTATTATCTAGCATCACACACGATACTCCCTTGTTTCTATGTATAACACGATAGTTGCAGAAACTGAAATATTATTTTTAAAAATGTTGCTTCTCCTTATGAGAATAATTGCAATGGAATTATAGAAGATTAAAGGTAGATATTAACCCTTTGCACTCGACGATTTTTTGGCCAGAGAGGAGCAGAAATTCAAAGGTTCTCTACTAAAAAACTGACGATACTTTTTCGAGCATTAAATAAAGGATTGAATAATAACAGAATTGTAGAATTATTTGATTTCGATACCTCGCATACTGTTACATTACATTAAATTTGATATATTAATTAATATCGATCTTCCAAATTTTATGAAGTGGTGACTGAAACTCACTTCTTGAGTGCAAAGCTTAAAATTCATTATCTAGCATTACTGACGATGCTTCTTGTTTCTATGTACCACACGATAGTTGAATAAATAGAAATGTTGTTTTCGAAAATTTTATTTCTGCCTGTGAGAATAATTGCAATGGAATTTTAGAAGATAAAAGGCAGATGTAAACAAGACGTAAGTAAAGATACAAGGAATTTTCTATTAATTAGATAAATGTCTGGATAAGTATAGTCAATACTAAAAGTACAAGTCATCTATGATAACAGATATTAAATTCTATAGGAATGGAACGAGTGTTCTAGAGAATCAATTGTAAGGGATATTTATATTTATGACAGAGTCGAAAGTTTAAGAATACGATCTGAGTGTTCGAAGTACCTGGTCCATCGAGGTTGCGTGGAAAATGCGTGATTGAAGAAGAAAATGTGATTGAAGAAAAAGAAGAAGACAGAATGAAATGTTAAAATAAGGGTGCAAGGGTGAAGGCGAGTAGTAGTGGAGTCAGTAGAGGAAGTCGAAGAACAAGTGAGTTCATGTGAGATTGAGAGTATCAGAGAATTGTGAGAAGTCAGTGAGTTGCCAACGTGGCAATGTGTCAAAGAGTGTTTGAGAGATAATGTTAACGAGTAGAATTGGTCTTAGCATATTCGTTATCTTTGAAATATGTTATTAATTAATCATTAGTGATCTGTGAAAGCATATCTATCTTTATTCTATGTGATTCCCCTCCCCACCCCCAACTCAACAATTCTAAAGTCTAAATTAGAAAGACTCAGAGAAGAATGATAACTCCCTTCCACTTTTTCTTTTTCAACTTATTTTTTACATTTTATGTTAAAATATAATCCCATAAGCCTTTGTAATCCTCTCAATTTCTGTTTTCGAAATATTGCTATTTTCGTACAATAGAAGCTCCAAAATTCTTATTATCAGGAATACCTTTTACATTATACAAATCAAAAAAGCAAACAGTCCGGATTTGAAAATATTTCGATTTCTACGAGTGACGAATTTCTACATAATATAATATAATTTTAAATTAATTTAATTTGTGATATAATTTTGTAATAATAATTTTGCGATAATCTATTTTAGTTCCTCGTATTTACGTTATATCGAGCTTTTATTTTGCGATCGATACAACTGAAATTTATATTGTAAAATAATACCAGTAGTAAATTATTCGTACATATTGAATATTTTCTCTGAACTGTACGTTAGAACTGAATGAATGAATTTAATTTATGATATAATTTTGTAATAATATTTGTATTGTAAAATAATACCAATAATAAATTATTCGTATGTATTGAATATTTTCTCTGGACTGTACGTTGAAACTGTGAATGAATTTCTGTGCTTACTTACTAAGAGATATTCAATCTCCTACATCGAATGTGAAAAACGAATGTCCACTTACTATGTCATGCATCAAAAATCCACGATTCGCAAATTTGGGGAAATCCTTGATGAGGACATCCTTAATGATCTCAGGATCCTGGACAACGAGTACAGGCTTTCTTCGCACGAATATTCCGTACATAGGCTCGTTTTTGTATCGAACATACAGCTCCTGTATAAAATTCCTGAGCGATTCTCTGCAAGTGATTACCGAGAACATGTTCCCAAATATTGGCACAGGTTTTGGCCCCGAAATCGAGCGATTTTTCCAAAAGTTAAAGTACGCCGTAAAATAGTAATACAGTGCGACGAGCACAGCTATGATAGTCCAGATCATTTTGTCGAATTATCGGCGTCTCTTATCGATTCGATGAATGAACAACTGGAAAATATAAACAATTCGTGAATTTTTTACTTCATTATCGTACTCCATTCAGTGTGTATTTTCTTATTATTTACGTGTATTATTTATTTACTAATAATTATTTATTCGTTATTATGCACTATAGTATATTTAACATTATTATTTAATCAACACTGTTGCTTATTATTATTTTCATTCATCACCAATGTGTATTGTAATTTATAATTATTTGTTTATTTATTATTTATTATTATTCATTATTATTTTCACTCATTATCGCGTACTATTATTATCATTATTTTCTGTTAATTGTAAAAGTCATTCTTACAATTCTTCATGAAATTTATTTTATAGAATCCTAGATTTTATAGAATTCTTCTTTGCGTTGGAAGAGAGTGATAAGTACATATGTAAAAATATAGAATATTTCTTAATAAATAATCTAATAAAAATAAAAAAATATACAAACAGGTATACTGTATACAAGTATATATGATAATTTTATAATATTTTAATGTTATTATTTATTTCAATAATACATATAACATGTAATACAATAGTATGTTAATAATATATACTATATTATTATAATATATTATTAACACCTATTATATATAATATATAATTGGAAATATTATATGTGTAATATATTTCATAATTGTAATTTCGATTCCAAACTTGTTCTCAAAAATAAGGTTTGGTACCTGAATTGCAGCAAAATCTTTTCCTTCCTCTTGTGTAACAACAAACTGCTTGAATGCAGGCGAGAACTGTTTCCCTAGACACACATCATAGCACTCACTGCTGTTTCTCCTGCTTTACAATATAAATCACAGCCTAATAACGTAGAATCTGCTGATTAATCAGCACAAGTGGTAATTATTTCAAACACGGTAAATTAAAAATGATCAAATCTTGTTTTGAAGGTTTTCCTTTTTGATCTTACCGAGTTTGGAATAACTCTCTGTTGCCAATAAAATACGATTTTCGATCCGAAATGAAGATAAGATGAGATATAATATGTGAAGAGAGAAGGAGGGAGAGTATTTAGGTGGATATGACGACATTTGACGCACATACATGGTATCGATAATATCTAAATCATAATTTGATGTCTAGTGATAAAATTATAATCATAAAGACAAGATTGATTTGACATCATTTCCACGAATTCTCGTTCATTCATTAATTGGGTTGGAATTTACGTATTTATTAAGAGGAAGTAAATAAAAATAAATTCCATGTCTTCAAGAAAATTCTATTAATATTATAATAAATATTATTATAAAGGATCAATGTTTAGAACTTTAAACATCTCGAAAATGAAGGTGTGACACGAAAACATAGTTTTATATATCACTGCTGATACTTTGTTTGGGGAACGATCTACTGTTATCAACATGGATTATTAACCCTAATTATCACAGTGAAATGTCAGTCATTGCGATAGTAGAACAGCAGGAAATAGGCGAGCCACGAGTCTGCGTATATTTTCAAGCTATGTTCAATTAATATACATGAATTATAAATACAGACATTTTGGAGAAACTGAATTTCAATTCAATGAGGTATATGTTTAATCCCGGATATTAAATGTGTCGCTTTATCAGTCTACAAACCACTTTCCAAGTCCTAAATAGCCTTTATCTAATAATGAATAATGAAGTACATTGTATAATAAAGTATATAATGAAGTATATTGTATGATAAAGTGTATAATAAAGCATATTGTATGATAAAGTATATAATGAAATATATTGTATAATAAAGTATATAATAAAGCATTTTGTATGATAAAGTATATAATGAAATATATTGTATAATAAAGTATATAATGAAGTATATTGTATAATACAGTATATAATGAAGTATATTGTATAATACAGTATATAATGAAGTATATTGTGTAACAAAGTGTATTGTATGATATTGTATATAATGAAGTATATTATATAATAAAGTATATAATGAAGTATATTGCATAAAAAGTATATTGTCCAAGAAAAATAGAAATCAAAAACCAGAAATTTATAGTCATTGTCTATAATATCAAGACTCAGAAACCTGCACTATATTTAAGTCAAAAATAGGTATTTTCCTTGAGAGTATATCTCTCAGATATTTTACTAACAATTTATATCAATAATTTGATTTTCGAAGATCTATTATTCACAGACTTCTTCAATAAATACAGATTTACAAAATTCATCATTTGCATCAAGTTTTCACAATTTTTCCTAGATATTAAAAGTCCGTGAAATAGGAGAATTGAATACACGTTAAATAAATACTGACTCGGACATAAAAGCGCAAGAATTAAAGCAATATTTATACTAAATTTATAGCAATATTTATTTATACTATTACAAAAAGTAATATTTGCTATTTTATATTAAATTTTTACTATTTATGCTAATTTATACTATTTGTGCTACTTTTTATAGCATAAATAGTAAGAAGAGTGAATGAAGATATACATCATGATAAGTTTTTAAAACATTTCATAAAACATTTTGCATAATAAAATTTTTCTTCTACCTTCTGTCTTAAGGTATGACAATGGCTTCTTTTTCTGATTATTAATTTTAAAATTGTTCCGTGGTCTAGTTGCATGGGGTACACTGCATTATCAGTAGGGTGCCCCATTACACATAAATGGAATTTAATAAATAATTTTAATAAACTAATATTGCTAGAATTTACTTTAGGTACCAAACTATAATTTGAAAAATAATCATATTTCATATAGCTAATAGTTATAAATTTAATTCCCTATACTTCCTATATAAGTAGTAAAAATAAAGTAATTTTGTTGATGTTAAGTGAAAAATATTTATTAAGTACTAGGAATAATATTATTCGTTAATTATAATAATTGTATGGAAGATAAATTACAAAATTTTGTACAACCTTCTTCCAAACAATTGTTTTAAACATAAATATAAAAATAAGAACACAAGGTACATAGAAATACCTTCTAAATGGTATTAATTTATTAATTTACCAACACTACTTTCTAATACCCACATCTCAACAATTTCTTATAAGTACCCTTATAAGAAGCGTTTAAAAATGAAATATTTTCATAAATATTCCTACAATACATCCATATAAACATATATACATATATGCGCTAATACAATCTTTCATGAATTGTATTAAAATAACAAGAAAATTCCAGTATTAATTAATCTATTCTGGTTATCTTCAAGTACACACCCATTACTGGTGTCAAAATAAATGCAAATGCATTAAATTTGTAAGGAATCATGGTTTTGCTGCACACATCAATCTTATTCTTACGAAGGATTTTTATCAGCCCAATTTTCGTCTGATAAATCCCGAAACGTGCACCTGAAACAAAATTATTTAAAGTTTTAATAGAAAAATAAACTATCTCCTTAGAAATTATATGACTTCGCAATTTACAGGGTACATTTCTTAATACAAAAGGTGCTCCATGTAACATCTTTCACCTTATTTATCACTTCAGATTACCAGAAAAGAAATATTTTCACAAAAATTAATGAATTTCCAATAGACTACAAATTACCATAAAATATTTCAAAACAAATTTCCCCAAGGTCTCCATTTTTCACACACCATTGAATATTTCTTGCTCTACAATACTATATCTCGTAACAGGCCTTTTTATCCAACAGAATTTTATTTTTAAATTATTTTTACTATAATTTGTAGTCAATTAAAATACGCTTATCTTTTGGTTAGATTTTTGTCAAAAGAAACATAAAAAATGTTAAGCAGGGCTTTCTGCGTAACGCATTATCATTCTCTCCCTCACACACAGACACACACACACTATACTTACCAATACAATTTCTAGGTCCATGTCCAAAAGGTAAGTAGTGCATAGGATGCCTCTGTTTAACCGAGTCCTCTGAAAATCTCTCAGGGTCAAACTTTTCTGGGTCAGGATAGATACTTGGATCCCTGTGGATAGGGAAGACAGGTATCCAGACTACTGTGCCCTTGGGAAGGGTCGCTTTGCTGTCCTGGAATGTGTAACTGTCGACTAACTCCCTGCTCAAGAAAGGCAGAGCTGGATACTTCCTTAGGGTCTCTGCAAATGGAATGGAAACAGAGATTAATACGAAGAACACGGAAATGTAGACCAGGATTGTAACATGAATTTCTCTTTGTTAACCCATTTGCGTCCAAGCGCGGAATATTCCGCGAGCCACGACTGTCGTCTATCACCGAGCGCGGAATATTCCGCGAACTACGACTGTCGCCTATCACCGAGCGCGGAATAATCCGCAAATTGACTTTTTCCATTACCAATTGCTGAATATTCTTCATATGCCATAGATCACGTTTCATCCCTTTTGTGATGAAAAACCTTTTAACTGCCATTATGAGTAGGTGCTGATACGCGCTCGATGATACGGGCTAGTCGTCAGTTGAACGTCGCTGATGCCTGAACACGGCACCTTAAGTAGAGCCATGATGCAAATGGGTTAATCAAACAGGTGTGACAGTAATTTACGCGAATATCACAATTAGTATACTCTATTGCCACCAAATAGAAATGGTGCAGTTCGTTTTTCGAAGTGCAAGTGGAAGTGTTATTGGCACACCCTGTATAAGTCCGATGGAAGATTCTATATAACGAAACGTAGTAATATCCACCTCGGAATACTTTATCCAAGTATAGCATTTCCTTTATAGTCTCGTATCTCCATTCTCCGCCATTTCTCTCCTCGAATTCCTTGATTTCTTCTCGTAACTTGTCCTGGATATCATGATTCAAAGCTAATTCGTAGAGAGCGTTGCTGATCGTCGTCGAGGAGGTCTCGAAGCCAGCGGCGAAGAAAATAAATGCTTGCGAAGCCAGTAACTCGTCCGATAATTCTGTAAGCAGAGATAAATGTCACACGAACAATGCCTGAATGTTTTATATTTCGAAAAATTTCATGGTCTCAATGGAAAGATTATCCCTTTCGGTATGGTGGCCGGTGCCGCGGAGTCCCTTCCATAGAACGAAGCGTTGCATCAAAGATAAAAACATTACGCGTGCGCAGTCTTTAGCATTTGAGGCTAAGCCTTTTGAAAAGAAAGAAAAAGAAAAAGAAAGACCGATCATCGCAATAGCGCTTGCAATTCTTTGCGAAGAGAGCTAAACGAAACAGGAGCACTTGTCTTAATTTTAGGCTCAATTTTTGTGGCCGGAGACTATAGTCACCCGTTTCGTACTAACGAAAGGGTTAAGGCTAACGCACACGCGGCTTGACCTCTCAAGCACTGAATTATTTTATGAAAAATCTCGAATCTTTTTATTATCGATTATTATCGATTTACTAAGTAATTCTGATGATCAATAACGTATTGTGATCGAAATGACAAAAAAACGATAAAAAACGTGATATTTTAATAAATTCGAATATACACAGATTTTCATAAGCTCGGAGGGTAAAGAGCATGTTTAAAATTTCTAAAGGAAATTCTATATGGAATCAGAATTGCGATAATATTGGTATGGTCATGCATCCAAATGCCATTTTGCGAAGACAATTATATGTAGGATATTTTTCAGTTTTATTAGGGTACGATGGTTCTCTACAGGAACACTTCGCCCGATCTAGAACACCCGTTAGGATCTGGCTACCAGATGGGACGTAAGAGATCGGGGCCAGGTCACGTGAGGCGGCCCATCGTAAACTAAGGATGACGAGTCCGCGGTCACCTCGCGGGTAGGGCCCTCGCGAGGGTAACCTGTCTTAAGAGGGTAACCCTTTGGAGGGTCTAACCCGGAAGGAGTCTCCTGCACCCCTAATCTTGGCGTGGAGGCAATTGTTCCCCAGAGGCCGGCGCTAGACTTCCCGTTCGGGCCCGGCCGGTCCCCAGGAACGGCCCAGACTGGGACCAAAAGGTGCTAACTTTTGGTGTTAAATTCTTCGCCATCTTTGGACCTAACGTTTGGAAATTTCTGTTATAATAATTGGTATAGTATCTCCGAGTTTTATGAACCACTTGACGGCCGAGTCTGGGCCTGAACGGAACGGCAAGCAAAACGGACTGGGCACTTAACGTGTCAAGAGTTCTTGTAGTTGTTGTTTTTAACCATTTGCGTTAGAAAGACGTGCCACGCACGTCGTAATGCTTTTGTCGCAGAATCGCCAACGACGTGGTATACACGTCGTCAGGCAATTGTCACAGAAACACTGGACCGTTCTGGCACACGCGTCTGTGAATTTCTTGCTGGGGCAAGTGGTTAAGAAGACTATAGTCACCCGTTTCGTACTAACGAAAGGGTTAAGGCTAACGCACACGCGGCTTGACCTCTCAAGCACTGAATTATTTTATGAAAAATCTCGAATCTTTTTATTATCGATTATTATCGATTTACTAAGTAATTCTGATGATCAATAACGTATTGTGATCGAAATGACAAAAAAACGATAAAAAACGTGATATTTTAATAAATTCGAATATACACAGATTTTCATAAGCTCGGAGGGTAAAGAGCATGTTTAAAATTTCTAAAGGAAATTCTATATGGAATCAGAATTGCGATAATATTGGTATGGTCATGCATCCAAATGCCATTTTGCGAAGACAATTATATGTAGGATATTTTTCAGTTTTATTAGGGTACGATGGTTCTCTACAGGAACACTTCGCCCGATCTAGAACACCCGTTAGGATCTGGCTACCAGATGGGACGTAAGAGATCGGGGCCAGGTCACGTGAGGCGGCCCATCGTAAACTAAGGATGACGAGTCCGCGGTCACCTCGCGGGTAGGGCCCTCGCGAGGGTAACCTGTCTTAAGAGGGTAACCCTTTGGAGGGTCTAACCCGGAAGGAGTCTCCTGCACCCCTAATCTTGGCGTGGAGGCAATTGTTCCCCAGAGGCCGGCGCTAGACTTCCCGTTCGGGCCCGGCCGGTCCCCAGGAACGGCCCAGACTGGGACCAAAAGGTGCTAACTTTTGGTGTTAAATTCTTCGCCATCTTTGGACCTAACGTTTGGAAATTTCTGTTATAATAATTGGTATAGTATCTCCGAGTTTTATGAACCACTTGACGGCCGAGTCTGGGCCTGAACGGAACGGCAAGCAAAACGGACTGGGCACTTAACGTGTCAAGAGTTCTTGTAGTTGTTGTTTTTAACCATTTGCGTTAGAAAGACGTGCCACGCACGTCGTAATGCTTTTGTCGCAGAATCGCCAACGACGTGGTATACACGTCGTCAGGCAATTGTCACAGAAACACTGGACCGTTCTGGCACACGCGTCTGTGAATTTCTTGCTGGGGCAAGTGGTTAAGAGTTCAAGAGATAGAGTTAGTTATAGTTGAGATCGAGTTAATTAGAATCCAGCGAAATTTTGAGCCGAAGTACTCTTCAGCGTAGTAGAAACTGTGTGACTCTACATATATACTTATTCATATACTTATTATATATACATAATATACTAACCGATATCTGCGACCTTTTCTGGATGTCGCTTGAGGTCCAGAAGTGTATTCATAAAATCCGGCCTAACGATGCTGTTCTTTTCTCTGTATTCTAACGTCTCTTTAGTGATCCTTATGATCAATTCTATTTCCTCGGGTGTAGGCAGAATTCGCGAGATCCAAGCATACAATGTTGGCGTTATCAGTTGCAATTTAATGCGTAATACATTGAGGAAATTGGTGGCGAAGATTTTCTTGCCAGCTCGACGGAATATGCTCTCTTGGTCCGATAATGAGTTCATCTCGATGCCAAAGGCACAGCTACCGATCACGTCGGTGCTGAACTTGGCGGAAACGTCCCTCACGTCGATAGGCTCTCCTTCTTCCACCAGATGGTCTAAGTACTTCTCTAAATGATTGGAACATTCTAGGATCAGGGAGAAGGTTCCTTTCAGCTTGCCAGAGGTGAAGACAGGAGAGAGTTGGGTCCTCAGTGGACGCCATCTTCTGGCCTCCAGGGCGAACAGGTGGTTGGAGAGTGGAACTGCCTGTGCTCGTTGAAAAATAATTTGAAAATATATATTATACTATTTTTATAGCGAATTTTTTTTTTATAAGTTGTGTTATGTAATATAATTTGTAACATGCTTTAGGTTATATTAAGTTAAAATTTAATTCTTTGCAGTTCTATTTAGAGATAGAATCGAAGGTTCTATATTGTATTTCTTCGATGTTGGGTTATATAAATTAAAGCTTGATTTAATAGAAATGTATTAATCTGTCATTCAGTATATTAATAGATTAAGTATATTATTCAGTATATTAATAATTAATAGATTAATATTAATAGAAATGTAGAATTCGGGTATTCCAGTATGCTTGGAACTTTGCAAATGCTAATTATATTTTATTTTATTTTACTTTGTCTTTATTATTTTATTTATTTTTATTATTTTATTTTATTTTATTTTATTCATACACTTCGTTCTTTTCTTTTTTCTTCTTCTTTGAATTCGTTAAGAATAAAAGTCAGTATTTTCATACTCCACTTTGATAAAACTAAAATTACACGATATTAATATATATATATTAATATCTAACACAAGGTTTTTTGAAATCTCTAAACATTAATATTATATTTCATTTAAAATATTAACGGAAATGTATCAATATAATACACGAGAAATTAATAAAAATATGCAAAATAACTGTTTCATGTTTATTACAGTGATACTTACCGGATTACTTACTAAGAACCCTCGATTCGTGAATTTGGAGAAGTCTTTGATCAAGACATCTTTTATTAGCTCAGGATCTTGGACAATTAATACAGGCTTTCTTCTGAGAAATATCCCGAATATACGTTCAGCTTTATATTCAGAATATAACCTCGTTAAGAAATCTGGTAACGATTCTTTTCCAAGCGTCAGCTTCTGGACATTGCCAAATCCAACCATTGGTTCTGGTCCTGGTACTCCACGATTCTTCCAGAAATTGTTATTAACCGTTAAATAATAGTAGAACGCGATGAGCGCTACTATAATTCCACAGACAATTTCCAAACATGTCATCTTTTTCAATCTTCGTGAATGATGCAATAGTGAGTACTAATTTTCTGTAAAATATGAAATAATTTGGAATTAAACAGTAGCTACTAACACAGTAGAACATTGGTCCCTTGTACATTGCAACGCGTTGATTATGCGAATTTTGATTATACAAATAATTGATTATTTAAATGTCCCAGGGATTTTAAAAGTAGTCTAATTGTAAGTCAAGAATTCAAAACAAACGATATTATTATTTATTTATCTTGGTATTATTATATTTATTTGTTTACACCACAGTAAAATAAAGCTATTTTCGATGAAGTTCGTCATTCTTCATTCGTCATCGTTTGCCCAAAAATAAAAAAAAGAAATAACATATTTTTGGGTATGGCACAGAATTTTGATAGCCAGTTCATGTGTACCATAAAGTGCGAAAATTTCTATCAGCAAATAAGATATTCCTGGAACATGAACAGAAAAGACACTACAAGACTGAGAATTGGACACTCAAAAATTACCCACGAATACTTGCTGAAGAATTCGACACCATCAATCTGCGATTATTGCAAGCACTATTATCAACACATTATCTACTCTATGAATGCAGAAACTACGAAATATAAAGATAGAAATATAAACTTCAAATGGGACTCTAGCAACAAAAAAACAAGACAAAAATATTCTGCATATTGAAAAGAGACCAAACTGTTCTATCAAATCTGGAAACTAAGAAACTAAAGATATCAAACTGTTCTACCAAGTCTGGAAATCTAGAAACTAAATTATGCTGTCGGTGCGACATTAAACTCGGAGAGAAGAAGAAAAGATGCAAAACATGACGAATAAAAATGGTTGGTTTATTAATAATTAGAGACGTAAAAAATTATTTGAATCGAGAGAGTACTTGAGATTATACCGCGAATATTAAATCTGTTTTAAGAATGATCGATGATGAAATACATAATATAGAAATAAATAGAGGAGGAATTTGTGTATAAAAATATATGATTAAAGAAATGCAGTTGCAATTTGCTATCAGCGAATCGAGAATAATAGACTGTGCTGTTTTATTTATACAATTGGAATTAGAATATCATAGTTATGAGAAAATACATATTTCATTGATATATTAGAACTGCATAGTTCACTTGCCTTGGCTACTAAATCCTATAAGATAATATGTTAATAGTTCTGCTATATGGGAACTATCCTAACACGTAGATCAAGATGAAAATGAATCTTGATGAATTAAATTAATAATTTGCATTATTAGATTGTAATTATATATATAATTCAATAACCTTAACGTTAAATTATTAAATTATTATTATTATTGTAAACCATTCAATTATTGTTTATTATTATTGTCAATTATTGATTTACTCAATTCTTATTCTTTATTATTATTATAAATTATTATATTATTAATTAACTTGATGAAGTAATATTTTTGGAGTTTCTATCTATAATTTTGAAATTTATTTATTTCAATTTACATTGACACTTTTGTCACTTTTTATGTCTTATTGAATCTCAAATATTGTACTTTGCTCCAAGTCTTCCTGTATTGTTAGTACAACAAAAAATTTTTGTGTAACGTATAATTCAGAATGAATCAATAAGTTAACGAAATCAACTTTCTTTTTTTGAACTAAATTGCTAAATAGATTTCGTTTACGAAAAACGTATGTTAATAATTTCTCTTCTTTTACAGCCTTCAGTGACACTTTGTTCATAAAGCTGGAGTACTTTATTAAAATATTTCGTGAGTTTAAATCTACAGAAATATCGACTATTTTCTATCAAACCACCTAGATGTCTGTTTCAGATAGCATTGATCTTTGAACAAACTTTATATGGCATGCAGTATCAATAACTCCTCTATCCATTTATCACGACTTACAAAATTTAATCTATGCAAAAGCACAATCGGCACAGTTCATACATCTAATCTATCTAAAGTGAAATTAATCATTTTATCCATCATTATTTATCAGCACGTGTAATTAAACATTTTGATTTAAAAAATCCTTCATTAAATTATCTCATCGATCAGTGATTAAAATTTTTTTCGTTTTATTTTCTAACGACTCTTATTTATTTTATTATATTACGGTATATATATTATAATATATTATTATATTAGTTATTCATTTATTATATTATAGTTGTTTATTTAAAAATTCGGACTAAGACATTTCGCTGCATATTCAAATTTCGAATTTTAAATTTCAGAACAATAAAATTCTTTTAAGATCTCTCTCTCTCTCTTTTTTCTTTCTCTCAAGTATCGTATAGAGACCTCAATACCGTTCTTAGTAATTGCATTTTCTTCAACAATGTACTAATTGATCGAGGCTACGAAGGCCACAACCATTAACACCCACAGAGAATGAATAATAAGTTACAACGTGTATGTAATTTGTTAAGAAAATGCATGAAAACAACACAGGGAACATGTTACATCCAGATGCACAATACTACATCGAGTATGATTACATTCAAATTCATAACAGTCTTAATTTCTGCTTGCTACCTCATATTTCTGCGAAAATTTTAAGATTGTTGAACTTGATACACTGAATCGCTTACTTTTATACTTATATGAATAAATAGAAATTAATATCGAAAAATATATCGTAAATTCGATTGTAAGCCTATTCGTTTTGTAACAAATGCATTGCTGTAATTGTACTGACAGTTACTTTAAAGTGTTGCATAATTTGATATGACCATGTGACTACGACTATGTTTATTCTTCACGTGCATTGCCATTTGTAGACTTCTTAACGAGACTTCAAAGAGACTTTTGTTTTAAAATTGGAATATTGCAATATTAGAATATATTTTACATATGTAATTTATATTTAAGTATAATTTATATTTCCTCCTCGTAAAATAATTAATTATAACAATTAAATAATAAAACAATTAAGATTATACTATTTATTAATAAGAAATGCAAATTGGATAAAATTATGATGCATTATTATCATTATAAATTATAACAGTAAGTACACAAGGATGAAAAATTGGAAAGAATAATTCAAAAACTTGCATTCCCATATTACTACGTATCATTTATGCTTAAACAATTTTCAGCAACTGGCAATACTCGTCAATTTATGAAAATTGATTATTTTATTTCGTACTCGATATCGTTTCATTTTCTAACACTCGTAAAATCGATTATTAAAAAAGGAAAAACCTGAATATTTCGTTGGCCGAATTGGAAACATGCCTTAATTTCGTCGTTTATAGGCGTCAAACCACTTTGAACTTAGGAACAAAGAAACACTTTTCTCACTGCGTCAATTATCGAGGTCGCGAACGTCTTCCACTCAAGACGATGTGCTGCATACTGTTCCCGTCTCCTTCTTCGGAGATAGTATAAATCGTGGTATCCCAAAAAATCACCCGAGTCACGTTGACAAGCAATAATTTTACACGCGCTTCTCTATTTATTTAAATCGTCTCCTAGTAACTGCAGTGTCGTAGGTTTGAGGACTTCGAGTGAAAAAGGGTCGTAAAAGAGAAACGCGTGTAAAATTATTGCTTGTCAACGTGACTGGGCAAGTGAACAAGAATCCAGCTATGAATCCTCAATATTTTCGTTTATTTTTACCGAAGGGGTGAAGGCAGTTTTAAAAATTAACAAAAATTAGGAAGAGCGAGGGACGATCCTCTCGAGAAGAGAGTGTTGCGTCGAGCTTGACAGCGAGAAGTCAGACGAAGTTGTTTGCACGAGTGTCGTTGGATGAGTAAGACTTGCTTATAATTGTATAATCTACAATGTAAACATAATATGTGCGAGTTCCGTCTAACGTGAATGATGTTTAGAAGAAGACAGTCGTCATAAGAACTATCAAAGAGTGAACAATGTGAGCAATGAAATCGTGATGGAGAATGAGAGAAAGAGAAGAAAGTTCTGGAAAGAGTTTATTTATTTATTATTTCAATGCTATATTATTTTGGGTTTATTACTTTAATATTTTATGCATAAATATACTTTGTGTTTCTCGTTAAAAATTGTGAAAGATGTTCTTGATTTATTCTACTCACAGTTTGGAGTTATTCTTTCTTTTTATATATACATGTAGACTCATCACTGGACAACGAACCGCTTTCTTTATATAATCTTATTCCAATAATAAATATAGTTACAACATAACTGATTCACTTTCTCAAATTAGGATCATTCTTCTCACGATCAATTAGCTCCGCATGATTGTAATCTGTGATCAATTTATCACGAATAAAAGAAGTGCTTCTATAATTATTTATTTATTTATTTAATAATAATTTACGGGTAGTAGAACCCATTAGTGTATAAACAAAAAATAAAAATTCATCAGTTTGTTAAAGAGAGAAAGAATATAGGTTATGTATGGTACATTTATATTATGTATATTATATATAAATAAATATTCTTATATTTCTGCAAACATGTCTCTAAATGGTCGAATATATGAGTACATATCTGGAGAATGTGATAAGATATAATTGTCGCGAATGTTGTTAATTATAGAATTTGTACTGTTCATATCGAGCTTCTTAAGTGGGATCGTACTAAGTGTTAAAAGTAGTGACTAGTAATAAAGAATTGTGTCTCGTTCTATCGTAAAATTTATGGTTGAAATATAGAGATTGAGACGAAAAATGCATTTGTGATACCTTTAATGAAATAAATTTAAATAGATAGTCTTTTTCCTGTTTATAAATTAAATTTAAATAAAGAGTGCTTTTTCTGTCAATAAATTTGAATAGAAAGTCTTTTTCCTCTTTATAAACTAAATTTAAATAAAGAGTTCTTTTTCTTTCATTTGTTTTAAAAACTTCAAAATTTTCAAAATTTCAAACTTTCAAAATTTTGAAAGTAGGAGAAGAGTTATTTTTTTTTTTTTAATTATAATTGTGATTTTAGCACTAAAGTATTGCTTTTTTCTTATTTTTCTTTGAATACATTCTTGTTTGAACTAAATCCTAAGTCGTCCAAGTTTCTGGCACAAATCGCATAAATTTAACACTAACTTTAACACGAGACGAGCTCACGAATCACGAATCACGAATCATGTGAAACTAAACAGTGAGATACTGCATCTGAACGAAAGGCAGAATTGTGAAAGTATAACATTCATCTTTCCTTTCTTTCTGCATTTCTCAAACCTGTTTTAAAATCACAGGTTATTACACCTTCAAGTCACAACGAGGTATAAAAATTATATTTGAAATATCGTAAAAATGTCTTACTATCATAAATTATTTTTTTGATATTGAAAAAATTGATCATGATTTATTTATTTTCATAAGTATTAGAAACTATATCTGATTGTAAAGAAAAAATAGCTTAGTATGTTAAAGATTTTTATTTTTGAAATATGTTAATTGACATAAACTGAGAAACAATGTACTTAGTAGGTATTTCTAAATTTTTCTATTACTTTCTGAGAAATGTATATTAAAATTAAAAATAAAATGAAAGGATAACATCTCATACGTTAATAAACAATAAGCTCTTTATCAAATATCTTGTATCAATTATAATTTAGATTTAGTTTTAAATTGTTAAAGAACAAAGTAATAATTTATAATATATATATAATATATTATTTCAAAATATAGTTTTTCATATAACATATAGGTTAAGCTGTAATACGTATTATAAGTGATAGTGTCTATGATTCAAAATATCTAAATCAAAATGATAACCTGTTTTATACGATTCAAAGGTTCGATCTTCAGAGAAAACTATTTTAAATATCAGATAGTATACACAGATTTTAGAGATAATTATCTTATCTATGATTATAGAATTTCTACATGTGTGAAATAAAATAAAATTGTTAAAAACCACTTTAAAGTTGTTATCTATCTATTATTACTTTTGATATTAATGAATACTGAAAAATAATTTTCTAAACCTACATTTAAATTTAAATAAAATAATGTAATAGTGTAAAATACATTAGTGTATTTCATTTATAAAACTCTATTGTATGTAACTAATATTTATTATTTATACAGTAAAATTTATTCACAATATTATTTATAACTTCTTTATTTATATACAAATTTCTTTATTTACAATTCTCTTTACTATTTGAAATAACTTTTACGCGAGGATTAGTGAAAAGATTTATTTAAATTGTTATATTTAAAATGGTAAGAATAACATATAAAAACTTATTAATTACATATTTTTATTTCATATTAATTTACGATCTTGTCATTACTAATATAAACAACTTTTGAAATATAAATGGAATGTATTCAAACATAAATATTATATTAATAGACTTCATTGAGTATTTATGAATGAATGCAAGTTATGAGAGGCCATTTGAAATTCATTATACCGAATACCGGTGTTTGAGATATTTTGTTAACAAAGATTTGTTGTTAAATATTAATCTTATTTAATCTAATTGCTTCGTTGATAAAGTGTATTTTACATATATTTTATATAGTACAATTAGTTATTACGTGACTGTTTAGTGAATTGAAATATATGCGTCTTGTATCATTACAATTGCACTTTGATTTGAAGATAGAGGTTATGTTTACTCTTCGCATTTTCTGTATGTAAAATCAAATAAAATTTTAAAAATATTACAAATATTAATGAATATATCTTAGTAAGTGGAAAAATTTACATATTATAAATGATTAATTTCTTTATTTATATGTTATAAATGAACTCTTTTTTTTCATTTTGTAAAAAAACTACGGCAATAAATTAATGTATTCAATCGATAATATATTATAATTTAATATGAAATAAAAATTATGCATTCAAAAAATATAAATTCGGTATATAAATATTCAAGGAGAAATAAATAATGTGTAAATAATATCTTTAAAGTAGTTTTATAAAATAATTCTTGATCCACATCTGGTGTTTATATTGACTATTGTTTTCAAACGTGATTCATCAATTTCATTTGCTCTATAGAGATTGTTTCTTATTTATGAGTGAACATATAAACTTTTATATGTAGGAAGTTAATTACCAATATTGAAGTGACAATTGTTTTTCAAAATTTTCGATTGTACATTTGCTTATATTTTCGTACTATTTCGTTTAAAAATTTTTGTTTTTTGTTATACTGTTCTTTTATAAATATGTATTTAGAAAGTGTTTAAGAAAATTATCACCTTGATGTTTTACGTATAAAAACAAATAAACACGTGCCATTTCATAAATATGGAATAGGTTATAGGTTATCAATATTTTTATCATATCAGATGAATGCTCTTGTTCGATTTCGCCTCAAATATTATTCTACATAAAAAAACAGCATTGTACAAATCACCATTTCGATAATAAGAATATTACAGGTAATATTGTATTTTAATATATGTTTATTTTATTTCATAATTCTACTTAATATTGTACTTTTATGACACTGCTACAACAAAACATTTTGTAAAGCAATATAAAATATATGTGTTGAAGAAAAATTATTCATTCATATTGATCATCATACTATATTTGTATGAAGAAAATAGTAATTAAGATTAATTTATTAAATTGAAGAATGGCCCTTGGTATTTTGCATTCTGCCTGCAGGAGTGCAATTAAGAATTCATCTTTTTCTACCATGTCTACATCAATATCTGTCGATGAGCGTATGTTAAAAGGAATAAGAAGAATAATTCCAAATTTGAATAATACCAAATATAAAGGTCAAGATGGTCGAATTGGCATATTTGGCGGTAGTATAGAGTATACCGGTGCACCATATTATGCAGCAATGAGTGCACTCCGTACTGGATGTGATTTAGTGCATGTATTTTGTGCAAAAGATGCAAGCATTCCTTTAAAATCATTTAGTCCAGAACCTATTGTTCATCCAGTTTTAGATCAATATGATGCAATTAAACAAATAAGACCATGGCTTGATCGTTTACATGTAATTGTCATTGGACCAGGTCTTGGTAGAGATGACAAAATATTTAAAACAATAGTTGAATTGATCTCAGTTTGCCGTGATATGAAAAAACCATTAATAATTGATGCAGATGGGTTATTTCTAATTAGTCAAAAACCTGATATTATAAAAGAATATCCAGGTGTTATTCTGACTCCTAATGCAATGGAATTTAGTCGTCTTGTTAAAGGAGTACTTGATAAAAATATTCTACCTACACCAATGGCGAAAGCCAATGATGTTAAACATTTAGCAGATGTATTAGGAAAAAATGTAGTAGTTTTACATAAAGGAGCAAAGGATGTAATTGCAGATGGACATAAAGGTACTGAAGCAGTATCATGTGGATTAGCAGGTTCTGGACGAAGATGTGGAGGTCAAGGAGATCTTCTGGCTGGCGCATTAGCTGTGTTTTGGTGGTGGGCAATTTGTGCAGGAAATAGTGAAAGTACTTTGTCACCACCAATAGCTGCAAGTTACGCTGCATGTAGATTAGTAAGAGAATGCAATGCATCTGCATATAAGGTGAAGCAAAGAGGAATGCTAACTACTGATATATTGGAGCAAATACAACCTGTTTTTGCCAGAATTTTTGAAACTCATTGCAACAAGTGAGCTATTTAGCTAAAATGACTATATATGTTTTTGATGCAAAATATTTTTATATAAAATACAGTTATTTGTATTTAAAAGATATGAAATATATGATTTTTGGTCTATATATTGTATAAAGTAATTAATAATAACTCATAATTATATTAATATTGATTATAGAACATCTTCATTCAATGGAAGAAATCGAACACGCAGCACTGATTCCTGAATTATACCTATAATTCCGCAATTTGTTATTCATTATGAAAATTTAATAAAAATTTAGCAGATCATTTATCAATTTTGGATTGAAGAATGATAAAATTATATCAAGGCTGTAATGTAAGAATGAGAATTTATAAATTCAGGAATTTAAAAATTGTGATAAATTTATTATAACTAGTGATAAATTTTTAATGTCATTAAATGCATTACAAAATAAATAAAACATTTTATAAGCTTTTATAGACTTAATTTTACTAATTATATTTTTGAGTTATTTTGATATTTACAAACAGTGCGTTCAGTTATGTTTTATCTGTGAAAATATTTTTTTTTACTCATTGATATAGAGAAATTATTGAATTTTTGTTTACAAAATAACTTGTTGTCTTAAACAATCGGACATAATAACAATTTGTTAAATATTGAAGATTACTTACATCTTAAGGTAAAATAATGTAATTAATTTCTAGATTGAAAGAGCTTAACTGACTTAAGAAAATTAACTTAAAACAATTTACAGTGAAATTATCTCCTGTTGCTTTTACATTGTGGCTAAAAATGACTTCAATACCCAAAAATATTTCTTATTCAAGCATCAGTAATAATAATATTAATTAATAGTCAATTATAGTTAAGTACATTGTTTTTAAGTATTTTATTATTTAAAATAAAGAATCTTTTTATGAAAATGAATGATTCATATTTTTAAGTACCTATAGATTGTTTTGTAGTAGCACACTTTTAAGACAGTTTTCTTAAGTACATGATTTAATAAAGTTACATATTACTGATGAAAATTAAGAAATATTTCTTCTTCATCTCTTAAGTTTAATACTATACACTTAGTTCAGTTAAAAAAAAAAAACATTAACATTAATTATATCATACCATAATTAAATTATCTGATTATATATGTCATTAAGTTCAATACTTGTTTGAAAAGTCCATTCTATTTAATCCAAAATTAAATTCTAGTCTCTTTCTATCCTATTATATTTTATCAATAACACATTATGCATAAGTCGTGTCTAATTTTTACGCATATAAAAGTCATTCGTCGCTAACTAAGTAAAACATTTTCTTTCTCTTTTGAAATTACAATACATTTTTAGTATATTTCTATAGTATATCTTTCTGTTAGCATGTTCTAGAATCCTATAACTATCAAAGTTACGGTACTATCATTTATTGAAGTCCTTATACTGTTGTCTTTCACTTCTATGCTAAAATAATCTCGTCAGTAAGTACCATCGGGCTTGACGTTGATGAATACTGTATAAAAACGAAAGCAGATCATAGTATCTACATAACTTTTGGCATGAATATACCGAATACTGTCTGTCCGCATCAGAAGATGTCTTTGCCGTATGTGTAAGACATTTTCATGATGCTGTTCAACGTAAATTTATCTAGACGCTGAAATTATATTATCATTTAGAGTAATGTCGGTGAACTACGAATAAAACGTCAACACTGAAGTGTGATTCCCGCGTATTAAAAGTGTCGGTGGCATATTTTTGGTTAAAGCTTCCAGCCATGCCATGTAAAGTGGCGCTGAAAGTGCGCCTTTTCTCGGCATTGGTAGTGACCTGAAAAATTGTCAGTGGGAATATCGTGTTATTGTAAATTATTTAACTCCTTAGTATTGGAATTTTGTGTCTTTATGGTGACATATTGTAATGAAATATTGACTTCCACTTTAATTTAAAATTTAGGAATATGAGACAAATTTAATGATGTAACGAGACGAATTATTTAATGAAATAAATTGTATATATATACTTACATCACAACCAATGTGGACTGACTGGAGTTTTCTAATAATAATTCTCGTAGTCTGAGCTGCCTGTACGTCTTTTCTTTCAAAGACTGAAGTTCAAGTTCTGTTACGCAGCATTCTATAATGAGGTGTTGAAGTTATAATTTCAATTAACTGCACGATTGATAATTATTAATAATTAGGATTATCAGTTAATAAAATCTCATGGTTTTTAAATAAAGACGAATAGTCTACTGTTTTACCTGTGTCGTCAGGTTCATTTTTCCGGAAGTCAGATATGAGTTTATCGAAGAAATCTAACGTTTCTTGCTTCGGCTGAACACTTATGTCGTCCACCATTTTCAGACTAGTATATCTTATCCTGAATTTGGCCATTATCTCGACCATTCTGAAAATTATAAAAATCAGTAATAGCATTAATTATTTTTAATTTTGTTTTTAATTTTGGCTATTTTTATAAATTAGATTTAAGTACGTGTTAAAAATATTATGAGGTAAATTTAACTTCAATTATGATTTCTATAAGTAAATTAATTACAGATTAATAGAACCTGAATACAGGAAAATAATTTTTAATGTTTTATGTTTAATGCTTGCGATATAAGTATAATATTTATATCCAATAGTCTCTTTGTTATGTTTTGACTTACTCTTTCTCTTGATCTACGATGTCCTGTTTATGGTTGGCCAACGCGAAAATTCTCATTTTACAGTGCTCCCAATTCGAGCGAGTACTGATAATGTATGGAAGAAGAATCGTCAAACCTGTGGAATAAAAAGTTCTGCCACTTAAAAATGAGTACATCCTTTCTTCTTATAGTTGTAAACAATGTTTCAAGTTATAGGCAAACTGTAAAGCTAAGCAACGAATTTAAGGTAAGTGATGATACATCACAGTTCTTAAATAGCATAAAAAATGTAAATAACATTTTTATATTATACTTATGATATAAATGACGTTTGTATAAAAATTTAGTAATAATAAAAATCTAAAAAGATTATATTAACACTATGAATTTTTTTGAATATAAAATAATGTGTTAAAAATGGCGTAGAAATAAAATGGTAATGTTATCTAAATATCGAATTAAATTTCATTCAGTTTTTTTATTCACGCCTATTAAAAATGTCTTTAATTGCTGTATAGTGTTTTGATTAAAGATTTCAGTATATTTATGCATGCAACAAGTTATATTTACTAATGATTAAACACAGGATTGATAAGTGTTTTGATTAAATATGTCGACGATTCCAACCGATAAATTAATTGTTTGTAGGCACGTGTAAAAATTTCATGAATTACCTCCATCGTCATATAGCCACCATACGTCAATTGTTCCATTTCTGTGTTTTCTTTGGAAGATTGCCAAGCGTTCAGGTACAGGTGTCATTGCATGTCGTTTCTCCCTAAAAATTAAGGTACACTGACTATTATGATATATAATATTTTCTGAAAATTTATTAATTATGCAGTGATCTTATAACAATTGTCAGAAGATATTAATTTATTCCTTAGAATATTTCAAATTTGATGTTCCAGAAAATATCCATCAATAATTTAGGTTAATTAATACATATTAATTTTTAAAGTAATTGAGTATGTATTTCAATTCAATTTTTAATGATTGCAACATTTGGTTTTTAAAATTAAATTCTATTATCAAACAATTTAATTCTATATGAATATTCCATTTTGATCAATTCAAGTCATTTTTACAAAATATAAAAAATTGGAATAAATATAGGAAAAATAAAATAAACAGAATAGGAATAAATCTTTTTATGCTAGTCGACAGAAAGTTAATAATCACAAGTTAAATTTTGGAAAATAATCCTGATGTTGAAAAAAATTGTTATTTATTGATTTTTAAACAATTTTTCATGTATTATGTAACTATGCTGTCGAAGGAAAATGTTTATGTGATTTATTGGTAGCTGTATTGGTAGTTGCCAGTCAAAATTTGATTAAAGTTAGTTCAACGAGTTGGAAGAAAATGCGTCATGAAATGTGATACTTTATCATAAAGATAGGGCTGGATATCCCCTTAAAAAAATGTTCTTTCCTTCTCATTTATTGAATATTGAATTTCCAGTTCAGTAAACAGAATGTACTATCATCGATTTATGAAAAATCAATTTGAAAAAAAAAATTATGGTCTCAAATGATGACTATCTTTTCATTTTACCTTAACCAATTAGAATTTTATCAAATTTTTAATTAAATTTTCAAAAATTTTGTTATATGGGATTCCCAGTTGTATGAAAAATAACTGTAAAAATTATCCTACTGTGCTTGATTAAAAATAAAGTTTTCATTTTTATTTCTTTGATATGAATTATTTCAGAAATGAATAAGGATTGTAATTAATTTGGACTTACATTAATTTCTCTATCGCGTGTTTCCGTTTATGCTTCAAATGATCTCGAGCACTTCCGTGAGTAGGTGAATCTCTAATAATTTGTGGTGGGTCAACAGATACGAATGGAGTTCCTGAAATAATGAAATGTTTCAATTTTGTAAAACGTCATTCTTATCTAGTTACAGCAATTTTTATATAGTATTTAGTAGTTTAATGAATTAAATTATCTCAATACTCTGTAATATATTAGTATATTATAATATATTATAAAATTATTAAATACTATACTACACTGTACTGTACTGTATGGTATATTATTTAATAATATACTACTATACTATAGAATAATTATAATTAAAATACTACATTAAAATATACTGTAGAAATTTACTTTAACTTTGAATATTATAGCACATCATTTTTTGTCAGATATTTCATTCAGAAGATACTGAAATCTTTCTCTCATACTAATTGCGAGTAATACTAATTTTAAAATTATAAGTACCCATTGTTGGCACGCTTTGCACTCTTGGAATTTGGCTGGACATTGATAAATTACTATCAACATGCATTAACGTGTTTCCTGTTAAATCATAACTACTTTGTGCTAAGACGCCATGTTCGTCATCCCCATTAGCAGTTGCAACTTCAGAACAGTCCAATCCTTCCGCAATTCTTAGCATAGCCACCGCTAATTTTTGGTCGAATGCGTTACTATAAGTAACAACAAATTTCGTTATAGTATATATAATTTTCGAGGTAAAAATTAAGAACTATAAAAATACAGATTAATATTTCGATCAACTTACTGAAGGACGTTGAAGTATTCCTGAAGGTCCTTGTGATTACATGTTGACCAGTGTGTTTTATAGCCCATTAAAACTACGTTCGGTGCCAATTTCCCGACACCTGTTGCTTGCATCAAAGCCGATGCACCACGCTCGAAGCTCAGATCTTCCACCACGTGGTAAAATGACTTTATACGTTGTTGATGCAACCATGCATAACCGTTTCTCAAACGCATTGATCGTAAACGATATGACAAACGTGTCTGAAAATGTAGAAATTGTTATTAAATATAAATGGTGAAAAATGTCAGATTATATTGTATTAGCATTATATTACATTAGTTTAATTCTTTATACTGAATAAATAATAATTTATTTCAGATTTTCCTATTTTTGTATGATCTTTGTGTTATCGATATTGTGAACGCAATGATACATTTAGAATACATTTTCTCTTGTACGATTTGGAAAAAGACAATTCCAAAGAAATATATAAGCCGTTCACTGCACAAATTGATTAACTTCATAAAACAAAAAGTGAAGAAATGCAATGAAATAATGTATATTATTTTTTAAAATTCCCTTTATGATTTAAATCGAAATAAATATCGTAGAATGCATAAATACAAATGTAACTTTCATCTAACGGTATATCAAATTTATAAGAAAAAATAGCCAAAAGGTAAACGTTAGTAATGTTACCATTTTTATGTTACTGGAAGAGTTAATCGATTTGGCAAGTGAGAAAAGTAATAAATTTAAATTTTACTAAATTTTACTTAAATTCTGATAAGACGGCACTAAAAAATTCACCGTTATCATTCATGGCTTGCTAGTGCATTTGAGTTGCATTATTGCAACGATTTACATTAGAGTACGGAGTTAATCAAAGTGACCTCTGAAATAAATTATTTATTATTCAGTGGCCAACAAATTTTTGTCGTTTAATGGTGTTAATCTTAATTATCAGGGAAAGTTATTATAAATATAAAAAGTTATGACTATACCAAGTGCTTTGACACTTAAATTTGAGATTTTTCAAAAAGTGGAGTTAATCGATTTGTGCAGTGAACGCTCATATGATTTTTATATATACGATTTTTAAATTCCAGTATTATTTAATATTTTATTTTTATAATTAACGCATCATCGTCTATTGATTGTGGAAAATATATAATACTACCCATTAAAAATGTTTTTAACATATTTAATATGTATTATTAACGTCGAGTATAAATTTTATAAAAGATTTAATATTTTTGAAAGATTAAAAAAGATACGATTTAAAAGTCTGTATAAATGATTGAAAAACGTAGAATTTTGCGAAGGTTAAAAAATTAAGGAAGCAAATCTGTTTATTTAAATTACATACCGGGTATATTTCACCGGAAACCAACAGAGAGTGATTTTTGGTGATGAGATTTGCCAGATGCAGCAACGCTGGCCTTGCGCCAGGAGCTCCGGACAGTGCCAAAATTTGAGGGGCATAATTTTTGACATGCTCGTCGATAGAATTCAGTCTGCAAAGATGTAACTTTATTAAGTTAAGAATTATGTGAATGAGATAAAAATAGACACCATAAAACTAGATGCAACTTTTTCTTTTTCCTTTTTTTAAAATTTTTGACAATATAGGGTCATTAATAAAGGTAATAATTATACATATGATTATAAATTATTTTTAATCAGTTTGATATGCTTCATGCTAGTAACGTAAGAATTAATTAAAATTTAATTTTTCATTATTAACATTAAGGAATCAAAGAATAAAAATTTTAAGATAATTAAAGTATTGAGAAATTTTCAAAAATTTGTGAAAAAAATTTGAAAATAATGGTGTTCTTACCTGTAAACGATAGAAAGTGCAGTCTTGTAAGTCTGTGCTTGTGTACTACTACCCCAATTCACGTCTGGCTTGCGATACACCACTATCAAATATAACGCAAATATAATGACCAGCGTGACCAACGAAGTCACCCAGTCAATGAGGAACATTATAAACAAGCAGGTGATAAAGCCAAATAGTGACAACCAGGTGTTGTAATACTGTGAAAAAGAAACATATAATTTCCTGTTTGATTATTTGTTATTAATTACACAAGGTATAGTAATAAAACAAATAAATTAAATATTAGGAATAATATTAATTTAATATAGAAATAATATTATAAATATTAAATTTCTATTCAAATTTTATCGTAGTATTTAATTAAATCATTATGGCTTTTTGGTGTTGAAGAAGGTGGTAATATGGAACTTTTTTTTGTTTCTAAACAATTTTTCCACAGATAGTAAATTAATAATTAAGTCAATAATTTTTCATATCCAAAAATTCAAAACGAAATGAAAGAATATTTAGCTAACCAATTTACTCATATTTTCAATAATTAGTTCACTTATTTATTATCTTTGGTATTGATAATTTTTAATAATTTTATTGTTTTTATTCCTCTTTAGTAATTTTTACTTACATTAATTAATACATATGTATTGTGTGATTTGATTTTAGTATTACTATTAAATTATTCATATGACAAGAATATTAAAAATTTCATCATAAGAGTGACATTTGAAATTATGTTATATTAATAGTATACTTAAATTGTCTAAATATAATTAGACTGTGGTGCAATATATTATCACACATAGAATATCAATTTTGTAGGGTTACAATTTATCATATCATTCTATTTTTTCCTTTTTTAAAATACTATTCTTTCAACATTCCTCCTTATTTCTTTGTATCTATTCATTTTGTGTGCACATAGTGCAAAACTCATTTTACTATTTTCTGCTTAATTACTTACTCTGAAAGTAGGACGCCACCCAAGTGGTCGAATAAGAGCTGCGTGAAAAGTGCAGAAATTAATCAACGCGTATGATGCCAGATAGAAATTTGAAATCAGAGGTGCCACAGCGTTCAAGTTTGCTGAAAATAGAGAATAATTAATAAAGTACGTCAATTAATATATTATAGTTTCGAATCAAAATTTTTTAATGAATTTAGAAGTACCATTTCACCATTTTCAATGACTAATTATCTCGTCTTAGAAAGAAAGAAACTATTTAATTCAAATCATACAACACAAACTATAAAATTAAATTACAATAAAATTTATAGTCCAAATTTTTTGAATACTATCCTGATTGTATTATAAAATAAATAGAACTGAATTAGAATAAAAATTATAGTTCAATTTTATAAATTTTAATTTATACTTATTAAATGGTTTACTTAGTTATTATTACGCATTCAGCATTTTATCTTAATAGATAGATTTTTAAATTACACTTTATTTTGTTCATACCTATTAAAAGGAACAACGCTGCAACGACGAACGTGAGAACGTAACCTCGATAAGGTTCACCATGCTTTCCATAACCCTTGCTAAAATAAATCAAACCAGGATAAATTCTATCCTGTCCCAGTGCCTGTATTAATCGTGGTACCGATAACAAATTTGTCAAGGCTGTGGAGAGGGTTGCTGCGAAACAGCCGGCGTAGATGAATGGCCCCCAAACTGACATAAGTTGCATCACCTGTAAATGAAAAAGTGCAATGAAATTAATTTCAACCTAGTCCTTTTAATAACCAATGATTATTAAAAAGAAATCTATAAATCATTAAAAAATATCTCATCCAAAATAATGATAATAAAGAAAAAGAAAACGAATAAAATTCTAATCTTTATTTTCTGCCTTTTCTCTAAAAATCTTCTGAATAAATATATCTCCCTTTCCTATCTATTTATTTCACGTTTAAGAAAAAATTTCTGAATGCAACACATTTCTACCAAACTCCTAATTTCAAAACTAAACACCATTAACTCTCTCTATTCCTTTATTGATTCAATATCACAATTAATTTTATTCATAATTTTTAAACGGGTTATAACGCAAAGGAATAGTATTCAGAGGAAACGGTGGAAAAACTGTATAGATCTTTATTGAACGTGCGAATGATTAAAACTGGCCTGTTTAGGGCCAAGTAGATCACAGGACGTCTCCAGAAAACAGGAGACAAAAGACAAAACGCAGGGGAAGGGATCAACCCCACATTGCTAGGATGTAGAGTTTACTTTACTATTTAATTTTATTACAACAATAAATATTCCTCAAAATTTCAAATCACGTTTGATAGTTTCCAAAATATTATCAAAATTGCTTGAATTGATTCGTATCAACCTATTCTTCTTCAAAGTACATTTAACCGGTTAAATAATAAATAGTTATTGGAAATAAAATTAAAATTTGTTAATAAATCTAGAAGTATCATTTCACCATTTTTAATGACTAATGACCTCGTCTTAGAAAGAAACTATTTAATTCAATTTATACGACACAAGCCATTTAATTAAATTACAATAAAATTTACAGTATCAATTTTTTAGATATTAATCTGACTGTACTATAAAATAAATAGAACTAAATTAAAATAAAGATTATAGTTTTTTTTCAAAATTGAAGAGGAATTAGGAATTCAAAGGATTAGTATATCTGAAATGATCGATGTTTCGATGGATTTCAATTATGGATTTGATTGTATTAATAATTAATTGTACCATACCATACCGAGTAACTGTTGTGTAATCCGTAGGTGCAGTTGACGTTCGGAATGCATGCTGCTATTATGGTGTTATTTCCGCTGATTAGGCCACTGGCATCCCTTAGAGCCGCGCCACCAGCGAAGAAAACAAACGTGACATAACTCAGCATGGAGATCAGCAATGCAAGAAGGGTACCAATCGGTATGCTACTCGCTGGATCTTTCAAATCGCCGGAAATATTGGCGCCAGCTTGGATGCCGGTCACGGATGGAAAGAAAATGGCGAATACGGAAAAAAATGTCTGGTTACTGTTCTCAGAGAAACGATAATTCGGCCCCATGTTATCCATGAACACCTCGGCTACAAAAATTAAGAAATAATTATTTAGATATAATATCCAGGATTATAGTATTTTTTCTGTCTACACGTAAAATATATTTATAGTAATTTTTATAGTAACTTTGATATACATGTTTCAGTCGAAGAGAAGATGTGTAGACGTGGTTTAAAAAGTTCAGGAGAATATTCTTGTTTTTGATTGTCTTCACGAGTATAGTTCATTTTTTGATTTTTTAAAATATTTTTAGTCGTGATTAAATATATTTTGAGACTTGTCATTTCATTTTTGATCATTTTTGTTTATATTCTATTATGGTAGGGATTTTTTATGAAGATATATTTAAAACATTTTTATCCCTTTTATGATAAGAACTGCAGAAATTGAAGGAATCGTTGTTTCAGATAATTAGTATTTTGCATAATTTATTTTGTATGCAGTATTTTGTATAGTAGGTTCTAATAATTATGTGATAAAATGAAATTCGACTTACAGGAAAACCCAGTGAACCCTTTTGCTTGCTGTGTTATGTCCTTGGGCCCTATTATGGTGCCAATCACAAAATCAAAGATAGCTGCAATAATGATGGCAATGAGGAAATTTTGAGCCTGTAAGAAATCAAAACTTTTTATTATTATTGATTCATTCCTTCAATATTTTCAACAACGAAATACCAAAAGGGTAACACAAATTTTGAATTTTATAAATTTAAAAAGCACGTATGAAAAAAAGGAAAAAAATAGTCTGGAAATATCATAGTTATTAATTACTATAAGGTATACTTATCTAACATATTTACAATTTGTTATCAATCTTCTATCTATTAATATTCGACTATATAAATTAAATGACTTCAACAAAATTGCACTGTGTGGCAAATCAACCAAAGCACAAACGCATACGTTGAAACATTATAATTTTATATCAATTAACCCCTTTGCCTTAAGAAATGTATACAGGGTATTTTCTCAATCACGTATAAATCATTATTTATCATCATCATTATTATTATTATTGTGTAATATGTACATATATGAAAATGTGCATCGACTTCTAGATATTTTTGAAAATAACATACAAAGAAATTATATATAAATTAATTTAAATTTTGTATGAATATATATATATAGAATTGTATTATGTCAATGCTTCATATCATTTCAATCATCAATGTAGTGTTATGTCATTTTAAAACAGTATCAACGTTGCCACCAAGACAAGTCGCACCTCGAGTGGAAAGGATTAATCTTTAACTCTTTCATTCCTCAATCAGGATTAAAATGGGTAAGAAAGGATCTTTCTTACCTATATACCAAAAATGCTTCCAGTTTCGAAAGAACTGAAACTGAACCATAGCAAAAGTGTTGATTCGTTTATCATAGTCAAAATACATAAAACACGTACCTTCGATTCCCATTCCATTCCGATCGCACAGATCAAGATCATGACGATCAACGCGATCGTACCGACAATTCGAACGTCATTTACTCCGTTGTCGATGATCTTCAAGTCGTACTCTTTCAATAAATCGTTCAGAGAGTCACAGAAACCAATGGTGTTCATGGATGCCGAAACAGCGTTTGCAAATGCGAAGACGATCCCCACAGAGGCTCCAAACTCAGCACCCAGGGTTCTTGATATGATGAAGTATATACCACCTGTGTATAGAGATTCTTATTTATACGTCGAGGAACTCAACAGGTTATTTGAAAATACAGTAATATGATTATTTTGTTTTCATGGGGAAAGATGAATGTTTCACGAAGTCAATTAAATTTCAAGAAGAGGAAAGCAGTCAAAATGGAAATTTTGTATAGTAATTGAGTGCTTTTGTATGATCAGTTACCATAGGTGTCATTGTTCTGTTTTAGGGATTTTTATATAAAGTTTGTCGAAATTTTTATGGCAATTTGAATCTCTGAAATTTAATTTCTTGGTGTCTATAGTTTATAGATACTATAATTACTATTCAGTTATTTTATCGTAAACAAATTGGTCCCATAAAAATTCCGGTAAGAAAATTTGGTATGAAATTTGACAGTAATTCAAATCTTCGAAATTTAATTCCTTGAGTAATAATTGGAGTTACTTTAAAGCTATTTTAATTACAATTCAAACACCATGGGGCACAAATAACAAAAAGAAAACTAAAATAAAGTAAAAAAATACTTCGAAACACCCAAAAGTTAAAAATATTTTTATTTCCTTAAAAAAAAAGATATTGAACACCAAATTTCTAAAATTTAATTTCTCAGGTAATATCTGAAGTCCCATTAAAGTTACTTCAATTGCAATTCAAAATAAAAAAATAAAAACACCGAAAAATAGAAAACACAGAAATAAAACTAAAATAAAATAAACTGAAAAATACTTTGAAATATCGAAAAACTTAAAAATGCTTCAGAAATAAGAAATAAAATATATTAGACGCAGTATAAGTCCTCGAAGAGTTCTAAGAAAAGCCTAAAACACTTCGTACCGATCTCTTCTACAGACAGCCATTTGTTATCATCTCGATGGGACATATTTAAACAAGAATCTAAACTCTTTTTCTCATAATTAAAAATTCTAAAAAGATAACTGCGAATAGGGTTTCACGTGGTTGTTTTCATGGACGGCGTTCCTCTTCGTGGAAAATCAATCGTCAGCGTTCGATTTTGGCGGGGTCGAGTAACGACAACAAAAGTACACGATGCCACTCCTTTAAAGAGGAAAAAAGAGGACGAGAAAGAACGGGGATCCCGTAACACACCTCCCTTTACTTCCCCATTAGTACTAATTGCGCTGAGGCTAAGCGTAGTGATGACGCAGACAGCCGCCGATATTCCGATAATGATGACGCTCTGCAGTATGCCAGCCTGTGCTACCACCCACGACAGTCGTAGAAAGAGCATTACACCCCATATATTGAGGAGACATGGTATGAGGACACCCTGGATCCATCCTAGCTTTATACCCGTGTGTCCTTGCTGCGGCACCCCGACCTGGCCAGCCTCTATATTTGGGTCCTGAAATTTCAATGTTTCCAGACTTTAATTATTGTTTTCTATGCGTTTGCCTGAGGGTTTAGAAGAATTATAGTGCTGTAGTTTAGGGTGTGCTAGTGGAGTTTTGGAAAATAATTGCGACTCGACACTGAAATTTTCGTGTTCTTTATTTTCCTGTCTTCTGTCGTGTTTTATGGGTTTCGTGAGTAGGTTAGGTCAGGGTTAGGTAGATTAAAATATTGATTATTTTCGATTTTCCTGTTGTTTTCTATGGGCTTTTCAAGGTTCCAGGAAAATAGTAGCATTGTGGTTAGTTAAATAGTAATAAATAGATAGTAAATAAATAGAAAAATAGTAGTTTGTGATTAAAAAAATAGTAGCAATGGAATTTGAAAAATTAAATTATTTTTCTTTCTCTGGTACATTAAATAAAATTTTGAATAATATTTGGTTCATAAAATTATATTTTACAGGCTATTCCATTTTTCTCTCTTTTAGGTAGATATTATCGAAATGTTCCATAAAGTTAGATATAAGAAAATATTACATAAACACGAGTTGTTTAATGATTCGTTAAGTAGGTATAAAAAGGAGATGCATTAGCCTGCGAGATGAAGCAATCTTACGCCACTGGAATGTTATCTGTAAGAAACATTGAAAGAAGAAGTGTACCTAACAAGTATAAATACCAGTGATGATCTGATATCGGAATCGATGATTCATTCATCGAGATGAAACAAAATCAGAATGAACTTCGTCGAGTAATAAGTTCAACTTTTCGTCACTCTGTTTTATTGACAGAGCAAACAAAGTGATCACGTTAATTTCTAATTTACCCTTATCTCGCATCATTGCAAAATTACAGAAATTTATTGTCCTTGAGTGCATAAAGACTTGAAATAATAATTAAATTTAATTAGCAAATAAATTATAAAAATCATATTTTATATTTAATTTTAATTTCCATTTAAAATATTTTTTTGTAGATTACATACATCAGTTATGTGATTCATACTGTATATTATGTACATTATGTATTTAATCCAATTACTTTCCATGAAAATTTAAATTGATGATTAAACAGACGCTTTCTGGTGCGTTTAATTAGTTAAACAATGACCTTCGCGAATGGCGGGAATTTCGAAATTGATACCTGATGTAATTTCCCTCGCAGCTGGTATTTACTGCTGTGTAAACTTAATATACTCTCTCACCCTTGTGGCTCTCGTTATGAGTTCGATCGCTTTTGTTGAGGGACAAAGCACCTCAGGGTCTCATTTCACTCTACGACGTTACGAACTTGTACGAGTGATTAGCTTATCACTCACTCAATTAATACGTTATACAACATTTATTTCGTTTGCTCAGAAACGGTGCATAGTTCCGAGAAATTTGAATATTTAGAATCCTATTTTTGGGATAATTAATTTTCCAGTCTTTTCATTGGTGATTTCTAGGTAAAATTTATTTTAGGATAACATGGGAAATGACGAATATTGATTAATCATATGGTTGTTGATATTTTGCAGAATATTCTTGTATTATTGGTCTTTTGGAATAGTTAATTAATTCATGGTTGAAAATTTATTCGTTGCTGCTTTAGTGTATTTTTGACTTTCAGATCGTGGTTTCTTAGATGGTTGTGTGAGATTTTGGAAAATTTATGAATCGAGGATATGTCAATATATGGTATAGGAGCTGCATGGAGAATTTTTTCTTAGTTTTTGCATTAATAATTTTTATATAAAATTCGTTTAACCTTCGTTTAATTCTTTAAATCTTTCAATTTTCTCAAATTTTGTTTTGAAAGTTATTTTAAATATTAATTTGTGAGAATAATTTTTGGAATTTATTAATTACAGTTGAGCTATATGCTATTTTTGGAGGAGTAATTTTCGTTTTAATAGTGTCTCATGATTCATAAATCACATTTATTTTCACAACAGTATAAATAGTGCGCAGATAGTATGCACATATTATCAAATTCGAAACGCAGCCAAGCTAGTTTGCCATGTGTCTTACTCAAAGTCCCTTTAACAGTTATTGAAACCGTGCAATGAATATTTTATGAGTCAGTGTAAACGATGTTTATGGGTGCTAATATTATGTCAAATGCTTACAAGGCGAGATATAAATTTAGAAAATATTTAGATATTTCGTCGCATTATAGTCGAAATTGATGAAAATTCTGCATATTGCGTCAATGTGTTTTCTGTGATAATATCCGGTGCTTTCTAAAAACGATCGTGTATGCACAGTTCTGATATATTGATGGTGGTTACTTGGAAAAGATACGATTTTATTATCTGCATCAACGATAGATCAGTGACTTTAATATCATGATATTATAGTAATTAATTCAAATGTAAAAAAGGAATAGAGAAAGTATAAATGAAAAGTAAAAAAATGTATTTTAAAATACAATTTATGGAATTTTATGTGTATTTATTTGATAGTGATTTTTAGCATGATTGAAATAGTTTTTGATTTTATGTTGAATATATCATATAAAATACAATATTAGAAATATATATTTTATTCCTATATTGTATTTTTTACAATGTAATATTTGAAAAATATTCCTAATTTTTAAATATTTAATGCATTATATAAAGTGCAATAATTTTATGTGTATTTATTTGATAGTGATTTTTAGCATGATTGAAATAGTTTTTGATTTTATGTTGAATATATCATATAAAATACAATATTAGAAATATATATTTTATTCCTATATTGCATTATATACAATGTAATATTTGGAATATATTTTTAACTTTTTAATATTTAATGCATTATATAAAGTGCAATATTAAAAATATATTTTATAATACTATATTTTAGATATATGATATTATGTTTTATATATTATGTAAAATACAATATTAGAAATATATATTTTATTCCTACATTGTATTATATATAATTTAATATTTGGAATATACTTTATAATTCTATATTTTAGATATATGATTTTATGTTTTATATTATATATTATATAAAATACAATATTAGAAATATATATTTTATTTCTATATTGTATTATATATAATGTAATATTTGGAATATATTTTTAATTTTTTAATGTTTTACGTATTATATAAAGTGCAATATTAAAAATATATTTTATGATTCTATATTTTAAATATAAACATATATTAATTATAATTTTGTATTATATATATAATTTTATAAAATTGATTAGTTATGTTACACTTTATTCCAAATCAGACTTCACTTCCAATTATTATCAATTGAAAAGTAATTAATATTTCATATTATTGTTATATATTTCGTTTGTTAATTAAAATTACTCAATATGAAAACTAATTCAGAAAATAATTAATATTTTTAAATACTATATATTCTGCCTATACTCCATTTACTACATATTTAATGTACTTTTTGAAACTGTTGCTTTCCGAAAAAAAATACATTTAAAATAAATAGCTCTGTAACAATTTCTTCTAATATATAAAGAATTCATCCCCAAAAATATTTTTATCTGTAAATCAGCTATCATCTCACGTAGCTTGTATATCAGTGACACAATGACCCAGAATTTATTCATATCTTCTACAAATGCTCGATTAACGAGCATTTAAAAAATCCCTCCGTTTAAAAAATCGTTAAGGCTGGAGCTGGAGCCCCAGTAATTACAGGGTGCTTCCCAATGCATTCCATGATATTACAACAAGGGTGGCAGGACGCACGTCCACAGGGTGTGGCAATCTTACCTTTATAAGATTTCCTTCGTGCAGGGTGCTCAACGATGGCCTCTTAGCACGACGACTCAATCTACAAACAGAAACGTTCATGTGACTTTGATGGTATACTAATTGTATTGGTGAGTGTTTAGGGCTAATTAAATTAGGTTAAACTGTTCAATGATATGAGAATGACCATTAACATCAGAGGGGTAACTTTTTGTCAAGATGCAAAGAATAGTCAGTAAAATAGTCAATGTTCTATTAGGGTAATATTAATTCTTCATTTATTAATTTTTCATTCGTTAATTTTTCCTTTTGTATATGGTCATATTATATACTAGATTAATAGTTTGTTTATTCATAGTATTAATTTTCTTTTATTATGCTAAAAGAAAGGTGATAGAATAATAAATTAAATATGTTCCATTTCTTAATTTCAGAAATTTCATAAAATATACTTTAACAAGAATCGATATCCAATATCCTTATCGTAATAACTTCTTTTCCCAATTAGACTCGAAAGAATACCACAGGAAGAAATTACAGAACACCTTAGATATTTAGCGAATTTCGGAGAGGCTAGATCCATTACTCGATGGTCTTATACTTTCCTCTAACTTTGAAAGACATTAAGGACAAATGGTACGTGGGAAAATCGATCGTAGGGAAAAAATTGGTCGCAGCTGAGAGAAAAGTAGTAAGTGGTACCACTGGACAGATATCGAGACTTATGGTGTGCAAGTTAGCTTTACATTTTATATGTAAGTCTCGTTATATAATTTTTATTATTTAGCTCTTATTACATTACATATACTCTCTATATATATTGTAATCTTTATTTTCTATGTAAAGTTTCATTATTTTAATTTGTATTACTTTATTTTTATTATTTAACTAGTAACACTTGTTATATGCGAAAGTAATTTTTGCACAGTAGCTATTTCAAAAAATTACAGTATTGTTTATTTCTGAAGACGAAAACTATAAATTGAATCTAATTAAAAATTATTTATGAATTAAAATTATAGAACCCTTTTCAATGAACAGTAAGTGAGTTTATAAATTCGTGCAATTTATTTAATATTTATTAAATCTAAAATTTAAAAGTTTTATTTGAATTATTTGTTATTTATTATTATTCATTTTGTGTAATTCTTCAGTGTAATATTTATATTTCTTTACCGTTTCCAAATATGTGTAAAACAACCTACAAAAATAACAAATTAATGTATTTGAAAATTTGTATTACCTAGAAAAGAGGTATTTTAGCAATGAATGGTCAACTAAGTGATTTTATTTTATTTTATTTTATTAAGAAGAAACGGATTTTTAGATTGCTGCAAGAAATGATTAATTAGATGGGAAATACGATTCACTGAACGATGCTGTAAATATTGTATAAATTCTTTCATTTCTTAATAAAGTATCGGAAAATTAATCTCTTTGCCATACAACAGAATAAAATTGAAAATACGATTACGACACATATAAAAACAACATTTTTCACGGAATTAATAATAATAATAACTAAGTTATTTATTAATTAGTCAATTTATTTCTGCAGTCATGAATCATAAATAACGTAATAAATAATAAGTGAAATTATAATGAAAATATAATTTTCTAATAATAGGAGATGAAATATTTTGTTTTCCAAGTTTCAAGAAAAAAATAATTCTTTATGAAACACGTAACATAATTTTATAAATGTCTATAAAAATGTAATATACAGGAATCAAAACATTCTAACGAACTAAATATTTTTATCTAGCAGTGCATGAATCTTTATTTTATTTATTTTTCATTTTAGTATTATTGGTATAATTTGAAAAATTCAATGCAGTCTAGAAAGAGTTTTGATTTGTATCGATAAAGATTACTTTAGCTCAAAATTATTTTCTACATTTTACACTATTTATATTTTATAATGCTACTTATAGTGAAATGATATACAGAATATATATAGTAGAAGAATATAAAATATTAATAAATAATGTAAAATATTGTAATATTAATAAATGTAATATTAGTTTATGTAATGTAATATTAATAAATAATGTAAACATTCTATATATATAATAAAAATAAAAATAAAATAAATACATGTATAGTATAATAATAAATATTATAATATTCTTTTATTATCCCTGATTCTTTTATAAAAGACAAAAGTTATAGTCATTAACTTTCATCCGAAATTTCAATAAATTCTGTAAAAATTCCGACAAAAGTATAAGCACCTGTAATGTGAAGGAAAAAATTTCAAAAATCAAATGGATAGAAATTAAAAATAAGCATGGAAATTTAACCCACTAAGTCACATTCTGTTATGAAGGGTTGAGCATACTCCATAGATTCTCAACCTCCTGGTATTTATGCTTCCCGTCAAAGCACAGTTTCGCGTTCTGACAGCGTGTAAGAAAATTTATTTATTCGCAGACATAATACTAACAGAGTCGAAGTACTCTTTCTTTATGTGTGTACATTGCCCTTAGACATGCCTCGCTTAAGCTCGTATTTTTAGAAATCGACTGCTCTGTTTGCCCCCATTCGCAGAGACCTTCAATAGTAATTTTACGAAATTATAAATTATACCAGGCGTCTTGTGTGTATAATTTTTGAAACAGATTAATAGACAATGGGATTTAACCTAGAGCTCGTTGTAAGCAGCCGAACGTTGTTTCGAGCAACGTCACTATCCATCTTTTCGAAATTCGTGAGAATTTATTTTCGTACATCGAGTTGCGATTCTTTTTTCCTCTGCTTCCCCGAAATCATGCATTCACGTTTTATTTTTACTGTCGTATTTTTATGAACAAAAATTGATTCGATGAAGCGCACCTTTTGTTACGCTGATAAATTCGATACACGAACTTCGTTTCACGTGTCACGTATTACATTATATTATACTCGTCGAATAATCAATTAATTAAAATAAATTGCAGGATAATTAGGAACACACATAATGGATGTTTGCGATGAAATTTTAATACGGAAATTATTAACGATATTTGAGGTAGAATAATTCAGATAGATTGGATAGGATTCTAATTACTTTATTAATTTTCTATTAATTTTTAATTTTTACTAATTTTTTTTTATTTTTTTGGCTAAAGAAGGGCACGAGTTGAAAAATTTTGTGCTATTAAACTGATAATATTTGTTAAGCAGTAAATAAGAAATCGTATAATAATTAACACGTAGAATTATTTAATTTCGATACTCCGCACACTGTTACATTATTTTAAATTTGATATATTAATTAATATCGAGCTTCGAAATTTTATGAAATGGCGACTGAAGGGCGCCTCTCGAGTGCAAAGGGTTAAATAGGTATAGCTCTGTGTTTGAAAAAAGTTATAGATTATTCGATTATTTTATTCTTAATGAGAATAATAAAATTCGTGGAATAATAAAAAGTAATAAAAACAGAGAATACAAATGAATTGAACATTTTCTCGATAAATTGAGAACGATTTTTTATCCATTAATTATATGTTTTTTCATACTTAGTTTTTGAGAATTTTGGATTATGAAAGCACACGAGAAAGATTTCGAGATATAAATATCTCAATAAACCTATCGCTCTTCATAAGTATAGTTTTCAAAATCATTACTAATTCCCGAGAATTTTGAATCATGAAAAGAAGAATGGAATTTAAAATTCTTGAAAGTCGAAACTTTCTTGGGTTTCAAGGACTTTCAAGATTGCGACGTTTTAAAAATTCCTAGTATAGATTTTATAGTTACGTCTCATAGTTAAGGCAGTCATAGGCCTATGTTAAATTCGTATTTATGAATTTGTGTAATAAAAAATGCTAAATACAAAATTTCTTAAGGGTAACACATTGATAAATAGCTCCCAGAGTTATTAGTTTAAATTAATATTATTATATCCGACACGTTTGATTATTCCTCTCACATTTCTGTATTTTGTAATATAAAATTTTAGCCAGTCCAAATGAAATAAAATAAAAAATTAATACTAGCCTATAGAATAAAATTTATTTGTCGGTAAACGTTTCTAATTTTCCTGTACGTTTGTGTATGTGAATATACGCAATATAGGACAAATTGTATATATATTTATACTAGAAGAATAATTTTCGTTTGGAGAAATTGATTTCTCTCACAAACCTGTAATGGTCCAATCGTGGGACCACGTCCCATAACCCAGTGACGTTTAGGGTCATTGGTGATCTCTTGTTATTTTGACCTCCACCAATTATATCATCATCCATAGCTTTAAGTACAAATCAACTGCGTCTGGTTGAATCTGTGAAAATAAGGAAAAAATATTCAAAAAATATTTTTAATCTAAGTTTACATGTCACACAGTGTACATTACATTTAACAACATAGTATACGATTTAACGTGTAAAATAACATGCATTTTCTTATTCAAAAAATTATTCAAAAAATTATTTTCATTCTTGGGACATTTAATTTTTAAATTGTGAGTCAGGCATAGAAATCAGTTTTAAACGAACAGGAAATGAATCGATATTATCTCAAACAGACTATATCTAAAATCTGTAGGTGCATCGACGAATTTATACTCGTAAGTACGAGTATGACTCGTGATTCGTGAATTAATTCACGAGTCCAAAACTACTCGCACTGTTTTAATCAAAGTTTGTATTTATATATATGTATCAAGTGGAAAGTTGTATTTCAATGAAATCCCCATGAAACATAAAGTAAATGTAAGCTGAATGGGACAGCTCTGACACATACAGTCCTGTTAGATATTTAGGATAGGGTCTGTTTTAAAATTTACGATACAGACGTGGACAGTGGTTATTTTCGAGGATTGTCACTTTTATTTTGCATGTTTTAATATTAGAACTACTGAACTGTGTACTCAGGTATAGTATATTGACGAGTATAGTATATCTGTCGAGAGACATTAGGTAACTCGAAAATTCTGATTTTTTTTTTTAAACTTCGTGGGTTTCTTGAAATCTCAAGAGATTTTCTGAACTATTTTCTCTTAATACCTGCAATTCGATTTTGAAACATAAAAATATCCCTTATATGTTAATCGCCGATATATATATTTATTATAATTATAATTATAGTAGGCATGAAAAAATATTTGGAATGAAAATCGAACAGTGCTTTATGCATTCTAAAATTATTTTCTTAAAGGAATAAAAATATTTTATATAAATAAAAAATTCTTTACTAATACTATTAAACAGTATTTTATTTTATTTTTCTTTGTAGTAAAATATTTCTTTCAGAATAAAATCTTATTGCATAGTGCAGTGAGTATTTCATAATTCATCAGAGGAACAAAGATCCTATTATACGAGAATTTTCACAAAGAATAGTTGCTAATTGAAAAATGAAAAATTTCACAGAATGTTCATAGATCATCAATTTGCACTCAGTGAGTCAGATATACTTAAATGTCTTTTCTGATTTTTCACGAATATTTCTATGCACATTTTGCATATAGATATAAAATAACAATATTTAAAAGTAGTGAAATTTGATACTTTTTTAATTCTGTTATTATAGTTTATATTGTCACCAATAAATTTTGCTAATTATTTTACAAGATAATCTGATTTATCGTACGTAAGAATTATTACAAATATTTAAAATATTTATATCATATTTATACCATATACTACACGTAAAGTAATCAAGTGTCTACTTAATTTTTTCTGGATCGTATTTACGAACATACCAACGAAATAAAATCCAAAGAATTACACGAATAACACAAATTTTCCTCCAATATTTGCATCTTGAACAAATTATTAACGAAGTATGCAATCTCTAGTTTCATGAAAGCTATCGACGACAAATATTCCGTCCAACTATTTAACAAAGAATGCCAGAAATGTAAACTGAAATATTTTATTCAAATTGAAATTGCTCAAAATAGTGTATCTTGGAATATTCGTAATTTTGGAAACACGAACCCCTTTCCAATGATTATATTTGAAATGATTCACTAAGTGCTTGTACGACATTACAACATCATTTCATTGCTGCTAATTTTCCGTTTCCGGAAATGTCGAGGAATTTGTCATCACGCACTCAGTATCCGAGACCTTTCATGACAGTTTGCCAAATATATTGGATTGCAGAGGTGATCACATTTTCGTTGGTTTAACGATGCATAGCTGGTTACAATTTCCTGGCATTTTCCCGGCTGAGTGATATGTTTCTTTATCTTTTAATAAATTTGCAACTATTATATGTCGACGAAGTATATAGAGATACATTTCATGTGTAGAATATAGCAATAGTCGAAAATTTGTTGGCCTAGACGTCATTGAAAGAATTTGAGATAAATTAAATAGGAATACTTAATTATTATTATTATTATATTATATATTAATTAATCATTATTATACTACATTATATATTAAATATTAGTGTGCTCTCATAGCATAAGTATGCCTCTACTCATACGTATAATAAAATCTTGATTATTTGATGTAATTAACAGATTAAATGATTGTCTAAATAAAGAAATTTTTGAATAATAGAATACGCGCTATCTTGAAATTAATTTACATATAACAGAACAGAGAAGTACATAAATACTATATTTATATAGTAACAGTATTTGCAAATAGTAGAGTTAAAATATGATCTGTATAAAATTTATGGCTCCCAAATTTTCTCGCAATTAAAATTGTTACTCATTTCTACAATTAATTAATTATTATCAAAATTACCGAGCTGCTCAAAATGGTCTGTTTTAGACATTTTATTCTTACAATTACTGAAAATATGCTACTCCTTTTGATAAAATTAATATTAACTTTTATCCAAATATTAACGTGATTATATATACTTATTTACCTCTGTTACTCGTTTTAGTTATTATTTGTATATATTATATATTTTGACACGCAATACAGGTTGATAATTCTAACGTTAATCTTATCACGTTTGAACTACTTTAAATTAAGGTGTTTATGATAACACTTCCCTCACGAAATATGTTCTTATAACGGAATGTATGGATTCTATAGAATTCAGGTAACGGAGAATCGGATAATAGAGGTTCTACTGTACTAGGTCACCTGTTGGTCTCACGCGATACAATTAGTCTGGATTACCAGGGACACGATTTTAGATTAGAATTTTAAATAGTTTGTACTCGTGTAAAACAAGGATCAATGACACGTGTTAAAAATTTGCAAAATTTTAACTTCAAAGACTGCAAAATTTTTATTTTAATTTCAAATTAGTTGAAAAAGTTATCGAAATTTGATCTAAATGTCGCTGGAAGAATTCCAAACGTGTCCTTCGAAAGGAATGATTTGTATCCTTCAACTAATTTAACAGATTCCACACTAACTCACTTATGTGATTATTGTGGTAGTGCTTACGTAGATTTTTAAATATATATGTGTTGATATAATAAAGGAACGAAGTATGTAAGAAAGGGATGAGTGGAACAAGTATGTAATATATGTATAAGTAATATACGTATAATATATGTATAAGTATCTAATGAATTCAGGTTATTGTGATGAATGAGTGTGCGTGCAATAATTGAGGTGTGTGTGAACTGTGTATGTTAATATAATGCATGAAAGAAGAAAGAACAAAACGAGAGTGATTTGGCATAGGTCAGTTGCAATTGAGTTTTAATAGTGAAAAGAGGTGTAAGCATGTGATTGTGAGAAATTAATTATATTTAAATTTAATATCAGTATTTGATCATTTTTGTAATTAAATAAAGAATTGTTCTTATTGTTATTAATATTTCATTCACAATTATGATTAAACACGTGTGGCTTAATTTTTCGGCCCCATTTCTGGGACTAGACTGGTTGACCCAAGGAAGGTCCTGGAAATTCTAGGACTTTCGTAAGGGGAAAACCCACGCAAATGTTTCTCTATGCTGAGAACAGGCTCGTTCAGTTTAAGTCTGTTTCACATCGTTAATTCCAACATGTACAACAAATGTATTAAATCTGACAAATGTGACAGTACTTTGTAAACCTGACAGAAACAAATTGGTACAGAGGGTTATTTACAATCTGCCTAAGAAATAAATCATTAACATATATTATCCCTATTATAACAAGAAGTTCTAGATCTGATAATAGCCAACTTGACATAACTGACATTAGCAAACTAATCAAAATGACTGCTTACAAATTTTGTCTTTATTCCAATTATTGAAGATATATAGTTGTTTCTATTAAAATTAGTTTTGGCTTTTATTGAGATAAATTTTATATTTAATAATAATTTTATTATTATTTATGTTATCTACGTTTGTTGATTAAAGAATACCTAATCAATAATAATTAAAAAGATGCAATGAAAATGAACATATATTTATTTTAATAGAAGGCAATATTAATTTTATGTAAATTAATTTACACCCATAAAATGTATTGATATAATAATTAATGTGCTATCATAAATATAAAGTAAAACAATATATATATAATTAAGTTCCTATTTAAATAAAAGTCAAAATTAATATTAACACAATTCATTTAGGCTATTAATATTTGACACATTCCATATGTCATAAACAAAAAATAATAAGTAATACACTAAAGATAAAGAAACATATATAGTTACATTTCTATTTAAATAAAAATTAAAATCCATTTTAAAATAATTTATCTAAACTGCTATAATATTTTCACAATCACACACATGCACCATCAGCTCCACTCTTAATCCCTATCCAATTGGGTCACTCTGGAGATCCAAACCACTTCAAGATCAACCCTCCACTTTCCAAACCCACCCAATTGCCAAAAATCAAAAAATCAGAAATCCCAACATCCTATCAGCCAAATCGACTATCCACACTTTCCAATTTTTCCACTATTTATTTACACCTCCAACACCTGAAAAACAGCTTAAAAGAGACAAAGAATTGGAAACACCGCATGCTACTGCCTTCACTGCCTCATCCTCCTAACCTTCGCGTGTTTTCGAAGAACGAGTGGTCAGAGGGGAAAGGTTTATCGATGGAAAAATAGATTTTCGAAGAAAGCTACGTCCGCCTGTCCCGTGGTTCCAGCGAAAGCTGAGGTTCCTCAGCTTATACCCTTGCCATCTCTCGCTGGCGTTGCGTGGAATTCTCGCGAAACAATTTGGCCGTGATCCCGGAACTCGTAATGTTTGACGAGTGGCCAAACTCGAGCTTCATTCACCACCCCAGCGAGGATATCGAGGCTCGTGGGAACCTGTCATGGAAATGGCTCTAAGGCGTCGATAAAGGTACATACGAGGATAC